CACCTTGCAAGTCACGCCAGTGCCAAAACAATAAATATTATTCAGATAATTATTGTTCCTTCACTGGTTTTTATGCTCAGATATTGAGGTAAGAACTAACATTAAGTAGAAAACCTTATACAGGGCAAAATTCTGCTCAGCTGAGCGTCTATGTCAAGTCCCGTTCAAAACTCTGACAGCACGAGATTCGAGTCCCAACAGCAGCCATATAAACAATATATTACAATTTCTGTTGGAAGGTCCTGGCAGATTGCTAAATTACCTAACTGTAAATAAAAAATGCAATAAATAAAAGGTGTTTTTTTTTTTAGAAAAGTGACTTCAAACTTGCAGGGCTTTCTTTAGAAAAAATTTGAAGTTTGAAGTCGATTTTCTGAAAATAAAACACCTTTTATTTCTTTTAATTTTCATCTACTGTTAGGTAATATAGTAGTCTGCCAGGACCTACCAACAGAAATTGTAATATATTGTTTGTATGGCCGCTATTAGGACTGAAATCTCGTGCTGTGAGAGTTTTGAACGGGACTTGGCATAGACGCTCAGCTGAGCAGAATTTTGACCTATGTAAAGTTTTCTATTTAATGTTAGTACTTACCTCAATATCTGAGCGTAAAAGCCAGTGAAGCAAGAATATTTATCCTAGCAATATTTATTTACTTGGCAGTGGCTCGATTCACAAGGTGTGTGAGCTTTGTCCTATGTATTGACGGAAGAGATACGTGACATCTATACTCCCGGACAAACTTAAGTCAAGAGGAAGAAGTATAAGTAACCCGGCATGAATCACTGAAAATAGAAATACAACCTAAACACATGGCTAACACGTTTGAAGTCTTACACGCTACGAAATGCTTGTTAGTTTACAAAAGAGTTCATACTTGCACAAAATAAACCGTACTTCCTAAGCGTCAGATACTAAATCGTACATATGTATATGGACTGCATATCTGACATAAGAAAATATGACAATTACATGTCAAGTTCGGTATTTCAAGCTCAAAGCCGAAAGCAAAAGGCCCCAGAGGAATTCTCTAACGATCTGGGAGGAAGTAAGCGCCGTGCACGCGCTTGTGGATACGGAGTTCGATGTAAATTTCTTTAAGTACCCTACTCCAAATTTTATTAATGTTTATGGTTGGATATTGAGGTAACTGCTAAAGATAAATAGAAAACCTTACATAGGACAAAATTCTGCTCAGCAGAGCGCCTGTGTGGTTCCGTTCAAGACGCTCATAGCACGAAATGGGAGTCTTAATAGCGGCCATACAAACAATATATTACAATTTATGTTGGTAGTTTCTGATAGACTACTATAATAACTAACTGTGAATAAAAAATAAAAAAATAAAAAGTGTTTTTTTTTACAAAATTGACTCCAAACTTGGTAGTTTTTCGAAATGTTCGTTTTTCAGGCACATGTAGAGCATTGTATACTTATTGCGAAATATTGAAATTATACTCAAAAGAAAGAGCTCAATTGGAGCGCTACGATGGTATAAAGATCATAAAAATATGCTGTTTAGGTCACACAGCACAGCTTTCTGAACTTCGTCAAATATAGTCGCAGAGAGACGGTTTGACAAATAAAAAAAATCATTAAGATGTTATAACCTAGACGCTTAATTATCAGGAAAAGTCTGTGTCTAGAGTGTTTCCAAAAAGGTACATTGATGTAGCGTAAAAAGTAGGGAAAAGGGATGGGGTGAAATATGGCACCCCCGATAAGCTGGAAAAACGTCAGTTTCTACCTTGGCCTCTTTAACAGTCCATAACTTGACAACGAAAAATCCAACGAAATTGCCGTTTGCGTCTTCTTTTGTTATAAGAATTGCCCCAGAAGATATATGTTTCACTTTGGAATTGAAAATTCGACCCTGAATCCGTGCCTGAGTTGAGATGAAATCAGCCATATATAAAAAAAAATGTAGTTTTTTTTTTATCTCTCCTAAACTACTTGCAGTAAATTTAACTAACGTATGATGACAAAATGTTGAGTAGCATATGACCTTCAATTCAAAAAAGCGACAGCAAACCTTCACTCAAATTGAGCTAGCTTGACTTCCTTAAAGGGGCTTTGCCGCATGACGTCGGCCCCAATGAGATATTTTCTAGAACTGACAAAGTCTGTACAACGGTGCTGCTTTATCACAGAGTGTCGAAAGTCGTCATAACTTAAAACTATGGGACTAGGAAGAATAAAAGACAACAAAAAACACAACACGAAATCTCAATAGCAGCTGAGTTTATTCGACCTCCAAAACAAGAAAAGGTCAAGAAAACAGAACATGGCGTCGTGAAGATTTCGCCAGACATGGCTTGGCCGGCTAAAACACCTAAACACAGAGACGCGCTTCAGACAACGAGAATCCTCAAAGTTAACCTCCGTCAAGACTGCGAGAACGGACAACTTCCTAACCTCAGTGTTCGATTATGTTGTTTCCCAACCAGCTCATTTTCGTGCGGTCACTTCTCAGAAAATCATAATGTTCCAAACTTTGTTTTATACTTATGTTTTATTGTGTGGCCTCCCTAAAAGCTCCTCCTCCCCCCCCCCCCCCTTATTTCTTAAGTAGTGCTGGTGGACTCCACAGCTGCGGGCAGTTGCGAGAGGTATAAATGGCAGATTGCCTTGAAACTCAAGCGCGCACAAAATGTAGGTCAGTCACCGCGTAAACAAATCCAGAGAAGTAGTATCTCGGGTGTCGCCATCTTGGTGTTCAACATTGTGAGGTGGAAAACAAACAACATCGGCTTACCATTTCAGAGTATCGATGTGTAACGTGACGTACATGAAATAAGGGTAGAAGCTTCAAACCACAAGGAAATGTTCTTGCTGTATCGGTTTCACCACGCTACCCAAACATTTGGAGGCTGGAGAGAGGCATTCTGAAACTCTAACTTTAGCATTTGTAAAAAAAACATGTCAGGAAAGACTTCCCTCGCTTTGTTTACGCGGTGAATGACTTTCCTTGTGTGCGCGATTTAGTTTCAAGGCAATCTGCCATTCATACTGTTCGCAACTGCCGGCAGCAGTGACGTTCTCCAGCACTCTTTAAGGAGTAAGAGGGCGGGAGGGGCTTTGAGGAGACCACACAAGAAATCAAAAAGTTGAACCAAAGCGCACGTGGGACGGTGTGCCTTCCTGGGAAATGGACGCACGCCGACGAGCTGGTTAGCAAGCATCACAATCGATCACCCTGAGATTGGGAAGTTGTTAGGTTCTCGTAGTCTTGATGATGATTATATTTGCGGGTTCTTGGCGGCTGATGCCCTTTGTCGGAAGCGTGACTAGTGTTGTAGGGATTCAGCCTGTCAAGCCACGTCTGGCCAAATCTATGCGACGGCATGTCCTGTTTCCTTGATCATTTCTTGTTTTGTTTTCCTCAAATAAACTTCTCTGTTTTTGAGATTGTGTCGTGCGTCTGTTTTCGTTTTTTTTTCTTCTTTTTCTTCTTCCTAGACTTCTGGTTTTAAGTTGTGACAACTGTCTACGCTCTGCTATAGAGCAGCACCGGTTCTAGCGTCGGTTCTAGAGAATATCTCTCGAGCCGATTTTTGTGCGGCAAGGCTTCTTTACTGAAGACAAGCAAGTTCAATTTCAGTGAAGGTTTTCTGTCGCTTTTTTCAGTTGGTGGTCATACGCTAATCAGTATTTTACAATCACGAGTTAGTTCAAGTTACTTGGAGGAGTTAAGGAAGTATAAAAGAAACGAAAACACTTTTTATTAATATTGACGTGCAATTTTGCTACTTTTAGAAAAATTACTTAGGTATGTGCATTAACGAAAAACGTGCAATTTTCTCTAAGCAAAGTTTTTATATATTCGTAAGCTGCGTTTGAAGACGCACATTTTGATGTATTTGCAACGTTTTGCATGAAGAGTTTTGTCGGTAAATAATTTGTGAATATGTCTCTAAATATTTTTTTCACTTGGTTCGTAATTTGTTTTGCATAGAAATATATAATTCTAATTTTTTAATATTTGGTGTGCATGTTACAAATTGTGTTGAAAATAGATGCCAAAGCGTTTAACTACGTGCCTGCTCCGGTGTGACATTGACGGCTGTGCAAATTACCATACTTAGAACTCGAGAATGTCCACACCTCGAGTTCTTAATTGTATATATCTGGGAAATATTTTGCTACGGATTTCACATAGAGCTGAATGTTCCTCCCAAGAACGAAGCTTTCACATATATTTCTTATAGAAATATAAAAATGTGACCCGGGCAGTCATTGTACGATTCGACGTGGAAGCAACCTGCAGAAGATCTTATATAGAAAATTCCCAAGTGCACCAAAGGCGCTCAAATCTCATTTTGAAATATTATCTGTCGAGAGTACGATATGTATGTATACTCTTGTTTTTGCATGTCTCATATTTTGCGACAATTCTGTGGTGCTGCGGCTATCTTGAGCCGCGCTAAGTTATTATATTACTAACGTTCATTTTTGTGGCTCTAATTCTCCAATCACCTCGGCACATTTGTGGGCGTAGAATCAGGATATTCTAATTATTTCAGTTAGTGTTGATTTAATTCGTGGCCGTTGGCTGGCAAGCGCTGTGTATAGTGATGATGACTAAACTCCCGTACAATAAAAAAAAGAAACCTGTTGCTGGTCAAGCCTTACGCTCTTTCCACTTTAGCAGAGTGAACACTAGAGGGGGGGCGAGCCCCTCCTTGACTCATCTGCACTGTTAGCTCTGCTAAAAGAGAGAGAGTAGAGAGTAGGAGGAGCCAAGACCAGCTAGATAAGGACGCCGCTTCAACGTCACCACTGGGAGGCGAACGCGGGGCACGGACACGAGCGTTGTGTCATCGTTCGGCTCAGACTCGTCTCGAATCGGCGAGGACACGATTCTCAACCAAATTTATGTCCAATCTGCGCGATGGCCTCCGGTAGGTGCCGTGGAAGCACGGCGACCTCGAGGTGTTGCCGAACGACCGCAAAGGCCCTCCGCGTGCCCCTCTCAAGCCCCTCCGCGTGCTCGCCGCAGGACCATCGTGAAGAACTGCCCGGACTTCGTTAAGACGTCGATGATGACGTACTTCAACAACGCGGCGGACGACCTGGCCCAGACGCTGTTGAACCTAGAGCAGGGGCGCTACAGCCACCTGCGGGGCACCACCATGAAGACCTCCTCGTCGCTAAACTACGTCCAGTTCGTGCTGCTGCCCGTGCTCACCGCCGTCTTCGATCACCTGGCCGCCAACGAGTTCGGCAGCGATCTCCTGCGTGCGTGTCCTCTCGTGTTCCTTCTTTATGAGCGGGTGCCCGTCGGATCTCCTCATTACTTTTCTTTAAAGGGAAGCTGAAGAGGGTTTAAATACGAGAAAAATCCTCCTTTTCACCTAGCCCCCAGCCATTATGAATGTAATATTCCTTCGATCACATTGTGCGTGGATTAGCCAGGCAAATTCATTCAAAGTAGCGCTGAAACCACATGGCTCTGAAGTAGAAAAAAAAATGAGAGAGAAGAGGAGGCCCGTCAGTCGCTATCACGAAAGGACCGGTTGGGGGACCCGCCTGTACTGGCCGCACTTCTCTCGTAGGCTGCTGACGTTCAGAGACGTCGTCGTTCTGTCGCTGCATAGCCCTTGGTTTTATCCATTGACCAGCCGTGCTATCAATTCGACTGCTCAAGTTGCTTTTTCTCGTTTTTTTTTGTTTTTTTTTTGTTTTTTTTTTTAGTGGGTTACGAATTTTTTGTGCTACTGAAGGGGCTGACTTGTACTCCCGCATAACTGTCGGCTCCACAAACCGAGTTCGGCGTTGTGTTCCTTCCGCTTACCGCCCCTTTCGTGTCAACACCGACATGTCAAAGAGGTCTCGCTATACAAACAAAGATGTTTAAATCAAACAAGCACAGTGTTTTTTTTGCTGAACCTGTTTCGGACGGCTCATACGAAACCAATGCATGGGTTTGGGTCTAGAAAAAGCTCCTCTGAACCCGACGCTTTGCCGACCATTTTTGAACGTAGGAAAGCATCTCAACGCATCCAAAGACACAGAGACGAAACTAGAGAGGAATTATCAGTAAACGGGTATAAACAAAATGTTTCTATTTTAACTAGTGAGCAGTAAACTGAAAAGCTCTTCGAGCAATTATTTGTTCAATGAGCGGGCTTCCGCTGGCTATTTTGTGCTAACAGTCTGATGTTAGCTGTTTTTCTCTTGGTTTCTTTCCGTGTTGCTAAAGTGACTATACTTCCCGGACGGACTCCTCAACCCAAGATATTCTGTTAAGCAACTCTGCCACCCAGTTACTTCGTATAGCGCAGGGCTTATGTTGCAATAATAGGGCACGCAATTTATCATTCAACATTCGCGGTGCAACTTAATTTATTATTAACTTAATTGTTTTCACAGTTTCTCCTACTTTTTGGGGGCACAAAAAATATTTTTCTTATACGTAAACATGTAATTTGTCCAAATCCTTTTCTTTTTATACGCCCACATTCTTCTCAGGACTGACGCTTAAAATTATGCAACATTCTGTTGTAATTTTTTTTTTGCAAGTTACGTTGTTTTTTATAGTAAGTTCATCCAGACTCGCACGAGGTTCCTCGAAAACTTCAAAAATTGCCCAGTTTCCGTAATTTCCTCTGAAAATACAAAATTTTGGAATAATCTAGTGTGTCGTGGAACGGTTCTTTGTGCTGTAAAATGTGATTTGATGGGCAATAACGAACGACGGCGGTCTAATCCAGCCAACAAATCTTGAGACAAGTATCTAAATGTAGCAATCCAGGAAGCCTTCAGTAGTATTTCAAGATTTTCAGTGTTTTTTTTTTTATTTCCACTACCAAAGACGGATGGCCGTCCTACGCAATTACTCCTGTGTCAGGTAGGCTCCTAAAATGACATTTACGCTAATTAGGATATGCAAATAAAATTCAAGATGAACCGTTTGCTAGGGGGCCAACTTTGCGCACACAAGGACATCGCACTTGCAGGACGGCGACATGGCCACATCTCAGGGGAAGCTTTTCTGCAGCCCGAGGAAAAGCTCTAGCTCCAGCTTTGGTGAACAATGCAGCCTGTACGTTCACGTGTCCCTCCAAAGCACGAAGGCCCAATTGGGTAGAATTCCTTTCTTCCGACGGTGGTTTTCAGGAGAGCCACGCTAATCCATCATGTTGCGTTCAGCCAACGGCACTACGTTTAGAGGGAACACTTTTTATATTACAATAAACAGCAGTCAGCATTCCAACATGTACAAAGCGGCTATGTCGCGTCGCTACCCACGGGCAGACGCAGCTTCACGGGACTCCCCGCATCACTGCGGGGAACATTTTTCTGCCCTGCCAACGTCCGGAACGCATACTTCGTCAGGCCGAGAATTTTCTGGGCATATTCTTCTTAAGGATCCCCTTGAAGATCTCGAAAAATCGGAAGCCGAACCTGATTTACAAGAGCTATAGAAGTATCGGTACCCTACTCCATCTGCAAGCGACGGGGCAACCGAGAATCGAGATAATCCTTTCATGAGGTAGTGGCGCATCACGCGCTACCCGCCAATGGCGTGCCGCTGCAATGATCGGTTTCGTTCTCTTCGTGTTTTTCTTCTTTATATTTTCGCTAAGTGATTTTCGGAGCCAAATGGTTGTGATATTTGGGCGCAGCGGGCCCAAACACGTCAGAATCAACCAATCCACGAATTCGGTTTCTTCGCTCAATTTAGCGGAAAAATTGACCCCACGTGACCTATACACCAGCTCAGTTTCCCAGCTAAATTTAGCGGGAAATTCGAGGTTTCGTGACCTGACGCGGTGACATTTTTTATTCCATACTGATTTTTAAGAAATGCGCCTTTATTGCTAGGTGACTGCCGTCTTCACTATATCTTTCTTGAGCTTAGCGAACATTCAAGGGGCAAACAACTGTCGCAATTGGGTTAGTAATTATCTAAAATTTCTTATTTAGCTGTTTAGTTTGTGAAAATAGATATATGGTGCTAATTAAAGAGGGGTACTGAGGGGAGGGTATATTCCCCCTCCCTCGTGATCCTGCCTGCTACTCCTGAAAGAAAGGGCTCCGGTTCGAACCCGGCCGAGGGACAAGAGATAACAGTCTTTTAAGATAATTTTTCGGAGTAATGAAAATTCGGATTTGTCTCTCCTGCTCATCCTCCCTGCTCCCCTCCTTTCTCCTCCTCCCCTCACGGGGGTCACGTGATCTCAGGGTGGGAGGGGAGGGGGTCACGTGACCTGGGGGAGTCACGTGAATAGGGGGTCACGTGACCTGCGGGGTTCACGTGACCCGGGGGATCACGTGACTTCACTGTTGCGGCGACGCCGCTCAAGCCGGAAACGGGCGCCAAAGAGCTGCACTCTAAAACTTGCTGAGCGTTATTTAGAACCACAAAATCTGTAACTTTGAGAAAGACTTCGAGCGCGTTAAAAGCGCAGTAGTGTGAGCTAAAGTTACAGCTCTTGCAGCAGGTACAAGGCTAGGTCTATGATAAGAGACGAAAAGATCGCGCGGGCGCCCTTATCGCACCGGTAGTCTTGCACCTGCTACACAAGTGGTAACTGTAGCGTACTACTGCACTTTTCACCTGGTCAACCTGTTTCTGAAAATTACTGATTTGGGGGTTTGAAATAACGCTCAGCAGGTTTATAATTAAAAACATGCGTTTATTTCCACTCAATAATAAGTTAAATAATGAATTATTATTAATCACTCACCGAACTGCCGGCTGTTCGCCCCGCGAATTCCCGCCAAGCCCCAAAAACGTCCTGTGAAATTGGCATCACGTAGCAGTAGAGACGCCTTTTTTTTCAACAACTGTTTCGAATAAAAACTATCGCCCAGTATATATATCTTCTATACTTCGTTTCAGCTTCCGTCCGAGCGCAGCCAAAGCTACGTGTGGCCGGAGCCAATCACACGCCGGCAATAGGTCACGCGATCTCGCCTGCACTTTTGTATCCCTCCGCTGCTCCGCGGGCTGTCCGCGCCGCCCGCGCTCACCGAGAATTTCGTCTGCTACGGATGTATCAACGGTATCGTCTGCTACAGGTCTGAAAAGTGCCCTTTCACGTTCTGAAATTTAGTCACAGGGGATGTCAGCACGTAAGCTGGCCGCTGGCGTCTGTGTCCGAGCTTTCCACCTGTTCGGCATGGTTTCAAGTTGTAAGTACACATTGCAAGGTGACCGATGACCTGGCCGTTGATGTTTCCTTGTATTGTCTCGATATACCAGGGCTCGAGGCGCAGTCCTATCCACCAGCTTCTCGGCGTTCAATGTGATCGGCAGTAAAGGTGTGCCCTGATTCCGCCGCGTATCAGTGAATTGTAGTGGCTCTAACGCTTTTCTTGTTTACAACGGAGTTGCGGTACGACGCGGCCAGAGTCTCCTGCCGAATTTGAAAGCAGAAATTCATCACAACCTCTCGCGCCTGACACCCAAACGTGCGTTTTCAAAAGGACGTTTTGAAGCGACTCGTTGAGGAAAGCAGCGAAGCACATAATTCTGCCATTATGGGAACAAAATCACACAGAAAAAACGAGTGCTGCAGCCGTGTTGCCAGTGGATGTACGTGTTTTCACCAAACCACGTGCATTTACATATATTAATAAAAACCTAAACTTCAGATATTGAATTCCTTTAGTTGCAAATCATTATCAGCACTACACATCTGGAATATTGTGCAATGTTTACGCACAAAACAGTTATTTAAAAAAAAATGCTTTTGCGGACTACTTTGTGGTGCGTAGGAATGCTCTTCTCGAAGTTGCAAACCGTCCCTCAGCCTTTGGCTGCGCTCGGACGGAAGCTGAAACGAAGTATAGGGCTCTGCACCCTAGAGGTTTTCCTAGAGGTCGTCCTTGAGGCCGTCCATGGCCTCGTAACAAAAGAAGGTAAACAAGCTGGATGCTATCGCAATTCATAGACAACCAACAATAACATTTTCTGCAGCCTCTTTAATAGCATTTCAGCTTCCCTTTAAACACCCCGCAATTAAGGTGGTTCACACCGGAATATTCTGGCGGGCTAGTTGGGTATACATACTACATTACAAATAGCGCCGAGTCAAGGACAAACGAAGAAGTAAGCAGGACTGACAACGAAGTGGACAGGATAGGACAGGACAGCGCCTTTCCTTTCCACTTCTTCCTGTTTCCTTGTCTTAGCGCTATTTGCAATTTAGACTGGTTCACACGTTTGCATTTTAGTGTGCTCGAGTGTGTTCTCTCGTAACCGCTTAGCACAGTGGCAAATGCGTCATTTGTCAAGTGGTCCTAGTGCACTTCCGATCTGCAGGTAGGTATATATATATATATATATATATATACAACGGGCATGGTGGCGGGAGGCCGGAGGCGTGGGGATATAACTGAGAAGAAAAAACCCTTAGTGAAAACAGCAACAACGGACGATTTAATCTTCGACGTTTCGGCCGGAGTCCGGCCTTCGTCAGGCCTTCCTGACGAAGGCCGGACTCCGGCCGAAACGTCGAAGATTAAGTCGTCCGTTGTTGCTGTTTTCACTAAGGGTTTTTTCTTCTCAGTTATATATATATATATATATATATATATATATATATATATATATATATATATATATATATATATATATATATATATTTCTGCACATGGCTATTTTAACATGAGATTCAAATAATTTTGACAACGCAGAATATGCTTCGGCTGTTGAAAAAGGGCAACACAGTGCAGCTCATTTCTAACAAATTTCTTTCCCTTCAAAGAGTTCTGTAAGAAAATATAGAATTTCCTGCAAGACCTATTGCATCAATAACGGTGCACTTGAAGGAAACTGGCACCGTCTTTTCTAAACTGCTGGAGAAGATGTCCCATGAAATTGTTTTTTTTTTTTTCCTAGACAGTTCTCATCTGCTGAATAATCTACACCCAGTGCATTGTCTTCATATGGTGACTTGTCCGCAAGTAAACATTACCGTACAGAGTTTACCTTGGCGAACGCCTGGTTTATTAACTCATTCTTGTATCATATTGAAACCATCATTAACATACCCACTCAAAATACCTGTAACGTCTCGTCATAATAAAGATTTTTTGAAAACAAACCCTTGTATAACTTGATAACTAGTACTAGTACGTACTAGTTATCCGCACAGCGTAAAATCCTAATTGTAAAACGTGTGTAGAAAGCGGACTATAGTCCCAAAAATACAGTGATGTAAAGAACACATTTTATGTGAGCGAGGCGTTAAAATTTTCACATTTATTCATAAATGATGATGTGTGAGATGCACCCGTAGTTGCGTGAGTGACCAATTACTGTGATGGTTGTTTCGTCTCGTACAGTGGACGACATTCAAGTGGCATGCTACAAGATTCTAAACAGTCTGTACACCCTGGGCACCAGGACTGATCTGCACGGGGGAAGGTGAGAGGGAACGTTAACTTACGCAAGCCTGTTTTCTTTCTACAGTTCGGATGGCTGGTGTATAGACATATATGAGTTGCGATAATACATTGGAGGTGAAGGAAAGTTCAAGTTGGGGGGGGGGGGGGGGGGGAGTGCTATTTTACCTGAGAACTCTATTTAAACTAAATGGAGTACCTTTATTGCCCATATTTTTTCAATCAATAAACACAAACATAAAAAAGAATAGTTCTAGTAAGGTCCGAAACCGGTCTTTATGAATTAATAAGTCGCAAGAGTGATATTTTGCATGTAATTAATGCAAAGGGGCAGGCGGGCTGGACAGACTAAGGGGCAAAATTATCTGGAGAAGAGGAACAAAAAGGGCAAAGGACAAACAAGAACCTCCAAACACAACTAGGTGACTGTTGCGCGCAGAAGAATTCCGCCAAGTCCTGGTATCAAAGCAGGGACCTCCCCATTTCTAGTGAAGCGCTATACCAACTGTGCTAACCAGGAGTTAGGCGTAAGTAGAGCAAACAGGTTTTATCACTTGTCACCAGGTTTAGAATGGTGGCAGCTGATAAAACCCGTTTGGTTTACTGACGTCGTAACTCCTGGTTAGCTCAGTTGGTAGAGTTATCCACTGGGAATGGAGAGGTCCCTGTTTTGATATAAGGACCAGGCAGAATTCTTCAGCGCACACCAGCCACCTAGCTGTGTTTGAACAAACTGTGTTCGTATTTTGTCCCTTCTGTTCCCCCTCTCCCGGGATTATTATCGCATATTTTGCACGTTTACACGGTTTCAATAGTGCATCAGCAATTTGTTAAAATTTAGAACGATAAAACATGCCGCAGTATGTTAGTGTTATAGCGATTCTTGAGAGTGTTACTTTTAATCAAATGCACCGACGCTCGTGTGTTCCTTCTAAGAGCTGATTTGGGCAACTCGAAATCCATATTTTATATTCTAGACAAATAGCTGTCAAATGGACCGAAACACAGATGGTTATAAAATACCTTGATTATAATAAAGCCTACGTGAAATGCAAATCCCCTTGTTGTATCTACATCTTACTTTCCTTGTCATTAAGATTATTCCAAATTGATATTTAAATTAATTGCGAGTGTACTGATTCGTGACAAACATAACTAAAGACAGCCAGAAACTATTGTTGAGTGGCATATGTTGTCCAGAAAGCATTTCATTCGCCCTTCCAAGCAAGCAAATAAATATAAAGGTTATATAGAATACGTTATGAAAAAACTATCACTCAAGTAATTGATCGCTCGTCTACATGCTTATATGTGGCCAATCGTGTGATTTTATGCATAACCAAGATAAAAATTACGTAGACAAAAGTTTGAAACAATGATGAGGCATTCCCCAATAAGATTTTCCTTGGTCTTAGTAACCAAAAACGAGTTAAAGAAAAGTAAAAAAAAAAAAAATTATGGAAGCAAAAAAGGCGTACGAGTCATTGCACTCTTATTGTCATTTTTCTTCTTACTACTGTCCTTCTTTTGCTCTCAATTGCTTGCACGTGCAGATCTTGTCGTTTTGTGCCATCGTCGTTTTTACGGCATCCATTTCTTTTCGTTTCAGGAGCTTTGTGAAGGCCGAACTGGAGCGGTATGTCTGGCAACATTTTAAATAATTTATTATTATTACCATAGTTATTCCTAACCTAACCTAATCGAACCTGATTAAAATTGCTATCAGTGTAGCCATTATTTTTGTTATTATCATGGCTGGCCATTTTCATTAAACATTTTAATATTACCCTTTATTACTATTATTGCTATGACTGGCTATCGTTATTACCATTCTTAATATTAACCATTATTATTATCATTATTTCTATATTTACTACTATTCCTTTCTATTTGCTGGCTTTTTTATAATATTCCGGTTCCCTGCCTCAGTATTCTTCATTACACGTTCAATCTATTCCATAATTGGAAGATTTGAACAGCGACGGAGTTTGCAAGGAAAACGCGTTTACTAACAAATGGAAACATGTTGAAGAAATGTGCTCAATTTTTTTAAAGCGCATACATGCTAATTCCTTTATGCTTCTTTGAATATTTTCTAACATTTCCTGGCTCCATGTTTCGATTGATCGCGAATAAATTCGCCGACAATGGTCATAGTAAACCTTTTTTTTTTTTTCTCGTTAGGCAAAAAGTTATGTTTTGAAGCAGGGATTTTCAAACTTCTTTCTTGAGGAACCGTTGCCTGCCCGGATTCGCACGTAGGAAACACTTCTGGTCTCGGCACTGATGCAGTAAAGCAGCGCAGAAGCATACGGACCTTGTAAATAATAATGCACATATTACAAACCGTTTGGCTCATGCATATTTGCGTCCAATGGTGGCTCAGATCTAAGCTGGTGCTTAATGGGAAGGAACAGTTTGCTAAGGGGCAAGCATGGTCAAGAATTACATAGTAAACCCGAGACAGAGGAATAATAAACTGTCAAAACAACAAAATTTGGAAGCTGGGGGAACCCCTGAGAATGTTTTGAGGGGCCACCCTTGTGTTGCTAGGAACCGAGTGTGAATATTTTTGTTTTAAAGGATCAGGACTGACGCGGTAAGTGTTCAATGAGTGGAGCAAAATAATGGCAAGTCGGCTTACTAGCCTTACGCTGGCTGAAAAAAATAAATATGAAATGTCTGGCGAAAAGCTTCAATGGTCTGCTAAGAATTTTAACATTAACAGTTTATTTTCCGCGCCTACCAGCACCCTCACAAATGGCAACTCCGCTTCAAAAGACAAACCAAAACAAATGACTGGTACTTAGAAGTGTTAGAATACAACAATTGTTTGACTCCAGCGAAACTGACGCCGCGTAGTGGCAACGCAGAAAGAAACTGCGGGAGAAGGTCCTTTCCCCTCTGTCGTCTGCTTTCGCTGCATGGTTCTCGTAGGCAGCGCAGCTTTACACTTTTGTTTATTATAATCAGTTAAATAATCGCAGTTCATCAGCGCCGCAACGAAATAAAGGCGAACAAGGATGATGAAATATATTAGTCGTGTGCAATTTACCTCTTCAGCGAGATTAAAAGAACACGAGCGCGCTAGATATATTCCTGTGCGAAACTTCTAGTGAAATCCACAAACTAGAATAGTTTTATAAAATAAATTGCGAGAAAAATGTCATTTTAGAAAAAGGAATAACATAAATGAATGCTTAAAAACGTCTGTTTTTTTTTTTGTGAATTGAAAGAATACAACTTAAAACATCATCCAGTCCTAATGTCATGGCACTAGTTCTCAAATATAATTACGATGGCGTGCCTGTTGATAGGCGCAAACACATATTTCTATAACCTCTGGATGCTTATTTACGGGAAGACGAAATTTACACCAATCACCTACCAATCAAAAAACTTTCATCGTGCTACCATGGAAGGCAAAACTTCGAATTTGCGCAAAAAGCATTGAATTTTCGTTCAGCATCAGTTTAAATTTGCACGAACACAGATCCATAGGAATTGAAGATCGGTTTGCTATCAAGTTTATCTAAAAAAATGTAATAAGCTGTAAGTCGGAACGCACACCTGCCTGAACAACTTTCGTCCTTGCGTTCGCCGACGTTCTTTGCAAAGTGATGTCGGGTGCCAGTATTTAATCTTCACGCTCTTGAGACTTCTTGACATAACTGTTGGAATCACACTTTCACATTCAACAAAAAAAAAAAAGTTCTTTGAGGGCACGCCCGGGGCACAACGGCCTGAGTGCCACCAGCCGCATAAGCTGTTCCATCTCAGAAAAACCGTCAAAATAAAACCTTTTTTTTAATGCGAAAGCATTCAGTATTTTATGGAGCGGAGCCGGCGGCGTCTCTAACCACAAAACAACGTGAAAGAAATGATCACTCTCTTATTGGCTGAGCAAAATGGCTCCTAGGTAGCCATTGGCGGCCGCTTCACGAGAGCGCGCTGCTGCCCCCTCACTCGTGTCATGCGTAGCCAAAGGGGGATGTGGGGCTGCGGTCGCATCCGCTCCTCTCGGCACCGAAGAACATGGCGGCGCCTGAGGCATCTATATTGCCGGCGGCCACAACCTCGGCAGTAGCGAAACGTAGCCGTCCACGCCAGTACACCGCAGACCAACTAATAGACCGGAAGAACGACATTCATGCTTTCGGATTCACAACTCATTAGAAGTGCTTAAATGTCCTAACACTTTAGCTTTTCTTTTAGGTGGGGGGGAGGGGGGGGGAGGTGCGGCTTGTTATGGTGGTCGCAAGTAGTTTGTGCCCTCAAATCGCTCGCACTTGCCTACAAATGTTTACCAAGCTATTGAGGTCATTCATTGTTTTCTTCAAACGTGAGCACGACGTTCGAAAATCGTTTAATGAAGTCAACGCGAACAGTTACCTGGCCTTCCGGATCGAGGACGATATTTAGTTGTTTTGCAATGGCGGATCTGCTTTGAAGAGGCTTGGCAATGTTCAATATTTTTGCCTTGCGAAGTTTAGCACTGCAAAAATTAACCAGGAGTCTAGCTTCGGCCGATTACGCGAATCGAGCTAAAGAAAAAAAAAAAAAGGCCGTTTTCTCTCATTATTATGCTCTCTTTGTGTCGCTCTTATGTACTCAATAGGAGGTTTCTACCGTCTAAAAATAACTGTTTTCGAACGTAAAAGTAATCGTACGCATCAACCCAAGAAATGTATGGCGTTTCACGTGCTAAACAATGAACCCGACATCCTTTCACCCGCAATTTTGCGTGACCAACGCAGCCTTCATAATACTCTGGAGTCGTCAATAAAGAACAAATAAATATTTCAATGCACTTGCTTGGAATATTTAATTAAATTACAAACATGTAGAGATAATGGAAAAAATATTAAATTTTATAGAAAACGTTATGCACAGCTTTAACATTTCTCGAGCTAATAGTGGAACTATAGATGTAACTTGCCCCAAAATGACATAGGCCAAGCAAAATTCACAAAAAGCAATAATTGTGGTTTGAAACTAAATGCAGCAGGCAACCGGAGTTTAATTTATCTTAGGAACTCGTGTACATATGTCAGTGACAAAATGTTATGATTAGAAAAAAAATGTTGCATTAATCTGGTAAATCAAGCATTACTTCCTAGGAATCTTTACTACTCTCTTCTCTAAAAGACAAATCCAAGAAACCAACAAATTACAACAACCTACAAGAGTGAAGTGTCGAATTATATAAAGTCAAAGCCTACAGTTTTTTTTCAACCAATCGGTTGGATTGGATGTAAATTGAAAGAGGACGTAGCTTTGCAACAATATGAAACACTGTAATTTTAATTTTACTGAGTAATTGTGCTAGACATTGCCTGTCATTATGAAGAATAAAGCGCACAAGAGGACAACCGGGAAAAAACACACACCGCAGACTAACGAGGACGACAGGGAAGAAACCACAGAAAGCGCTAGTCCGTGGCATGTGAGGCTTTCCTGTAGCCCTCGTTTCTTGTGCGCTCTAATCTTCACCACAAATCACTACCAACTGGCCCAACTGGCCACCCTTCTAAATTGTAGGTCGCAATGTGCAAGAAAGCGTCTTAAGAACTATCGTATAATGATGGTGAAACTACTTGTATCTTGATATAAAAAAATTGGATATATGTGCGTTCTTCAGATTAGCAGCACTGATGCCCTACCAACTCCATGTGCATCTGGGCATGCTTCTCCTTGTTGACTTTAACTTATGGCCTCCCACCAAAGGCCTACAACGTGTGTTTTTCTTCTTTTTGCTTAAACAACGGCTGCCTAAAATTCTAGCCAATAATTACATGGTTTCTTTGAGCAAATAACCACGAATCCCAACTACCGCATAAAATTATTTCGTAGTTTTCTTCTTTTGTATTAATCTCTAAAAAGACCCTAACCAAATTTGCGATCTAGCTTAATCTAGGACATGGGTTCTCAAACTGGGTTTCCATAGGTCCCCAAGTACAGTCATTCTCCCAAAGTTTCTTAAATATTTCTCCTGCTAAATGAAAAGTAGCCCACATTCGAACATTATTGTAGTAGATCTAATTAGCCACTCGCTAAATCATAGCTATCTGCCAATAATCTGCCAAATGCAGATTATTCATTACAGCGCTTCTGCAATGCATTACTATATCAAGGCCAAAACAGGGGAAGAAATATGAAACGGTAGGTGATTCTCGAAATCGAAAAGTGTGAGCACCCCTGATGTGCGCAATACTTAGCGTGATGGCATCTAACAATTTTTCTTGAAGTTCTTTTGTATATTTCTTGCTCCGGAGCTCGTGAAAGCGCGCCCCCGCACGAGCACTTCGCATTGATGGTAGTAAGATGGGATTTTGTTACCGGCTGTCGTTTTATTTTTGAGAGCGTGTGCTGTCGACATCGGGTACTGCATAGATTGGCATAACGCTAAGCAGGGGGACATTGAGGCACCCTAGCTTTATCTTCACGGCAGATTGCATTGCTCTGGTTCAAAACTGAAGTTCCAGACATACAACAGGTTTATGCTGCGTGCATCAATGCTGATTATACCAAACAGCAGGGTGGCCTTGAGGAAAAGAAACGGCTTTTCAACGGCTTTTACGAAAATACTGCATGGAAAGCCAGTTGCTGTAAAGGCGTTCACGTAAATACTTTCTTGAATTTCCTCCAGGCACCGACCGGCGTACGGCAACTGCCTGGGGGCGTTTGCTGCCACTTTTCCTGTTGCCTTTCTGGAGCCGTCACACAACAAGCACAACCCTCACTGTATCCACGGCAAGGCCCAGGAACACTCTCTCGAGGCACAGGGTCAGTTTATTTTGGAGGCTGCTGCTTTCGTTTGAACCCGCATTCCTTTTTCGGTCTTTGCAAAGCCTTGGCAAAGCTGTCCTCTTGGTAAAGCCTTTGAAAAACATACCATCAGAGGCGTAAATTTAGTTCAGGTGTAGTCAGCTGCTCTTGACATTAATCGAATTTGAAGGTGCATACACTCTTCGCAGATGTATTCAGAACAAACGCCTTCCCATTTAGCCGCTTTACTTAAGGATGAAGCGCTGAGGACACACAGTTGTGCTATTCGCTTTTTAAAGATAATTTCCTTCTACACCAACTATAATTTTAATTTCTTCTGTGAACTCATGCTCATCATATATACACTCATACGCAATTTTGTTTATAGTTTTACCAAATCACTAGCTACTATAGCCCTTTCTTCTTTATAACCTTCTTCTGCAATAATATCCCGTGCTTGCCTTTTGTCCACAAAACTCGAATGAACCAACAAATACAATTTGAGGGCTCTTTCTAACTATGAAAAACTTCAAAAGGGACAAATTTTGTTACTGGCTGTGGAGCACTAACTACAACCGTTTTTAGACTAGTTCTTGGCATCATACCAGCCAGAACTATCTCGATAACGGCAGAAGTTAAGTGTGTTATAGTCACTCAATTACTCAATTTCTAAGTGAGAGCTAAAAAAAGGAGATAAACTGTTGTTCTTTCTTTGCACCACGGTATAAATAAGGTTTGATAGCGACCATAACCTGACGGTCATGGTCGCTATCAAACAAAGGCGGAGCTTGTTTGTTTTATATGTGAATCCTTGTCACAGTGGACGTTACCTGTCAAGTTGGCATTTGTCCGTGGCCACCGCACCGAAAAATCCAGCATAACTTTTCGCTATCCGGATTATGGAACCGCAGATCTATCTGGATTCTATCTGGACTCTATCTGGATTTTAGGTTTTCAGAAATGATTCCTTTGTCTGCAATCTGAATTTCTGGTTTCCAAAAGCAATTTGCCGGTTCCACAATCCTAATAGTGAAACGTTATAGTGTTTTTTTTTTGTAGGGGCATGCATTGCGCGGTATTTGGGGAAGAAAACTTCCGTTTTTTTTTGTTTTTTTTTACAGCTGGAGTGGTTGCTGTGCAATGTCTGTGCGTGTTGTGTATGTTTCTTCAGGGCTTTTCAAGACTAGCAACATTCGCAAAATTTTCTGAAATTTTCACTTTTAATAATTATAGAATGGAGTCCTTTGACTCAGTGGAGCAAGATGCTTAAAATATATTTCCTTGGCATCCACTACGCCCTATTATTACTTGCTCATCAAATTACTTTCAATTGAAGCATTTTTAGGCAAGGATTCACCTCCTATACTCTAAAGAGTGTTCTTAGGCTTTACGGATTGTTTTTAGAAAATATTAAAAGCCACACCACTCGGGTCTTCGCAGGTGAGTTGTACGGCAAGAAAGCCATAATATAGAGGGCTAATCGTCACGATAAGCCGGGTAATAACTAAAATATGTTGATTGACATTTTATTTAGTTAAAATGAACATGCTCTGATTAAAAACTTGTTGGGCGTCATCGAAAACTACTGAATAAGTCATTATTAGGATGATTTAGAGCGCGTGAGAAGCGCGGTGGTGTGGTAGGATTATCATCCGCGTTTTCGCGTCGCCGGCCTTATATCTGCTGCTCACATGGGAACTTTAGCACCCCCTTCCCTCTTCACATGTGTCTTAAGTCGTTCTGCGAATGACTGGGTTTCCGATGACACTAAGTAAATTTCTATACAAAAGAAAAGCTCAACTAGAACGTTAGGGACAGAAACACAGAGAGAAGAAACAGACATGCGCGTGTTGCGAAAATAATCTCTGGAGAAGGGAAACAAGAGGGACAAAGGGCAAACGCAAATATCCAAACACGGCTCCTCTTGTTCCCCTTATCCAGGGATCATTTTCGTCACACTTGTTTAGCTCGTTGATCGTTCGGCAATGAATAGTTTAATTTTGTTGTGAGAGAAACACGCTTCGAATTTATTCCAAACAACTTTTGCCTTGTCTGAAGTAGATACATGGGAGGCAGGTATAATTCAGAAAATTAAAAATATCGTTATTTCTTGAATTAGTGAAAATTTTTAAGGATACAGTAGGCTCCCCTGCAATACCACCGGGAGATTTATACCCTTCCCGTCCCAGACCATGTGGACCGTGTCTGAGTGGCCAGTTGTTTGTGCAGCTGTGATGGCCACACTGGAGTCGAGCATGCCTACTTTGGACGACCTGATGGGACAGGTGGAGAAGTTTGTGACTGCCAACGGGAAGTACTCTGAACAACCCTACATCATTGAGGTGATGCTTCCCATGCTGTGCAGGTGAGGACGCTGTGAGCGTGGGTGCGCAGGGGATATTGATTCCACAATTTGTAACTATATAGTGCTTATTTTTATAAACCACGTGCACGAATAGTGTGTCGATGAACTAAGCTGTTATTATGTTTACTCGAGAATGCTTTGATTCGTCGCTTTATTGTTCTGTTTGTTTAAAAAGACCTATAACTATCTATTGGCAATAGATCATGTTCAATATGTGTATTCTCATTTGTATCGTTATGTTGTTAAATAAACCGATAACGGTTATTGAAGGAGAAATAATTGTGCCAACATTGCATAGAGTACACAGAAGGAGCGGCATTGCTCAAGAAACGACATTGCACATGATCCATAGACGCTGCCATCCTTCTACAAACATTACAATAGACATAGATGCGGAAACTGTGCAAGGCCCTTAGGCAGAAATAAATGTAGCATTACTGTATAGGAGACAAATATTGGGCAGAAAGGCAGCTAAAGTGTTTGCCAGACTTGAATCCGGAAACATTGCATATATACTGCAAAATTTCCGTAAATATTAAAATATATATAGGTGCGAAAATATCGTCATAACAGGTTTTATTATGGAGAAATAAATGTGGAACACTGCGCAGAGTGCAAACATTTTCGAATAGACAGAAATGTAGCGAAATCGTAGTAGAGGCGGAGACGCTGCAGCATTAATGCATACATTACAATAGACATATATGTGGAAACATTCGAATATTATGCTTTGCTAAAAAAAAATGTAACAATACTCCACTAAACGGCAAATATTGCACTGGCTACGCAGAAGCAGCAACGTTGCACAAGTCTTAGATGCTGAAACATTGCGGAGGCAATTTGAATTGTATTAGAACATATTTGTGCCGAGGGCATCGGACACAAAGCTTTCAATGGGAAGCTTGATCATAACTCAATTCAGCCCTGGTCTAGACGCAGCCGACGCTACGAGCTAACGGGACTAATTGGGGAATCTAAACTAAGGCATGGGATAACAGTTTACGCATTCTGCTCAAACTACAAAGTACAAAAAATAGATAACCTAATTAAAAGGATGATAAAAAATATTACGTACGGCACACACCTTGAGGACCTAACCTTTGAAGAGCAGCTGACCAACCTGGACCTGTTGGCCATTGATAACCTACGCAAGTTCGAAGTCCTCACAAAATATTATTTCTCGTGTAATTTCAGAGTACAGTCCACCAAACAAAAAAGTCTTAGGCACACAGAACGGTTTGACATTCCAAGGATATACCCCAATTATGGGAAAAAAATGCGGAAACATTACGTTCCTAAATATTTCAACGATCTTCCAAATAATTTATTTGATCTCTCGTCCTTAACAGAGGTGAAAAAAGAATTAAGGAAATGGTTCAACGTCGTACAAAAGTGAAAATGAGTATGTTTTTTTGGACATTTGCGTCTGAATGTTTACATGTAGATGGTCTCCTTGTGTTCTCTTTGTGTTCGAGATATTTTCGTACTATTGCAAACATATCATGGATCGAGAGGAGAGGGGAAAATGCATTTTTGTTGTCGCTTTTTGCTCTGTTAACAAACCCATTGTGTTCTCCTAGGTGTACCCAACTTTCTGCGAAGTGCAATGTAAAATATATGGTTGTATAGGACAAACAGCATAGACAGTTTTTTTTTCTCTTTTTTTAGCTTTGACCATATTTGGAAAGCGTGTGACATGTTTTATTTAATCTATCCTTTTATTTCGCGGTAAGGTGCAATGTTTACATAAAACTAAGTTTGTAACATGTGGTGTCAAAATTGAGATGTGTTTATTTTACGCTTGTTTCTTTTTCTCTGTTCTCTTTTTCTGTTTGATTTGTTTTTCTTTTATGGACTGCCTGTTCTCACACACAAGCACGCAAGTGCTTTCGTGAGGCAGTAATTAATGTATGTGAATGATTTTGTGCTAATAAAACTATTATTATTATTATCATTATTATTATCAAGCAGTGGCAAAACCTTTCCTGTTTATGATGATTCAGCGATACCAGAAAACGTATTGAAACATGACGTAAACTATAATGGAACGCTTTTGACGCTGTCTAAGTTGTCCCATCAGCTCGTAGCGTCGGCTGCGTCTGGGCTTAAGCTGAAACCAAGAATAGGTCCAGTTCCCCTGCACATACTTGAGCACAATTCAGTAATAAAATATAGTGACACTATTACCTAATCAAAAGAAGTGCACATGATTTTGTACTTAAACAATAAGTACCAATGTGGTCGAAGACGGAGTTGTTAAGCTATGTCGGCATGCTATGAACAACGGATTGAAGCGCATAAGTAGTACAGAAAAGGCTAACGATCCAGAATTCCTGACGCCGGATAGTGGTTATAGATTCGCGTTTAGTCATATTTGAAAGATGAGACAAAAAATTATTACACACTATACTTGAGTACATGCGGATTCGAGAATAAGAGACATGATAACAGGCAGATGCTGCATCATTATTGCAAACATTACAGAAAACAGATGTTGAAACATTGAAATGAAAACAACACTGAAATGAAAATCACGGTGTTGTATCAAGGGTTTTTGAAGTTCAGTTGCGAATCTCAGAGTCCACTTTAGTATGCCTAAATTGAATTACTGTATTTTAAATACGCACTATGGGACTCGCGAAAAATTTTGCAACGGTCGAAGTTTTCAGTATATGGGCTTGGCTTAGTTTATTTTGGTATGCATCGCGAACTTGTAGGGCCGACGCCAGATTATATATTTGGAAAGGAACTAAATATTTGAAGGCAAGCACTGCTATCGCATGAGTTGGATTTACAATGTCTCGTTTGTTGTTTTCCTTTAGCTACTTGCCATTTTGGTGGAGCCAAGGACCAGACAATGTTAATCCGACCACTGGGTAAGCAAAACCTTTGAGATGTTCGAGAAATCTGCGCCTTTCGTGGGTTTTAATTTTAGTCTGGTTGTTTTTGTGGAGATAAGCTCTCCCGCTTTTCATTCATTGGGACTGTATACCTTGCCATTGGCCGAGTTATGGCGAAGCAAAGCACAATATCGCCTCTCTTTTCTATCTGTGCAACTTCTTCCTGTTCTTTCTCTTCATCACTACTCATGATTCCTTTATCTAGCAGTAAGATATGAGATATTTGACCTCAAATTCATTTCTAGGATCGTAGTACAGTTACAAGTCGCTTAAGCTGATCAGCCACTGCGGCACGTGATATCTTCCAATATCGGTGATACAACTGTTTTTGCGCTTAAATGAGCCCATGTATAGCAGCTGAAACTATAGCTTTTCTAGCCGCGCCGGTATTGCAGGGCTCGAGCATCGGGTTGATGACTGATATTTTTTTCTGTTCGATTTTTACCAAGAAACAAAGTAATCGTTGCAAAGAAGCCTGTATGTAGTGCTTTGTTACGAACATTCCTGAAGCCTCGAGCCAGTTAATAAAAGATGATAAAAAATAACCCTCTTCTGTGATCCTACTAACACTACTCTCTAACCGTAGTTGAAGCGGAATTCGTGCGCAAGAAAAATTCTTCGGATTTCTGAGCGGAGCACACATCACATAAAGAAAACATGGCAGTTCCCAATGCAGCGCAGTGCCGTCAAACCATATCTCAAAACTGCGAAAGAGAGGCTTCGCGACGAACAATGACCAGTTTCGGCGGTGGATCAATTCCTCCAACAGTATTTTGGCGGCGTGTCTGATAATTCTCCCGAAACTGCAGTGGAGGTGTTGAAATTTAGGGGGAAGTTAGTCTGTCTCCGCTGTAGATGGCCGATTCGACTATCTTCGGCCATGGCTGCACAACATCACAAGCGCGCTGCTGTCATTCAAATCGGGCAGATGCAGGACTCGGGATTGTTGTATTGTACAGTCCGAGCTTTCGCTTCACGTGTCTCAAGTCAGTGTACGCTAACCATGTGGCGCTAATCAACTTAACTACAGATCTTTGTCCAAAGATTCCTCCAGAATCTGAAAAGAGTTTTTTAATAATGATAATAATAGTAAGAAGAAGAAAAAAAAGAACAACAGCAATAATAATAGTAACGATAATAATATTATTAAGCATAATCATAATAATAACCATGACACTAATAATAACAATAGTAATAATTATTTCAACACGTTTGATAACACATCGGAACTGTTAAAGATGACTATGTTTACGGGCATATCAAAGTCAACGATGGGTTTGTGGGACGACACCCTTACAAAAGAGAAATGTCCGTACAAATGCTAAGTAAAACATTCCCTTTGAAATCTCAAAGTATAAGACCAAGGTACCCCCCCCCTTTCAGCACAGGGTACTAAATAGTTATGGCGAAGCGAGAAATAATAACACGTCAAACGAAAATACAAATGCAAGCGCACAATGCTAAGCAAAGTTATATCAAAGTCACACACATGCACAAGATATGAAGTAGTACAAAGCACTGCAACTAAGAAAAGAGAGTACAAAAGAAGAGGCAAGATTCAGAATTTGAGAGAGCTATGGTAACTAGGTTGCACATCGGGAACATCCTACATACACTTGGAGCATGAATTAAGTATTATCAAGATTAACAGACTTGATTTTCTTCTTTAGAGTCGTCACTGAGCTGATGTCATGAATAATCGGGGAAATCGTTGAATTCACGTGCCACATAACAATCGCGCGATCATTTTCCATACCAAGTACAGCAAAGCAGCACAAAACAAGGAGAGCGGAGCAACGTGCCGAACGAATGTAGTGGTGTCTTAATATCATTGCGCCAGCAACTACGAAGTACAACGGTCTGAATAAAAAGTGAGCGGAAATTCGGCAGTTTAAGGCTTGCACAGATGTCGGCACTGGTAGACAAATTTGTACTGCAGAATATGCTGCTCAGTATTCCTCTTAATGAAGTGTCCACTTTTGCCTGCCAGCGACCTGAAAAGATACCAAACACTGTTATGCCGTAGCGAAGCACACTATAGGCGATCGCGTAGGCTATTAAAAACCGAACACTGAGGGGCATAAAAACCCGTGTATTATAGAGCATGCAGGGTATAGTCCGTAGTTTGCCGCATAAGTAGGGCATGTGAGTATTTCAAAACGTCTCAAAATCAAAGTGAATACCCAACTATTTCACGCAGTTAACTGACTCAATCGAGTCACAGTTACATGGATTACAACTTGACGAGTAGAGAAGAAACTTAACATTAGCGTGGTGTCTTTTAAAGGATTGCGGGAACAGACAAGCTTTTTTTTTAGAGTTGTTGATGTCGCCGAGATTCTCCGAAAACCAATCTATTCGATTTGTGACATTTGTCTGGAGAATGTTGGCTGCACAAGGAAAATTAATATGACGCGAAGTAAGGAGGTATCGTCGAAGTATTCATAAATGTTGCAGTCATTGACAGTATGAAGCACATCATTAACGGAGATGTTAAAAAGTAAAGGCGAAAGAACAGTTCCTTGAGGCACCCCTGTTTTTAAAGAAAGTAGAGAACTTCTATATACCCCGATTGAGACAAACTGAGAACGATGGGTTAGAAAATTTTCGATTAAAGAATAATATTAGTAATGATAAAATATTAATTATGATCATTAGTAATATTATCGAAAATATATGTATTATTTAATTTTCACTTCTTGGGGAGGTGCGAAAGGTAAATAAAACATTTTACCTTGTACATTGCTCAGCGAAAAAAAATAGAATGAAAAGACATTAAAAAGAATTAATAATCTAATCAACCAACATAGCTTTAAATACAATATAGGTAGCTTGTGATTAGAACAGAATAAATAAAAAGAAAAGAAACGAGAGCACACGCCTTTACAGCTGAGTATGTACTATTCAACAGAACCTTTTCATCATAAAAGCTGAATTCAAATGGTAGCCACGCGACACGATTGATAGTCTGGTAGAAAGCACTTATGTTATTTTTAAGTGTGAAAAGTGAAATATCGTTTTGTTTTTTTTTTAAATTTCAATAACAACAGAGCGATCCTTCAAAAGCTGCGCTATTTTACAGGCTGTCAAACCTGATCCTGGAGCTCGCATTTCATATCTCCGCAATCTTCTTCGTGTCAATTACTTTGTCCAACACAAGAAGTTCCTTTTCCACCAGAAAATGTGTCGTGTTCCGTTTTAATGAGGCTGTAACTGAAACACCGTAGCGGTGATTTGTGAAAAGCTGCATTTTTTGAAAGTGGAAAAATGCACGCAAGCTGCTGAACTAATTCAATGAAAAAAAACTCCATAAAGAAAAGATTGCATTTCATATTTTCTTGACTGCAGTCAACGTCGGCACACATTGATTGAGCGGTATCACATAGAGAAGAAACGACTGATTTGGCTTTAGCTGTCTCTGGTTGAATTCTGCCAAGTATTCACCAGCTCAGCTGCGTGCTCGCCCTTCTTTCAGGTCAAAAGTAGAAAACTGATACGTTCGTCCGCTAACACCGATATTGAGCCCAATGTCACCTCTCCTATTGAAATGGAGGGCCGACGAGAGAACTGCACCGACCGCACAAATCAGGCGCATCCGTCCACGGATTTCTCTTTTTTACAAATGCCGCTTCAAAATTAAAACTAAATTTAAATTTAGGCTCCGCAATCTTGTAGTGAGTTTAGTTTATTTCTACACAAGAAATTTTATAGACAATAACACAGAGAAACATAAGGCCAAGACGACGGCACCACACATGCCTTTCCGTTGCGTGGGGTCTCGAGTTTTTGTCATCATGTTTAAACCGCAACAGTTCAACGTCATTACAACACGAAACCAAGAAACAAAAAGGGTTTAATAATATCGATAATTGTGTTGTATGTAGGTTTAGGGAGCGCCGGATGTTAGTCAGCCTCAGTGGACATCTTGTTTCTCAGGCGTAGATGAAACATCCTGCCAGTGCAGTGCAGTCACTAGCCTGGGGTCTTTAATTTGCCTAACACAGTAGTGATACAAAACCGCACGCCGGTACGATGGTGATAAAAATGAACATGGTCCGGGATTGAACCCAGGATTCCTGTGCTCTGCAGCGCAAGCGTTCGATCCACTCGCTCAGAGCTGCGGTGCGGTAACACAATTTTGCAAGCTAGCCTTCATCTTCTTTGTTATTTCTAAGACCAGCTTATTTGCGCACCTGCGTTTTCTTCTGAAGTTTTAGCTTCTTTGTCTTCTCGAGCGGCGAAGGATCTTGGAACATTTCTACCTCTCCATGTGTAAAACCATTCCATGAAATGGCGCTGCTTTCGTCCAGGAATCACGTGACGATGGTGACAAGCGACCACTTGACGAACCTGCTCAGAAACATCCTGAACCTGCTGAGAAAGACGGTCTCGGTCGAAGGTTCACCCTGGATGATCACCTTTGCAGGTCGGCCCTTTGGGATCTTTCAATTTCCTAATTTCGGTAATGAGGTTGCATGGCACATTTCACTGGAGATGCGAACAGTGCCTTTCAGAATAATACTGTACAATAGACTCAGAGTGATTGAACAAACCTTTTAATTATTACCGGGTCGCAATCCTCCTGGACTTCAAAGTTCCGTTTATGATGGTGCTAAAAATGCTAGGTCCGTGTCGTGCCTCAAATGAACCTCAGATTTTTAAGTAATCAAGCATCTAATTATGGAGTGTTTACTGCAGCAATGGAAGCGGCATCTCTCCTTTTGTAGCAGGTTTAGTTGCAGGTAGAACCTTGGTCTGGAGCAGTCACTGATGCTTTTGGAGCAGATGCTAGCACATATGTTATTACGTTACCTAAAAATAACGGTAACGCTCAAAGACAGCCCATCTTTAATGGTGACTTAAGGCTTACCTTTTATATCTGATCTAAATTTAAACAGATTTTTTTTATAAAAGCGGGTAAGAGTTAGACCAGTGACGTCTTCACCAAATTATTATTAGTTTCAACCGACATCAGATGAGGGGATAATCGCCATATTAAGTGGAAAAAGGGACTAAAATGTGTTTATTGACTTTTTTAATTATTTATTTTAGAGGACATGTTGGAATTCCAGTATTGACGGCAAATACTATAGGGGCCATAGCAATTCATAAAACAAATTGCGAAAAGGTAATGGTGTTTAAAAGAATAATTAGTAAATATTGGCGTTTTTCCGCTTGATTTAAAAATTGTGTTGAAAAGAACCTCATTACAATTACGTTTGGAAGAACGACGTAGTCGTTTAGGTCACTTAGTCAATTGTGTTGCGCACCCTCCAAGGGCACACTGCCGAGATAGTGGCGATATAATTCAAACGACGAAGTCACTCTTCGGAGTGTCATTGCCGGCAGTGCTTGCAACGCTTTTTCTGAGCGTAATTTTAAAATCTAGCGTTCAAAAATCAATCGACTGAAATTTCAGAAGCATCACCCTTTTGCAAATGCTTTAAATTTCTTTGGCATCTGATACATATTTCCGTCAATACTGAAATTCCAACGTGACCCCTAAAATCGGTCTTTAAGGAGTTAATTGAGACATTTTTGTTAATTACTCCATTTATCGTGATGATTATCCCCTCAACTATGTCCGCCGAGCCTGATAAACGCACTGTGAAAGTAGAAGTGTAAATGAATCATCATTCATTTTTTATTCATCTGTTCGAATAAAAAATTAAACACCCTGTATTAATGAGGAGGAGGAGGAGACGGAAGATGAGGAGTGGAGAGGCATACCCTGCCCTCCGTACCCTACCCTCCTCCTCCTCAAGAGCTGCGCTCTTATTTCGCATTACAGAGATGTGTAATTGTCTTTAATTTCTGTCTGGTTGTTATGGACAACTCGCGTCATGGACATTCTCTGTAGGGAATGGGAGTTCCCCCCTAAAAATATGCAACGTGAGTGTTCATATTAACGAGATGTCATTGCGCGAATACTATTTTATCAATATAGCACCTTCAATGCACTTTCATAATAGCCGCATTAAATATTTTACTGATAAAATAAAATACCAGTTTAACGTCTAAAAAAGCGATGTAGCCTTTTTAAGCTTCGCACGCGTGAGTCAGCTATTTAGTGTTTGGTTTTGCTTTTAGTACACTTTCACGCACGATGTTTCGCTGCTATGCAACCATGGTATGGAGAAAGGGTTGTCAATAAAGCTAAATATACCCGTGCATGAAAATATTCACAATCGTTGGAAAATTAATAATATAATACTTTGCTTTACTTGTAGGTTAAAGCAAAAATGCCCCTTTGGCTTAATATAAAGATGTTCAAAAATATCCCAGCAATTACTTAAACGATAAAATACAAGTAATGTTAACTAGCGGGAAAATTCAGACTTACTACGCCACAAACAACTTTTCATTTAAATCTGTGATTGCTTTTATAAACCTGGTGTCTCGGTGTATATGTTGCACCGAGACACAAACAGTCCAGGCAGTCATCGAGACACTAAGAGTCCAGGCTGTTGCGTTCCACTTGGTGTTAAGGAGAAGAAACCCGTTCTTGTAGTGCAACGTTGCCCTTAACATGGTACATGGCTCTGATCGCGCTGAGCGTTCCCATATAGCAAGGCCGGGTGACATCACTCAAAAGAGACGAATTGGACGGCTTTAAGCTAAGCTAGCTGGTTCATGCTTATTAAATTGCCAGCTGAACGTTTAAGGACACACACACACAGACAAACAAAAAGGCAGACACACCGCTGAACAAGCAACTATTTTAATGAAATCTTCGTTCTCTTTAGTCTACATATTGTGCTAAATGGATTCTTCCACTTTTTTCTATATCTGAACCTTCGTCTTCCACTTTTCCTCCTCTTTCATGTGCCTGTCAAGTCTGCAGTTCTTTGCAGGTGCACCGGTTCCTTGTGGGGCAGCGCGATTGACGGTGCACTCACGCAACGATCTCCCTTCGCATCAATAGCAAGGGCCTCGAGAATTTCTCGAGCAACCCTGGTGAGATTTTTTGCCAAGATGTCAGTAGTGGCAAGATTTGGCGCACATGTGCACACGCGACAATGGACCGCGAGGTGCGCTGCTGCTGTGATGATTTTCACCGACGCTGTGCGCTCACTTGTTCTGTCATTATGACAGAACGAGTGAGCACGCCAAATGCAACATTGGACATGTAGCTTTTTTTTTTCAAATGCTACATTGGACAAACAGGAAGCTGCATTAATGGCAGAACGAGAGAGCACGCAGCGTTGGTGAAGGCCATCACAGCAACAGGGGCTAAGCTCGGCACGGAGATATCCAAGGCGAGTTCTGCGCCAAACTCGCCGCCTGTCGCGATTGGTCGGCGCCGTGCATGACGACACGCGCCGTCACTCCCTAGACCATGACGACAGAAGGGAGGGTTTGAGATTGGTTTGAGGCGGTCAAAGGGTGGCATATTCGGAACTCGCGGCGAGATGCTGCGACGTCATTGTGACATGGCAGAAGCAGCCGCGGATAGAAAAAGCTTGCCGGCACCGACCTAGGCGAGTTTGGGCGAGTTGGGCGCGATATGAGGGAGAATCGTCCAAAATGGCAGCGTTTTTGTTTGTGTTTCGCCGTCGGCGTAGCTATTTAAGCCACGCCAATGTGATTGACATGGGCGCCGTTGATTTTCAACAACACTATCACCTCTCGAAAGACGTGGTAAGGTGGCTGTGCGATGAACTCCGTGGCAAACCGGGCTTGAGACGATGAAGTCGTGAATGGACCGTCGTCCCCGTCGTGAATCCTACAAAGAAATTCTACTAACTGAATCCTAGAAACAAATGTGTTTTTACGGCAATCTGCAACCAGGAACGCAATTTATCATTACCTACAGGCTTTTATAATTATTCTGACGGTTTGCTGCGCTGCGTAGATGCAAGAAAAACGCACTTGATAAAATTCAAACTAAAACAGAGGATAGAAGAAAAGCTATGTCTTGAATGGCGCAGACTAACAACTGTGTAATTTCTTTCTCATCTTTCTTTCTCCGCACCATATTTTGACGAACAAATTGGTCGCTAGTAACGATGTCGCCGGAACATTGCGACATCGTTACCTCTAGATAAGTAATTTAGACAGTGCAGTACGACTGCTAGCCTGGGGTCTTTAACGTACAACACGCAGTAGTGATGCACGACCGCACTCCGGTGCGATGCTCATCCAGATCGACACATGCTGCAGAACCCAGGCCCTCCTGGGTTCTGCAGCGCGAGCTTTCGCTCAACGCGCACCCTATTTTGAAAAACAATTGGCTGCGTTTCCATGAATGCGATCGTAGCGCAACGAATCGAGTCACCCGCAGCCTGTCTTCTTACTTCTTCCTTCTGCCCAACTGCTACCAATCAAAATCGTGAAATCTCGACTCGATGCGCTACGGTCGCATCCATGTAAATGCAGCCATTATTGTGGCTGTGTGGCTGTGTGAGGGGAGAAAGATGAAAAAGAAATTACAGTTGTTAGTCTCCGCCATTTCTTTATGTTGTTTTTCGTCTATTCTCTGCTTTAGTTCAAATCTTTATCAAGTGCGTTTTTCTTGCATCTACGCAGCGCAGCAAACCATCACAATGTCTAACCAACTAGCCCATATCCAAGCAATATTCGTATCATTAGCATCCGTGCTGTTACCAATTCTTATTTGTCATTTACAATTTAAATAAAAAACAATTGGGTTGTGTATATGTTTATACAGCCTAAAACTTGGTCTGCCTCAACAGGCGACGATTCTGCCAGCTGTAGTTGAGAAATTTTGCCAGTGCGGTACAACCGCTAGCCTGGGATCTTTAACGTGATCACGCAGTAGTGATACACGACCGCACGCCGGTACGATGCTGATCCAGATCGAAACGGGCAGGGCTGGGGATTGAACCCAGGATCCTGGGATCTGCAATGGAGCTTTCGCTCGACGTGCTCCGAGCTGGTATGCGCTAGCCCAACCAGCCACCGATCCCCCGATATAAATCAAATTAAACCCTTCACCGCGGAGCGTAGGGACAAATCGGAGCTACGCTGGGGAACTCGCCGCCGCCGGGGGGCTCGGAAATGTAACAGGAGTGGGGAAACTCGCCGGGGCGGAGTCAAAAGAAGCTCCTCCCCTCCCCCGTTACGTCGCATCGGAGAGACTCCCGCCAAAGGCGAGCTTAGCCCTTCAGGGCACCTCGCGGCCCATTGTCGAGTGCGCACATGTGCGCCAAACCTTGCCAACATCAACATCCTGGCCAAATATTCCACCAGGGTTGCTCGAGAAATTCTCGAGGTCCTTGCTATTGACGTGAAGGAAAATCCTTGCGTGAGTGCACCGTCAATCGCGCTGCCCCACAAGGAACGGGTATACCTGCGAAGAGCAGCACACTTGACAGGCACATGAAAGAAGAGGAAGAGTGGAAGACGAAGGTTCAGATATAGAAAAAGAGGAAGAGGAAGCTACCGACCTGATCGGACGTTCCCTTGCTTGCTCTCGACCGTCTTCATTATCTTGATAGATCTGAGCCCGTCTACACGTCCCTGACTGGCATCTAAGGGATCAGTCGTGACCGGGAACCGGCCACAGCTCATCGCGGCACGGATTGCGTCGGGTAACCGACACGGAATGAACTCCCAACCCGGTAAGCCTACACCGGCATCAGCGATGGATCTCTCCCAGCAAATTCCTGCTGAAGGCGACCACAACTATCATGTCATCCGGGGAAATCTGACGGGCAGCTCAGCTTTGAGAAAACGACCCAATGACATTGATGGCGACTCCCCCGAGTCGTCGCTGACACCAGCCAAAGTGCCGGCTGGAGCAAACGACGCAATGGATCAAGGATTCACAGAAGGTGACCTAGAAGGATTCATCCTTGTGGAGCACCGCCGACAAAGAACATCAGGAGTCCCGGTACTACTGACACCAGCAGACAAGGCGCATCGCCTCCAGCAACACAATCCGCTGATATTAAGCACCCAAGTCAACACGGCAGCACGCGGCCCCATCATACGTCATCGCTTCACTGCCAGGGGGGTTCTGGTGGAAGTAGCGGACGCCACTTCAGTGAACAAGCTCTTGCAAGTTCGCTGTCTTGGTGACATACCCATACAAGCAACCATACCCAGCGCCTACCTTCAGAACTATGGACTGATCAAGGCAGTGCCCACGTGGTTCACGGATGTAGAATTAAGAGATTACTTACAACCAGAAGGTGTCATCGCGGCTCGCCACCTTTATCGTCGCCGAGGGAAGCCTGGCGACGCCGCAAGTCCATCAGATCGCGTCGTTCTCACGTTTCGTCCGAACACAGCGCCCGACGAAAGTGAACCTAGGATTTACTCGGCACGAAGTCGTCGAGTACATTGAGGCTCCTCCAAGGTGCTTCAATTGTCAAGCCCTTGGCCATGTGGCGAAATATTGTAAGAACACCTTAAAATGCAAGAAATGTAGTGAACCACATTCTACCAAAGACTGTGTAGGCGGGACACCACCGAAGTGCGCTAACTGCGGCGGAGAGCATCCAGCAGACTATGCAAATTGCAAAGTACGTTTGGCTGCGTTTAACAAGACAAAAAGCTTCGTGCACGGTCCGCGACTGACCCCTCACATTAAGGACGACCCTCCACCTTTGTCGTCTTTCCCGCCATTGGATGTTCTTCAAGAATCATCAACCTCGACGGCCCCTCAGCAGCAAGTACAGCAGAGAACCCCTAAAGAAGCTAAGCCAAAACGTACTCCTTCGAAAAACAAGCAGGGGGCTCAGAATGAGTCCACCAATGAAACACAAGGAGCTACAGAAACATCAAGACCTGCTCCGCCACCTCCATCTAAACGCAACAAGCAGTCTAACAAGAACACAGATACCCATGCTGGGTCCACAAGGGGGCCACTGTTCCCAGCGCTTGGATTGATGACGGTCGGCGACATAATAAGTCTTATCTTCTCTGTCCTTGAAAGTTTTACTTCCAAGCTGCCATCCTGCACCTTTAAGAGCATCCTCGAGGGAATTATGGTCTTTAAACCCGCAATTGTAACAATGATCACCAGCATGCATCAGTCTAATGGCTAATGCCTCTTCTTTTGAAGATGATGTAAAACAAGCCACAGTATTTCAGTGGAATGCGAGAGGGTTACCTTCACGTCTTTCAGACTTCAGGCAGTTTGTATTCAAGTACCGGTTCCCGATCCTAGCCATCTGTGAATCACGTGTAGCCGCAGATTTCCGCCTGTCCGGATACGAAGTGTTTCAGTCGGCTCGGGATTCTGGCATTAGTCGGTTATTTCTAGCTCTTCGGAAAGACCTCACTTATGTTCACCATGATGTCCCATCACACCCGAATAATGAATACGTCTCTGTAACTGTTCGTAGGGGGAAAGTTTCATTCACCATAATTGCTTCATATGTAGCCCCGTCCTGCGTGTTTGACGTTTCTAGATTAAATGCTCTTATTAGACAGTGCCCAGGGCCAATCTTATTGACAGGAGACTTTAACGCTCATAACGCGGCCTGGGGGAGCGCAAAAACTACGCGTCGTGGAAGAGAGCTGCTTGATCTGGCATACGATCATGACCTTTGTGTTTTAAATGATGGGCCACCGACTTTTGTTCGAGGCACCCGTAGCAGTAGTTGCTTAGACGTCGCCTTTGTGTCACGCGAAATTGTCTCACGGAGCTCCTGGTTCGTAGATGTCGAGTGCCATGGCAGTGACCACATATCAACCTACACCACAATTTCTGGTTTCCAAGTCAACACCAAGCCTCATTCTGTATTATACACCGACTGGAAAATGTTTAAAGATGATGTGGAAGTGCGCCTCCAAACCACTGGTACCTATCATGAGTTTATATCTGCCATCCAACTGTCAGCAAAGGAAGCAACGAAAGCTGTTCACCTTTCGCCCTCCCGCACCACGGTGGACGCAGAATATGAGCGACTGCGGGCAATCCGCCGACGCGCAGAGAGGCGTGCAAGGCGCACAAAATTACCTGCTGATATCCGCAATGATAGAAGAACTCAAAAGCACATGCGCCGTCATCTTAACAAACTTTCCAAGAAAAAGTGGAGACGCACTTGCGCTTCTTTTGACCCACGTGCCTCCTTGTCACTTATGTGGCATATAGCGCGAGGGTTACGATCTGCACCACAGCAGAGAACACCATTTAATGCTCTCTCAATCTTCTTACGAAGGCCAGCTCTTGCAATTGCTGAGGATTTCTGTGCTTCACTTGTAGGCCCATCAACAGTGAATGCTATCGACCCAACAAGTGTGAGCTTTGGAGAGGTTGCTGATCATACTTCAAGAGCGATGGATAATATGTTTAGCGCATTTGAACTCGATCAAGTTCTGGCATCTTTGACTCACTCTTCATCGCCTGGACCAGACGGTATTACGTATGGTACACTTGCACACCTTGGACCTCAAGCCCGCCAACATCTTTTAGACGTATTTAATGCTTCCTGGCTGTCCAGCTGTGTCGCTCAGGAATGGAAAACCGCTTGCGTAGTACCCATCCTGAAAGTCGGTAAGTCTCCTTTAGATATCAAATCCTACCGACCTATTGCGCTTACAAGCTGTATCGGAAAATGCCTGGAACGAATGATTCTTTCGCGTCTGGAATGGTTTCTTGAATGTGTGTGTGTGTGCGTGATACTTTATTTCTTTCTTTAACCTTCGTATCCCTCATTCCCCGTCCCTACTCAGAGTAGCCAGTCAGGAGATGACTCCCGGCTAATTTCTTTGAATTCATTTTTCTTGTCAATAAAAAAAAAAAAATGAACAATATGCAGACTAAAGAGAAAAAAGATTTTATTAAGGGGGGACACTACCCAAAAAAGTGAATTCTTGAACCACTTGTCTGATTTAAGTGCCATTTACAGGGCTTGTTTCTGTTCACGTTGAGAACATTTGTGGCAAATTTTGTTAACCTGGGTGAAGTTAAAAAAAAATTACAAATGCTTAAAAAGGAAAGTGGGCGTGTCTGCGTAGGAAAATTATCATTTTGAAATGACTTATAAATTTGTCATTTTCATGTGCTATATTGCTTTAGGACAGGTCAAAGCAGATGGCTATGGAGCTATATTTCTATATTATACCATCTTTCATGACAAAAAAGCCACATAAACTTACTGTTTTTTAGATTTCCATTCTTTTTCCAAAATTTTAATTTTTGAGCATGAAAAATGACAAAAATTAAAAATACAAGCTCATAGCTATCTTCCCCTTAACATTTCAATCTAGAAAAACTCACAGAAATGAATTCAAGTTATGTAATAACATTTCCTAAAGTGAAATATATGCCAAAACGTGGAACGGAGAAAAATGCGATCAAAGTGTTCCAACCTCTACCTTTTCTTTAACATCGGTGGACCGAAAATAATTTATAAAAAATTAACTATGCAGTGTAAATTAATGAAACTTTCTGGGAATACTCTGTAGGTGTTAGTGGTTGTAAATATGACATTTTTCAAACTCAACTTTTTTTGCAGAAATTGTTTTTTCTGGGTAATGTCCCCCCTTAAAATAGTTGCGAGTCCAGCGGTGTGTCTGCCTTTTTTGTTCGTCTCCGTGTGTGTGTCCTTAAACGGCCACCTGGCACTTTAACAGGCGAACTGGTGATCGCAGCAGAGTGATGACGGACTACTCGTGCTTCATTCGTGCCTCGCGTTTGCTTCTTGAAGTGACGTTGAAAATTCAGCAGCATGACTTTATCATGTAGCCGGTTTTGGGCGCTCGGCCGAACAACTCGTACAGTCGTTCTGGTTGTCAACCCCGGTGATGTGCGGCGCCATCTGGATTTTGGCGGTTCTCACAACACGGGGCTGCGCGGTTTCGTCGTAGGCCGAGGTTTTAGAGGCGCCGATTGAATCTGATGAATGACGAGGCGTTTCTGCCCAGGCCACGCCGGACAAATAGTGATCAACTCCTCGGAGGAACTTTTGCGTGATCCGATCCTGCCGCTCATGGAGAAGATCCAACACAGCGCTGACCTGGTGTTCCACAAGGAGGAGTGCATGCGAAGCTACCTCAAGTCCAGCACTGACGACACTTCACAGGCAGAAGGGCAGCTGCAAGAGGTACTCCTTCCTTTCTTAAAAGCATTTCACAAAAGCCAACACTGTTAGAATCGAGCATTCACCTCCCTTGGGGTCGCCTCCATTAAAGGGGTACTTTGCCGATTTCTTCATGGTCCCCGATTTGCTTGAAATTTTGCTAAACTCGCCAAACAACATCGCCAAAATAGTATCCCAAATATCGGGTCAAAATAAATTTTTTTCACGAAGTTATTGAATTTACAATTTTGGTCCTCACCGTGTTTTTCAAACTGAAAGTCTCTACTGGCAACAGCGAAAACGTGACGTCAGTGGAAGTGTAGGGGTTCACTCTTTGGACTTTAGAATTTGTTCCCAACTAATTCGAAGCAGTTTCATGGTGTCAAATGAATGCTTTGGAAGCTCGCTCCAGGACCCGCGCTTCAGCACGGAACAAATGATTGGCATATTCTATTTTTTAGATTGCTCGCCCGACTGGCAAGCTGACCTTCCACTGACGTCACGGCACTGAAAAGGGCGGGTATATAATTTGAATGTTGGTTTTTGCATCATTTTCATTTGCCGATTTCGCAATAACTATTATGAATTTCACGATACTAAATAGCATACCAGAAAGGGTAAAGGCCGGGGAGTCAGAAAATATAGTTAGTTGAGGTAGCTCAAAAATCTGCGGAATACCCCTTTAAGGTCACCTCCGTTATGGTCACAGAGTCGTTTTCATTGATGTCACCTCCGTTAGAATCACTAGACTCAACTTTATTAAGATCGCCTGGGCTGGAATCACATTAATTTGTTCAACCTGAATTATAGCACTAGTGTCACCTCGATTAAGGTCACCTCCCCTACCGAAAAATACAGTATAACTTTACACTATCCGGATTATGGAACCGGAAATTTGTTTCTGGAAACCCGAAATCCAGGTTGCAGACGAAGGAATAATTTCGGAAAACCTAAAATCCGGATAGAGTCCAGATAGAATCCAGATGAATTTCCGGTTCCATAATCCGGAGAGAGAAAAGTTATACTGGATTTTTCGGTAGGGTCCGGTAGGGTCGGTTGCTATAACAGAAGTGATCGTAATGAAACTTACTGTCAGTCACTTTCATTAGAATCACCTCTATTATAGCAACTTCATGACAATCACTCCATTGCTAGACTGAGAGAAGGCTCACCAGTTTTCATTCTCTTTCTTCGCAGGAGTTTACTCTTCTCGTCAGGGACATCTATGCATTCTTTCCACTTCTAATTAAATATGTGGACCTCCAAAGGTTCGTAAAACTTCACAATTTGAAGTAGTAATTTATGACTAAGAGATACGACCAGGACTCAGCTCACTGACAACAATTTTTTTTTCAGAAACCATTGGTTGAAGAATAATGTCAAAGAAGCGGAGCTAGTGTACACTCGTGTGGCACACGTGTTCAACATCTGGAACAAGTCACAGGTCGGTCTCTTCACCTGCTGTGATCTGCGGCACGGATGTTATGGCTTCTTTACCGTCTCGTGCCGGGAACAGGACGCTCTTAAAGACCGACGACCAGTTCGCGTTTTCCACTTCTCCCTCGCTTCCTCCTCTCCCCCCTTCTACCCTGTCCACTGTCGCCTGTTTCCTCCTCCCCCGTAGTGAGGGGGATCTTCTGCCTTGCGAAATCTCGAGTCTGGTCGTCGGCCTTTAAGCGGTATTCAAACGAGTAAAAAATCCCCGAAAACGTCAGGCTTTTGCAATGCGGCGCCGCGACATCGGCTCTGCAGCAGAGCGAGGGAGGAATGCTCGGACGCTACAACAACCCCGATTTGGCCTCGGATCAGTTTGTTTTTAATGTCTATTTGTCGCGTCACGTTCTGGTGTCATGTGTAGAGGCCGCTAAATGGAACGGAAAAACTAAGCTAAAATCGGATTTCGTCGGTGCGAATGACAAGATGCCTGGGGAAGGGGCACATTTACAGCGAAATATACATAAAAAAGATTTAATTTAACGCCAATAATAGAAACAAACATTTTCATTATTTGGACTTCGGAGAATGACTGACGTGGTTTCCTTCGTTTCGTTCGTTGTGGCGAGCAGTATTTCCGGAGGGAGGAGGCGAACTTCATCTCCCAGCACGAGATCGACAACATGGCCCTGATCATGCCGTCCTCGGGCCGCGGAAGGGCCAGCGTGCAGACCACGGACGCCAGCCAAAGTCAGAAGAAGGCGAGCGAAGCACCGAGCTTCGTAGTGGCTACATGGTTGATCTCATGAAGCCTTGAAGCCTGCGCATGACGTCATTGTTAGTGGACCCCGCGCCAAGCCACGCCAACGCTCGACGAGAGTAAACGCCTTGGCGTTGCTGCCTGTCACGATCGTTGGGAGACTCTGTAAGACGCGATGGCGGCTATGATGACGCCAGCCAGGTGGAAATGCAATGCATCTGAAGTCAGTTAAAAGGGAATGAGGCGCGTCTTCCAAGTGGTTTCACCCGGTTGGGATCAGGTCGACGGGAATGGCAAATCTACATGGTAGACTGGATCCGACGTAGAATATATCGAAGAAGAAAAAAACTTTTGAGTTTTTTATACATACGACGCGTCAAGGCCAGGCAGCATAAAGCATAAGCAGATTCAATAGCCGTTAAATACGGCTCGTTCAATATTTTACCCAAATCAGCTACGATAATGCCATATATCTGTTTAATGTAGTATATAATATATTCACCGTAGTAAACATTGATCATGCATTGCAGACAGATCAGGCTCTGATCTCAAAACTATAGTCTCCTAAAATTGTGTTATGCCTGTTGAATTTTTTTTTATATTTATTTTAATTGGGGAGGAAAATAAGAATCTCCAAGAACCGTAGAAATGCGGAGAATCGTGAGTTTATCAAAAATAACTTTTAAGAGTTAAGAATGAGGCGAACCTCAATAGAACAATTGAAGGTTAGGCACTGCTTCTTGGCAATGTTATTAAATATATTAAACAATGTTAATGTCTAATCGAATCATAGTCACCAATCTGCGCATGCGATTCTACGAGGCACAGTTCGATGAAAAATCTCCCCCCATTACACTATATATATACCTCTAGAAAAATCGGAACCAGTGCGGTGGAGATTTTTCTTTGTTTATAAAGATGCGCAACTTAAATTAAACCCTTCTGCAGTGCGCTCCAACAAGGTGTAACGTATATATAAATATTTTATTTTCTAGTCGAAATAAAATACACTTTTCTTAGCTTAAGCGCGTGCCATGGGATGCGGTATACTAGAAGCACTCAGTGGTTGTAGTTTGGATTTTAAACTACAGGACTAACATACTCAAATGCTGTACAAACGCCAAACAGGATTGTGGGTTTCGGGTCCCAAAGCACTTGAGTTTTGACGGGTCCTGTGACGTCACCTGTTTCATTTTGAGGCCTCCGCTAGCTGCATTCCGATTTAAATTCATGTCAACTTCTGGGGCCTGCAACGGCCGGGCGGATTTCTTCCTCTCCACCCTGTCAAGTCGTTCAATGTCACTTTATGATTGTCCGAAAGCTCCGCTTTCATTTAACTGGCGTCGCGGGTGAGGGTAAAAAATCACGCGATCACCTTCCCCATAAAGCTAGCCCAAGCCGTCCAGACTCAGCCGCTAAATTGCACCCCAAAACGGGTAGGGGAAGCCGCAAAGATATTGCCATTTTCAAGACCCGTGCTCCAGTTTGATTTGACCCGGTCTGTACTATACTCCGTTTCACCTTATGTTGTACCGCAGAGAAGGCTAGAAGCGCGAGCTCATACCTTTGGGAGCTGCTCTTAACGCACGAGAGCTTGTGCCGCCGAGGTGTGCACCAGAGCAAGGAGCTCGCGCTTGTAGCCTTTCCTGCGGTGCATCATAAGGTGAAACAGAGTATAGAAATAGGCCGAAAAGACGCGGAATAAATCAGGGGAGTTCCGAACTAGGATAGTAGATGAGAAGGCGCTCTAAACGGAGCTAGAGTAACTAAATAGCTGAGCCAGAGTAGATCCTTCCTTTTCCTTTCACCTCCTTCTTGTTGGAGGAGTTGTCAAAAGCGCCAAATTTGACTACAGCGCTTGCGGGGAAGCTGCCTTGCGAAGCCCCTGATTTGGGGCTGGGCATAATTTTCGCTCTGCATTTGCGAAATGAAGCCTTATGCTGAACTTTCACGATCAAGAAACCTTTTGAACCTTCGGACATTGTGTGTGTCACTTAGACACGTGTAATTGCGTTCTTATAAAGCGAGCGTTATTTTCAAGAGGCGCTGTACAAGCGGACGACTCGACAACAGGAGACGCAGCACGCGCACGCTCGCGCCTCCGAGGGGAGACGCACGACAGCGCATGCGCGTTGAACCCCCGCTCATGTCGTCGCAGTACTTGGAGTCAAACATTTGAGACCGTTCCGATACTCTACTCCACAACCTAAGTGGAGCCTCTGCGACAATTCTGTGCAGGAGAAGAAAAAAAAGCGGGATGGCAAGAGGGACAAGGACAAAGAGTTGGCGGCCAGCCTGGTGGTAGCATGCCTCAAGCGTCTGCTTCCCGTGGGCCTCAACCTGTTTGCGGGACGCGAGCAGGAGCTCGTCCAGCACGCCAAAGAGAAGTTCCTCAACGTGAGCGCATCTTCATTGAGCTATATGCGCGGAAGAGACGTCCGCTGAGCATCTCTCACAGACGTGCTTGGCATCCGTTGCCTCTCAAGCGCACCTCAAGAATGGCATGTATCGTTGAGCAGATAATGATCGTCGGTTGTACACGGTGTTCAAGAGCTCTATTCATAAAGAGACAATGCAGCGCTAAAAAGACGAAAGACAGAAGGAAGAGATGTACAGCCCACAAGGCGCTGACTGCAAGTTGGGTGTTTATTCCCAATAAAAACGTAAAAAAAAAAAAAAAAAAAAAAAAACGGAACAAAAAAAATTAAGACATGCAGAAACTACAACTACCCTACACATCGGAAAAACATTGTCTCGCGTACGTGCCACACTTCTTTATGATATCGTTTAACTTTCTTTTGATGTGTGTTGCGGATATAGTTTCCGCATATTTTAATCTGTCTGGTTTCCTTCCTTCTTTATTTCTATGTCCATTTCAAAAATGAACATTCAGTTGACAGTCAGAGCCTCGTGTTTGTACACCTCTTCCTTGTGTCCATCTTTCGATCGCTGTTTTATCAGTTTATTGTTGCGTACCAATTAGCCCTACTTAATGCCTTGCACTATTTAGCACTAAAATAAAACAGCCAAGGAACAGAGCGCAATAAAACGTTTTCACAAATATGTCTTTAAGGGTTGCATTTATGATACTCAAATATCGTGAGTGCAGGTTTTTGGAGAAAACAAAAAAAAATGGAAACGTGCTATTCTTTTTTTCTGCACAGAGAGAAAAATTGAAACAAACTGGATGATGGCACCATTCACAGATAGTGCCACACGTGTTCGCATCTGCTGGATCAGCATTCGAGTAACAAAAAGGCTCTTAAGTTTTCTGGGTTTTCGTCCCCTGTAATGCCATATGTGAAAGCAGTGTCAACCATGCAGGCAGTTTGTTTTAGTTTGTGTTTTTTTCTTGTCCATACATGTAACACTTTTTTTCTCCGTTTTCCTTTTCTGTATGCATACATCCAGAAAATTTGAGTATCATAAGTGCCGTACCTAAAGATTCCTTTGTGAAAAGTTTCGATGCTCTAACTTCGACCTATTTTTTAACACATTCATTCAAAATAATTGCGCTCGAAACACAATGTAAAAGAAAAAGCGTAGTGAACAAAACGGACAAGAAGTGAGCATTGCTGATATCGTGGCAGTCACGCGCATAAACCGGCTTTCTTTTCGTCCCCATGCTGCTGTGTTTTTCACTCGTGTGAAATTAGACGAGTCGGGCTTGTGTGCTTTATGGGACATAAACCACACAGGCTATATTCTGCTAATTTAATAAAGCCCAGTGGAGCCTCGTAGCACCCTGCCATTTTTTTTCTACAACGCGGATCCTCTAAAGGCGTTCTAATGATTCTCAGTTTCCTAAAGTTACGTAATGCATGATTACGTGGTCATCGACCACGTAATCATAACTCGCATACACGTTCAGTCTTTGGACGTTTGTTCCTCCCAAAAATCAGACGTCCTTGTTGTTTTTTTTTTTGTTTTTTTTTTTTGTAATACTAGAAGAAAAGGATTTTCATTATTTTCTACGCTTTGTGATCTACAATTAATGCTTTCACTAAAACCTGCTACAACTGAAGAGCACGTCTTTTCAATGGATATGAGTGTTACCGCTGTACTTGCTCGAATATATGTATAAGTCGATCCTAGCATTGAGAAAAACGTGGTGGGCATCTTGTTAGCTCGATGGGTTCCAAAATTCTGCTTACTAATGAAGATTGACATTTTTAGCCCCCCTTCTTATAAACAGAGCTTAAAAAAAAAAAAAGAAACATTCAAGTTAATCATTTACACTTCTGAACCAAAAACAAAATTACTCGGTGCAAGTGTAATTCACACGTGGCTCATACACACCAATGATATAATTTCTTCTCTGACACATTGAAATATCAGTTTTCTCGGCATTCATTGAATATGGCCTGCCACTTAAACACCGCATCGGTATGTGGCGACGTATGGCGCTGCAAACTGCATCTCGAATTAGTTGTTTACATTGATCCGTTTACCAGAGACAACGTCGTAGATGGTATCAGTTATAATCGATTGAATTCGCCAAAAGCACAAAATTAACAGGATAACCTCAGTTAACTATTGTAACTGTAATCAGGAGAGCACCTGTTTACAGTACCAGCACTAGGTATAGATGAGTGGGCATTTGAGTTGCACGGAAATAGGACTTTATTCTCAGTCTTGTATCAAGCAGCTTACTACCATGAATCTACCATCGTTTCTTATGTTGACGCTTGAGCTTTTAGAGCCAACCCTAAGAGCTCTTTGTAGCATTAAATGAAGCGATGCACTGATTCATTTTTCGTTAACATTTCAGAAAGACCAAGACGTTGACATCTTCGATTATGTGAAGCTTCAACTTACTCTTCCGGACAAAGTGAGTAAATGGAAGTACAGTCGAATTAAGTTAATAAAAATCCTGTAATATAGTTGTTGTTTTTTTTAAATTTCCTTACATGTTATTACTTGGTGCTTTTTGTGTTAGAAATGTACCCCTCCCAGTTTTTCCACTTACGCTGACTCCCTTTCATAATTAAAAACCTTGAGACTCAGAAAACATAGGCGACATACACACCATAGTCTTATAACCAGCACAGCACACAACTGGCATTTCCTTTCACAAAAGTCTTCTTTGTCATCTTCAATTTGAATGATACAAATCCTAACGGCTGGCACACACAATAGCATTCTGTATACTTATAATGCCTGCCCCAGCGCCTGTTACCAGCTATCACCAGAAGAGTATGCCGCTTGGCCATAAAAAGATGGAAGACGTGAACGACGGGATTAAGCCTTTCTCGTGTGTTCTTGCATTCTTGGCGCTGTTTTGGACATTTGGCGTGGTAGCTGTGAATTCACTTAAACAATTAGTTGTTGTTTTTTCTGCACGTTTGTTGTTGCTTAAAAAGGTGCTGGGGCTATCATTTTCCGACACTCCGATCAACATCCAAGACCATGAAAAGTAATTGAAATCCATTTTGAGAAGAGACGGCGAAGCAACACATACCTTCTTATACTCAAGAGTATGCAGTTGGCACCTCTTTGTGACGGGCGCTAAGGAAGGTCTCTTTAGAGAGGCCTCCCTTAAATGTCCGTTTGAGTGAAGCCTGAGTATCCTGCTGAGGCTTTACTCAAAGCCCAGCTTTGTTCAGCCCCTTTCGTCAAAACTGGATCAGCCCATGTACCCTTTCACAGCCTATTTTGGTGTTGCTGGACTGAGACTGACCTGCCCAGCTTTATTTCCTGGAGGTAGTGACGGGTGCCTGACGGCAGGAACAGTGTGTCATTACAAAACGTCAGCCCCGGCACAGCTAACACCTTCCACACTGCTTAGGGTACTTCGTAGCGGTTGTAACCTCAGAGGACCCTGGGCGTTAAAATTTCTTTTCACTTCTTGCTCTTCGCCTGCGCCTCAACCTCAGCAATAAAAGCTTTAAGTGTTTGACATTTCGACATTGTGAGAGTTGACCAGCTCGGCCATTTGGATATAATTAGTGTTGGGTCATACCTACCTTCCACTACATTTATTCACTACAGGAAGCGACATATGTTTCTGCTCATCGGCTTGGGAAAATGGGTTCGGAAAATATTGGAACAACATACGTAGCGGTAGTAGCATTTTGTAGCAGGCAAGAATCGTCTTTATTGTATGAGGAGGTGGCGGCCCTGGGGGGGTTATGTGAAGCAAGCGCAACGTTGCCAAAGCATCTGGAAGCCAGAAATTGGGCAGGCATTGTCAGTATAAAAGAGGCTATGACCACACACTACGCTGAGAATGCCTCGAGCACTCAAATGAAGGATGACAAGGGAAATTCTTGTAAATGAAAATGACAGCTGTATGCTGTGCTTTAATGAGATGGTGATGTGTATTTTTACATTTGTTTACTTTTTCTCAAGGCTTCTAATTTGAATTGTGCACCAGCTCGCCTCCGTTTTGACACTTGTTTCATGACTTTGTTTCCCCCCTTGACCTGACTCCGGGGTAAGGGGGAGATTTTAGGAACTTTTGCTACTTGTGCTCACACTGTACCTTCTAGTTTAAGAAAGCTACCTTAACTGAACAAACACTGTGGGCAAGTTTGCCGGAAAATTATTTTAAGTTTCCCCACTTGCGCTATACCGAGATGGAGTCTTGGAATGTTTTCCTTTAAGTTACTCCCCCCCCCCCCCCTTTTTTTTCTGAGTTTTGGTGGTAGTTATAGAAAGTTTCCCCAGAGTTTGTCCCCTGCACTGCTTTCATAGTGAGTGTTTTGGGGATGTTATCAATCAATCAATTTTAGAAACGTTCTTTCTGAGAATCCCCACTTCGGCTGACTGTGTACTTCCTCTTTAAGGGAAGTATTATAAATGCAAACCCTGGAGAAGACGAGACAACAGGAAGACGGGTTTTGGTTTTAGAATACTTCTGTCGCCTTCTTTATTTTCACGTGACTTTTTTGTTGCCACAAGGAGAAAGTCAATAACGACGAAGCTAAAGATAATAGTTGCGTTAGGACATTCCTTTTCCCTTCAGATTAAGAGCGTGGGACCAGCTGCCAGACCCGAGTGGAGCGTCATAGAGGGGCGCTCTCGCAGTTTTCACTCAACAAAACATCTTGCGTTTGGGACCGACCTTACCATGGTCTTTGGGATTGGCCGATGAACCTGGTACTATAGACCACTGGGGAGTGGGCCTTATCTTGTCGTTGTCTGGCGATTGCTTACATACTTAGTCTGCATGACGTTCTCCAACCTTGGATGGAGTGCTGATGGGTAACCACGCGTGCACCCGTTGTCGCCGTGACTTCTTCATGTGTAAACCTTGGCCCATGCCGTAGTATTTTATTTACTCCGGGTTCAAGGTTGGATCGTCCTGTCGTCGGTTTTCCGTGTAGATGCTGAGGAGTGTGATGAAAGTCATGTATCAAGGCGAGAGCGAATTTGGTTATCTATCAACATTTCAAAGGGCGACTTCCCCGAGCCAGATGGTGTCCGTCTGTAGTCAAAAAGGAGCCTGTCCAAGCTGGTCGCCACGTTGTCGCTCTCAATTTTCTTCAATCCATCGACGTACCTCGTGTTCAGCAAGACCATTTAAGTTGGGGTGAAACGGCGCTGTCCGCGTGTGCTTTATGTTGTTTTTCAGCGCAAACGTAGCAAACTCGGGACTGGTGAAGGGCGTGTCATTGTCGGAGACAGAAGTGCGAAGTATTCCGATATGGCTAAACACTTCTCTCAAAAACGACACGGTGAATTAGCTTATTGCCTTTTTCACAGGAACGGCCTCGATCACTTTACTGTGAGGGTCGGCCACTACTAGGATAATTTTTTTTCTTCAAAAGGACCTAGATAATTAACATGTATCCCTGACCAGCCTTCTTGGATTGCGGACCAATTTATACATGCTTTTGACGCTGGCATGGGGAGCACATGGACGCAGGCATCATAGGTCGCTAACGTGCTCTCTATCTATTTCTTTAATCCAGACCACCCAAAATCGAGCACTAGCTCTTGCCCTCATCTCCGGTGCATTCTGAAGAGTCTCGTAAAGCAGCTACAGAGACAACATCTAGACTCCTCTGTCGCAATGACACGGTGGCCCCAGTGTACCAGTTCGTGAACCACCGGAAGTCCAGTTTATTTCCCTAAGATGGTAGCAGACTTGAATCGATGTCTTTCTCACTTCTGGGCCAACCATTTATGCCGTAGCTTTTAACCTGCACCAACACTGAATCTGCAGCTGTCATCTATTTCAACTCCCTCGCTGTAACGACTTCCTCGTCCATCTGCTCTACAGCAAGTATGTGTCGTAATAGCCCACCTTCAGGGTCGGTTTTTGTGGCTGCTGTTGCCACAGCTGGTAGAGGAGCCTGCTCAGGGCATTTTCATTGAATATCCCTTGGCCTGGCTAGTATTGCAGTTTGTAGCGGAGGCTACTTTCTCGGAGGGTACTTCCGAGAAACAGTGTACATCGTTGAATTCTGGCCTCAGCCATGGCGGGGGTCGGGCGGTCGGGTCTCTGCAACCCCAGTAGCTGTTGATAATTCATGAAAAGGGTGAATTTTCCTGCAGAAAGATAGTCTTTGAATTTATTATGCCGAAAATCAGAGCAAGCACTTCGCGCTCTAATTGAGAATAGTTATTTTCTGCTGGTGTTAAAGTTTTGGATTGAAATTCGACTAGTTTGTCTTGTCCGCCGTCTCTTTGAGACAAATATCTCCGATGCCGTAGGGTGAGGCGTCGCATTTGAGCTGTAGCTTTTTTTGTTGGATCACAGTGCATGAGAACTTTCGCCAAGCTGAAAGTTTTTTTTGCGTCCTGGAACGCCACATCCCGCGCTTGTCTCAAAGTTAATCAAGCTCCCTTCTCAGTGACCTTGTAGAGACCCACTAACAAGCTTGACATGTTGACAGAAAATTGGGCGTAAAATCTGAACATTCCCAAAAAGAATCGTAGATGCGCCATGTTCTCGGGCCTTGGTGCTTGGTGCTTGCACTATGGCATCGACTTTTGTTTCCAGTAGATGCAGACCTTTTACGTCAATCCAATTTCCGAGCTACGAAACCTCCTCCTTTTTGGGCCTTCACTTGTCTTTTCTAAGTTTTATGCCGTGCTTCCTGAAGCTTTGCGGCAGACCTCGCAACAGAGAGACATCGCCGTCAGCTCGTTTCGACAATATTACGTTGTCCAGGAACGCCGGGACTGTAGGTAGTCGTCGTAGCATGGTCTCCATCGTTCGTTAAAATATCGCCGGCGCGGAAGACACTTCACAATGCAAACATTTGCAGCAGAAGAGCCAATGGTGACGGTCGATCACCGTCATATTTCTCGGTTCATTGTTCAGGGATATCTGAGTGTATTTACCTTGCAGATTCCAGGTACTGAAGCAATTTCCGCCGTTCTGAGATGCAAACATACCTTCAGTGCATGGTAGAGGGGGTTGCTTAACCTCACATGCAGGGTTCAGGGTCGCCTTGCAGTCACCGCAGATACGCGCTGACCCGTCCTTCTTAAATATCCTGAACGATTGGAGTAGCCCAATCTGAGTGTGCTTGCCGAAATCATTCAGACTTCTAACTACCGGTTGAGTTGTTCCGACACCTTATTTCGAAGGATCTAAGGGAGTGGCCTTTCCTTACACAACTTGCACGTGGCACCTTCCTTTAGGTGCAGTCGAGCAGGCGGTCCCTTGATCAGTCCACCGTCTTGAGTTAAAAAGCCTCGGAACTCGCTGAAGACCTCCTCCACGTGTTCCACGTCGACTGTCTCGTTACTGGGAGGAACAGTGTTGCCAGTAAAACTCGGCACTGGGCTGCGGGCCTTGTTCAATTTGGATATCAAATCCCCCACACACAAACATAAACTACACCAGTTCAAAACAGTTAAATTATAATCTACGAGAGCGCCTAGGTAGCAGACTCACATGTGCAGCTCTTCCAGGACTGGCATTCTTCATAAGTGTATAAAAACAGCTTCACCTGTTATGCTTGAAGTTGTGGGAACCAGTGAGGGTTGGCGCCACCGCAAGAGCAGCGGGGCCCGGCAGCGGTTTGGACACGAGTGCGAGCACGCGACATTAAACCCACTCCTTCGAATCTCCATACCGGCTGATGCGTGTTGCCTTTTACAGAAGTTTAGGCCAACATTCATGGTGCTTGGTGTGGGTCATCCCGTGAAATGACACAAACGCGTGATTCAGTGTCTACTTCTATCAGCAGGTCGACTCCACCCCAGGAGAACTTGCGCCGTACAACCACGTTCCATACCACACATTCTCTTTCTGACATGGATGAAAACGAATGAAAAGCCCGGCATGCTGCGGCTCAGCGTCTACGCACCACCAGAGCTTCGCCCCAATCAACATCATTCACCACGTGGAGATGCGGTCATATATTTTTTTTGCTTGAGTTTCTACTTTGAGGACTTTCGAAGGCTCTTTTTGTGTCATTTTTCCACATCCATTTCAGCAGCCTTGGCCACTACAGCTATCACTTCAGCATCTGCTAATGCTGTTCCTCTTTTCAAAAACAAGTGCTTCTGAATTATAATGCAATTAAATGCAAAGGGGCAAGCGAGCTGGACAAGAATTCGTCCCTCTTGTTCCCCTTCTCCAGGGATTATTTTCATCATCATCATGCTTCTGAATATTTCTTGATCGCCCGCCACATATGATCTGGTCCCTTAACATTCTGTCCAACATATTTAAGAATGCTTAGTAAATTCCTAGGCAATTATGTTCCACGTGAAACGTGCCACGCAATTGACTGATTTTAGTGATTCCTCTGGGATTGACGTCTTTTCATGGCGCTTTTCATAGGTTAGATTAGCGATTGGGTTAACACGTGGCATGTACTCAATAGCAATTCATGGAATGAAGATACCGGCACTAATCCGAGCTTTAAACTCCTGGCGCTCTTCCAGAACCTGAACCAGCCAGTCATCGTCGAGCTAGGGGGCGTGATGTCATCACCTGGCTCAGCCAATCAGCTTAAAGTTAATTGACGGCTTTACTTTTCTACTTCACAAATTTCTAACACCTCCTCCTTCCCTTCATAAGACAAAGCACGCTTTATGGGAAAATTGCAATTGTCAGCTATCCTGCGAATTATTACAGTGCATTCGAGGAGAGACTCTCCCTCTTTCTAACAACTATTGAAAAGCTTAAAGCTCTCCATTATTTCGTTGAGCTTGGGATACTAGTACGTATCTAGCGCTGCTACCACTTCATAAAATGTTAGAGCGTCAAGCTTACGTAGATATACTCTTCCGCAGAGTATTCGAACCGCCTTGGTTTCCAGTCCCGCTACAAGCAACACGCGTTTCTTCGCATCATTTGTTAACTCGTTGCCTTCGAAGTAGGCGTTCACCTTAATGAGGTGCGCAATTCACTTCTCCTTGTCCTCATCGAACTTCAGTAGTTGGCTATTCATCTTTGAATTGTAGGCCGCGCGGTGCGTTTCATTGATGACCGAGGAATCCGCTTTGCTCTGGAAGTCTTCATGGTCCTCCATCGTCGCCAATGTTATAAATTCAGAACCCCCAAATGGGACGGGACGAAATGAAAACGTGTTTTGAGTTAAGAACGTTGTGCAGTCTTTTTTGTTTACACGTGACTTTGTGCCGTCACGAGAAACCGGTCAATAACGACGAAGCTAAAGATCCTGGCTGTGTTATGACAGGAAGCTTGCCTCCGAGTTCTCTTACTTGTGATTACTGTGTGAGAAAATTTAGTGAAGTTTCACTTTGAGTTTATTCACATCTGCCTACTCTCCGAGGGAGTTTAATACAGTTGGCCTCTGAGTTTCCCCGTGTGCGCTCGCTGTTTAAGGGAAGTCACCCTTTGTTATTCTGCGCTCCTGCTAACCCCGCACTCCCTGTGCACCCAGATTGACCCCAGCGATGCCATGAGCTGGCAGCACTACCTGTACAGCAAGCTCGGCAGCCAGCGTTCCTCGGGCAGTCAGATTGTCCCGGCACAGGTGTCACATGACCAGCTAGTCGAACGCATCATGGACATGGCCAAGGTTCTCTACGGCCTTCACATGGTGGGTTTGCCTCAATTGACCCCTCTCATTTTGCTGTATTCTAGAGTTGGGTTCAGCTCTTCAAAATTGAGTTTAGAAGGGATGATGAACTCAATGCTCTACATTGTATAGATTTCTATTGATGGGCTTGCAAAATATTTTTTTATAAAAGAATACTGTTTCCCACACGATGGGTGTGTTTGGTAGTAGTGCCGAGTAAATTCAGTTTATGAACAAACCAGGGTTATGAGTAAATATTCAAGTGGAGGTGAATCACTGTCGGAACAGGAATGTGATAATGCAAATATTGCAAAGGTGCAAAGGAGCTGGACAAGAATGAGTTTGTCCTTTGCCCCCCTTGTTCCCCTTCTCCTGGGATTATTATCATTATTATTGTGGCAATTAAGAATGTTGAGCCCTCACGCTCACATCGAGGAACTCCACTTTACAACGAGACCAAATGTACATTTAATAAATCTGCAGTCACTTCTTATATTCCGGTTTTCCTTTTGGTGTGTGTGCGAGTGCTGCTCTGCGTGCCCAGATCGACCACCCACAAGGCTCCATGAAGGGGGTGTACCGCAGTGTAGTTTCTACGCAACGGAAGCGAGCCGTGATTGCCTGCTTCCGCATGATTTCTCTGCACAGCCTTCCCAGGTGAACACACGATGCCACATCAGCCTGCAAGAATATCTGTCCTCTGCATGCCTCACCTTGACTGAACAAGGTTTGGAATGAAGCTGCCTGTCCTGAGCATGCCTTTTCTTGTAACAGAATGTGCTAGTGTTGCATGATTATTTTGTCACCAAAAAACAGAAATCAGGTGGACACACTTTCTGCAAAGCGGTCTCCTTTGGGCACCTTGGCAGTCCACTGTGCAATGCGATCTTGTATAGATGTAACACAGATTTTGGTGAAGTTCCAAAAGAAAGGAATACATTTTTTTAGGCGTTTGAAGTCAGGATAAGGGATGACAGTTGAATCAGTGCGTCGTCATTCGTTTCGGAATATATGCAGTCAAGTTTGCATATATGTTCGTGTTTTTTCAAAATAAACTTCTGTTGTCAGTATCGCTTTGTGCATTCAGTTTTAAGCCTGGTTTAGACAGTTGCGTGTGACTGCGGTTGACTGCGTTGCGGCTTCAAGAAACCAGGACCTCCCTGCTGCTTATATCGCGTGCCAAGATGATTCCTTGCATTGGATTCCAGGCTTTATACAAAGCACAGGTGTGCCGGTGATTTGCTCTTGGTTCTCGACGAAGCGCAGTCAAACGCACTCAAACACAAGTGTCTGAACCAGCCTTTACTCTTTGTCATAAAGTTTTTGCGCTTTTAAGCACCAATCATGCCTCGTCTGTATGCCTCGCGAATTTTCGATTTACGAAATTAGATTAATTGCGCAGGCGAGCTGGCGGAAGTTTACGCTGATCATTTTAACCCGAGAATGTGGCAAACAAGGACACATTTTTACAATGGAAGAAAAAGTAACATGAGTAGAGGATCGAGTTTGTTATGTAGGCTCAATTGTGTAGATCGGTTCTCACGCTGGGTTCCCCAACGTAAACTAAGGTGTTCCCAACCTACACATTTTCTAGACCTAACCTTTTCCTACTTAGTCTTCTTTCCTTTTAAGCCCCATTTCAAATAATTCGATATATTCGTTTAAACGCAAATACGTGCCGAACACATTCTGATCTGTGCATTATTCTTCTAACAGTCTCCAAGCTTCTGCACTGCTTTACTACTACTGTACCAAGAACCGTAATGCTTAGTTGACTAATAATCTAGAGATATAGGCCTCCTTCAAGAGCCCCTTATATAGATTTATTTAATTATGTCATTCCTGCCAACTTTCCCGAATTTCTCATTGAATTTTACAAATTTGGGTCTCGCTTTGTGATTGCACAAACTTAGCGTTGTATTTTACAAAAAAAAATAGGTCGAGCTGCTAGCTCATATCACGTCAAACGTTCAAGTTTTTGTATTGACCACTACGGACACGACAATTTCTATACGTGGTTGGTTGTGCTAATCTGCTTTTCCTTAAATGTTCTTATACTTTTTTACTCCTTTGACGAAACTTTTTTTCCTGCTGAAAATATGACTTAATAAGTAGACACATTTTAACTGTTTGAAATGGTACCGATATGTTTGAACTAGCTAGAAAGCTATGTACCTTTCAACCGAAAATTATCACCTTTCGGTTTAAAAAGTATGAATTAAAAAAGTAAGAAATTATATTCAGATTTAAGACAAAGATCTTGAGTGTATAACGAAGCTCATTGGAGGCTACCTAAAAACTAAAATGTCCAAGGAGCACAGTCAGAGTATGGCATTAAAAAATTGCAATAAGAAAAGGATTACTTGGCATACTTTGTTAAGCCAATTATGGCTGCTCGATTTGCAGTGTTTACAAATTGCGAGTTTCAGGTCGTATACCTTTTCTATCGAGCCGAGGCATCTCGTTCTAACTTAATTTTACACCTAAAAAACTCCATTTTAGACAGCCTTTGGCCAAACCTAGAGGAAGTGTAATTCCTTCTCAAACTTACACCGAGAGTTCTCATGTTGTAGAACGAACATCTTTCCAATTGCTCTGTCTTTGTGGAAAGAAACGGCCTATTATAAATAATCTCGTGTAAAGTAACTTTTTGTGGTAGCATTCTTGTTGATGAAACAAGAAATAAAAACCACGTTGAAAAAACATCTTTTTTTATTTTGTATTTGAGATCAGATTGTTTTGAATAAGAATACCATTTTAATTATCGTCTTCGCAGGGTCGTCTTGCTCAATTAATAAAGTGTCACAGTGGTTTCATCTACCTTAATGGAACCTGTGCGTGTTTGTAAAGTGTAAAACGCAGCTAGTTTTATTAAAGCTCTTCTCATATGAAAGAGTCATGCATTTGTTAATTGTAGTGGCGCTCTAGATCCTTCGCTGCCACATTTCAGGAATTAATGTCCTCGGCCAATTGTTCCACCGCCCTTATGAGTCGTTTGGGTCAACTCTACTTAATATGTGCTAAATTTCTTCTAGGGATCCAGCAGGTATTTTAAGAGGTTCATTAATGACGCTGTACTGCATATTAAATTTTGTTTCTAAATTTGTAAAAAAATTCTCGATTAAAATGAACTGCACATAATTCATTCGATAGGCAGAGACGCACTTTCATTTTTTTTGGGGGGGGGACCGTGATCCCTGTTATGAAGTTGCATCAAATAAATGTACCATGTGGCAGACTTCACTGCGTAACATCACTACCCTTAATTATAAAGATAGGTTCATGCAGCACGCACGCTGTAGTTGCATTACAGGTATTGTCTCTCCTATTTCTTAACCTTTTTCATAAATGCTGTTACCAGGCTGGTAAACATTATGCAACATGCATGTATCACTTCCTAACAAAAGGTGTAACTTGCAAAGCCGAGTTAACCTCTAGTCTACTCATTTGGATATTGGCAGTTTGTGCGCCACTTCTTCATGCATTTTAGTCATCCATTTTGCGATGCTGGATGTCGTCAATCATTAGTATAGTACCATTAATATTATTTTTTTATATATTTCTTTTCTAGCAATACATACTGAATTTAATTTGATAATTTCAGAGCTTTTTTGTGGATTGCTTGATTAGCATGTGGCAACCTTGGCCTGAATACAAACGAAGAGAATGGAAGAAATCAACAAAGTTGCAACATAAACTAATAATAGGTCGTTCTATAGCACAAAACAATTGTGAAAGTGGCAAATTATTTTACTTACTACTCTGAAACGATTGGTAAATTTTCCTAAGATCCTAAAAGTCATCACTACCACTACAGGTAGATCATGTAGCTTCGGGTTACGTAATGCATACCAAAGTCTATTAAATAAGTTGACATCCCGAATGTTGCCTGTGATATTGTTCTAGAGAAAAAATGTATGTTTATATTTAATGTGACGATATCGCTGTCAATGAGAAATTCATCCTGCGTGGTACAACTCGTGTGGTTACATTCTCATTTGAACAGTGCATCACGTAGTAACTTCACAAACCCACACGCTAGTATGATGAAAGCTACAAGTTGTAGCCTTCGTTCCAAACCACATACAGATTTCCGTTCTGCTCTAAAATGTAGGTATACAACAAAGACTCAAAAAACCTCCTATACAACCAAACGTTTTAAAAGTAAACATTAGACAGAAGTCTGTCTGGTTGGGGAAATAATTATTAAAATAAGACGATTAACCAATCCCTAAATCAGGGCCCAACGTTTCGAAACCGGTTCGGCCTCTTCTTCAGGGGCGGCTATGAAGGAAAGGACTCCTTAGTCCTCCATAGTCGCCCCTGAAGAAGAAGCCGAACCGGTTTCGAAACGTTGGGACCCTGATTTAGGGATTGGTTACTCGTCATATTTTAATAACAACCAAACGTGTATTGTACTTGTTTTCTATGTGCCATAAACTTTAAGAGTAGCAGCTCGTTATTCTTAGTTAAGAAATTGGTCAGTATTAGTCGATAAAATAAATAATTGTAAATTCACACTATAAGTTAAAACTGGCACGAAGATGTCACACGGACGGAAAGGGTTAACAGACTCTTCTTTGTCCGTGTTCAACATGCTATTTCTTTTTAGTAAGGGTGTAAAATTAAACGAATTATGATAAATAGATAATTACTATTTCTTTCTTCCTACATTATATCTAACATCTTTATTCAGTGTATGTTTTAAAACTGCAATGAGTATTGGTGTGGTATTCGATGTGCTTTGTTGGAACTTCAATTTCTTGCTTATATAGTAAAAGCTGTTTATTCAAAATTATATTCAAAAAGCAATGCCTGGCGCAGTTTCACAGCATTTGTTTGTAAATGAACTATGAGAATGCACCATTATCAGTAAAAATAAATTACTCTTCGAACCTAGCTATGAGTGGGATGCATTTCAAACACGGGTTTATATTTTGTGGCCACGATGTGTTCCCATACTCAAATTGTTTTATATGAAAATATTCAAATGGTGTCAGTATCCAAAATATGGCCAAGGGGAAACTGCAAAGGAAGTTGCTGTAACTAATTGTTTAATTATAACAAGTGTAATGCAATAGATTGCGAATATATAATTAATCCTTCCTTTCAATAGATGCTTTGCTGTCTCTAAGAAGTCACTGGCACTCGAGTCGTACTTGCAGAGCAGCTATTAGCCACAAGAACAAGAGTTCAAGGCCCAGTTAACAAAATTGCATTGTCCATAGATTATGGTGTACTTTGACGTACTTACGCACTGTGGCATTGAATCTGTAAAAACATTTCATGGCCAGTTTCTTATAGAATAAATCATTTTGGCGTTTTATTCTGTAGTGACAAAACAGTTATTTCATTTTAAAGAAAAAGTCGTAAAGCTGTACCACTGTTACAGAAACACCTGGTGATGCCATTATCTGAGCTAATACCCTCGTATGATTGGATTTTTCTTTCGACTTCATAGAAGTGTATTTCCTGTCTATAAAATTTTTGTTGTGCTGTTAGTTATTCCTCTCAAATTAACGAGCTCGATGTATGGAACAGGCACCGCGCCATCAATATCTTCCTGAAGATCTACAAAGAGCTCTGGCTAGAAGACGAGAATGTGGGACAAGAGGAGCTCATAGACCACCTTACAGTAAGTGTAAAAAATGTTATCCGGCGCCGTCTTGTCAATTCTTAATTGACACTCGAGTCCTGTGACACCCTTTCTTCTCTCAGAGCGTGGCGATGCCTTTTGCAGTCGAGCGATTAAGCCAAATTTCTTGGGCACCCTTGAATGAAAAAAAAAAAAAATATTGTGACAAGGTTTCTTTTTGACGCTAACCAGCTCTCTATTTTTATTTTGAAATTACCCCACAATGTCTAACTTATATCAGGGGATTACAGGACTAAAAAAAAACACGTCCTCTTCAGGACAGCACACTTGTACTTCACATAAACGATTTCATCAAACTGATACTAATTTTGAAAAAATGGCGTACATGTTTGTCTTGACGCGGTACTTTCTCAGTATATTGTCGTGATTGCTCTGCTGAAAGCATATGACATACAGTAATACATACAGGAATCGCTGCTCATTTCAGATTTATTTTTGAATATTTAATTTAATCGCAATTTGCTCAGACGAGCGAAAAACACTTCCCAGTTCAGCTCAGTTTTTATGCCACTACAGCTATCCTTCCGCCTGAATCTATAGGCAACAAACTCTGCAACCTTTTCATATTTTTCTTGTTTGTCAATTAAGATTACTTCAGCATAATCCCAGACAGCATATATAGGCACATTTCAAAACATCTATACATGTTAAATAAGCTGTCTTTCTTTTTAGTTTGGTGTAGGAACATTTTAAGTTTAGTTGCATTCTGGTGACCACCCTTCTGCCCTTTGCAATCACATCATCTGTATGTATATTCCATAAACAGTCGCATGACAATGTGACACCTAAATATTGAAACATATATTTTGTATTGACTGATTCGTTTGCCTTGGCTAAACTTGACGAGGTAAATTTTGCGAACACGCAGAAAATTGGGTCTCTGCGATACGAAGCTTTCACAGCACCACGTGTTTGTACGAATTTTAGTGGTTGGCATCTCTGAAATGTGGTTTGCATTGGTTGGCAACATCCACGTCACAAAACTGTCTCGGGCGAACCGTGCACATGACGTAAATTTTCCATTATTGCATGGTGCGTGGAGTGGTGATGTGGAAGAGTACGATGCAGCTCACATTTTGGTTGTGCACTCTGTGGAACCCCCATGAATAAACAAAAGTATTCTGAATTCAGCGATACTAAATAGCATGCTGGAAAGAGTAACGCCTGGATACCAGTTGAAAAATCTTCCTAGCTTAGCTTAAACAGCGTACGAGTACCTTTCTAATGGTCTACAGTAAAACCTGGTTATAACAAAATTGAAGGAGCGGTCGTAATTATTTCGTTATAACCGTTAGTTTGTTATAGCCAGTGTCAATTTCTTCCCACTATTAGCAAGCAAGGGGAATTATGATTGCTTTGTTATATCCATTGGTTTGTTATATCCCATTTAGTTATAACGAGGTTTCGCTGTATATCTTCAACGATTTTATAACCGTGGAAAGAACACAGATTTAAAAACAAAATTAAAGAACCAAGATTTTTTTTAAAGAACCACTTATTTAGATTTTTTCGACGCTGAAAATTTTGTTTGCGGAATATTTACGCCGTGAGACGCAATTTGGGTGGAGGTCACGGCCCGCTCCAATCCCCGCCCACTGATCAGTCGCCCCGCCTATTATTACGACTAGATAGGTTAGGCTGCTCGGCCGAAGCGCCCGCAAGCCTTGTGCCTCCCTGTAGCGACGTTCAGTGCGTCTAGTCTCACGTCTCACACCGTCTGATAGCCGTTGGAGCAGACGCGCGGCAGCCTCGGGCATCGTGTGCTATTTCAAAAGCGTCTATCATCGGCTAAAACGCCCGTAAAGACGCGGCCACGAAAGCGGCGCGTCGACTGCCGCCATCGCCCCTGCGTCCGTCTCCTATTCCTCGCCCATCCTGAAGCATCTGCGACTAGGGTAGAAAAAATTCCTCATATTGTTTGAATCAAATTAATCAGAATTATTTGCTTAAAATCAGGTTTATATGATTTAAAACACTGTGTGGAGAAAATAGTGATTTTTTACCACTAGATGTATGTTTAACACGTCAGACTGATAAATAAATTCTTCCGACCACTCACAACAATTCTAAGAACAATATTACACTAAATGTAAAGTACAGTTTATTTAATAACTTTTTTATTGTTGTAATCCCCGCCGTCTTAAAAAATTGATTTTTAAGTTATAAAAACTTTATTTGATTTTTCTTTCAAGTTCCTACTTAACTGCAATGCGGAGCGCAAATTCGTCTGCTACCTGCAAAGGGGTTCCGATGATGTCAGAATGCCGAGCTCTGATTGGTAAATTTCAAGGCATCTAGCATTAAAATGTATCTGCTATCCTTTATAAAAAAAAGCCCAGTCACAGCTCAGCGTCATTTTGACGTCGCCGCAACTGCTGCACACAAAGCAGACGACTTGCTCTACGTATAAGACATGACCTTTCCAGTTATCGTTCTTTTCGTTTGCAGTCCGATTGTACTGCAATAAAACGTTACAAGAACTAAGTGGAAGAAAGAAATGAAGTTGAACGCTTTTTTTTTCTCAGAAGAACACTTTTTGTTTGTGTTCACATTGATATAAATGTTTCTTGCTTCGGAATTCTTTAATATAAATATGGAACAAATGCATATAAAAAGCATCAATAGATAGACAAAGTGTAAATACAAATATTTTCCGGATTGTTTTTGCGGGAAAGCTTTGTTTAAAATCATCATTGTAGGGCTGGTTTCCTCTAAGTGAAGAATTAAAATTATAACATATCACGGTTTAAATTATGATTTAAATCACGGTTTGAATCATATTGATTTTATTCTCTGCCACATTGCAACGCTCGCAAAACGTGACCACGAAAGCGGCGTTCTGACGTTCCATCGTGCACAACCCAAGGTCCAATGCAGGCGTCTAGCAGGGTCTGCAGATGTGCAATATAAAGTGACCAAACGGATTTTAAAAGAAATATCAACAAAATAAACATAATCCTTCATAGCTTCTGTAGTCTTTTCTTTTTTTTTTTGTATTCTTAAGATGGCAATTACGAGCAGGGTGAGTAGCCGTCATGACGCACAATTACAACGCACTCTCAAAATACTTCCCTTGTGGGGCCAGGTGCATTGCAAAACATGAGAGCTATGGGCCTTTCGAAGCGAAATGACGGGAACATACCTGAACAAACTGAGCTTGGAAACTCCCATAGAGCCTCCATTCAAAAAGTGGCTTCGATCCCTACTCGAGAACCGAACTAATGGCGATCGCAACGCCGCCATTTCTCCCGCAGCGACCACTTCGGGAACTGCACGTTTGCACGTGTCTGTTCAGGGGCCCTAAACTCGTGAAACACAAAGTTGGAGCCGAAAGTTCGCGGAGCGCGCCGATTGGATGTTGGCGACAAAAGCGCCAAGTCATCGTCGTGATTATCCAATCGGTGCGCTCTCTCAACCTTGGCCCCAACTTTGAGTTTGACGAGTTTAGGGCCCCAGGTCGAGTCGCGCAATGGCCGGTGGCGCCATCTCGCAGTGCCATTGCGCAGTAGCAATATTTATTAACTTTAAAGTTTTGACTAGTCGCTAAAGGGTGGCGTGTTATCGTATCTAGTTTGGTCTCGGTGGACGCGAGTGGTCCGGGTTTCAAGGGTGAGTTTCCCAACTGAGTGTTTTCGTAACGTTGTATTCAGAGGAAGTTCTCAACCAACGTAGTTTGCAGTAAACAACTGTCGCAAGCGTACGCCTTGGGAAGCACTGTACGGGTTCCGGATTTCATAGTGGGACTGGCGTAATCCTAGAGTTCTACGTCAACTGTTTTGCTTGATCTGGCTCGATTTGCTCGTTTGCGCGTTTTAATGCGAAATAAACGTGTTGGGTTGGTTCCCGTAAAGGCAGCCCCGCTACTCGGAGGGTCGTGCGACTGTTGCAATTCCGACTACGGTTTCAGTACTGAGATGCAACATACAAATGAATTTCTGGGCCATTTAGCTCGAAGAATTCGGGTGTTCGCCTCGTATCAGGTGTGTCCGGGCATGTTTTTGTGATTTTGCTTCGGAAGGCACTAAGCTTTTAAGTTCTGAGCAGTACACCTCCCTCGCCAAAACGAATATTTTAGGCCGCGTTTTAATCGTGCGTTATGACACTTGTCCACCTTGATCTCCGACGCTATGCAAAAAAAACATGAAGAGAAAATCTTTAAAAAAACTGCTTATTTATTTTGCAAACTTTCTTCCTAGTTCTTTCGGTATGTTTTTTTGCTAGAGCCAAACGCCAGACGCCGGTGTTCCGCACTTTAACGCGTTCGACGAGGGCAGTGGAGGCAGAGGATGCTAGCTTTAAGTCTACCCACTAATCGTTCCAATCAGAGCTCGGCGTTCTGACGTCCCGCGCACTTTTATCTCTTCCTCTCCCTCAGTATCTCTGCGCATTAAACTGTGGCTCGTGCATGATGGAATGATATGGTCGGTTACATGTTAAGAGGGTAGCGGCAAATGCCCCTCAGAGGGAATCACATATCCCTCCGCCACCTCCGCATCCAATAGCGTCCCATCGTTTCCGTGACGTCGCGGCCAACGCGCGAGGAGGGTCTTGTCTTTCTTTACAGATTTGCTTCATCTTTCGACTTTGACCTAGCATTGTGGAAGCCACGAGAGGGAGATTAGAGTTTTCCCCCTTCCATATAAACAAATACAATTTTCGGGGATTAGCTTCCCCCTCCGATGGATACAGAGGCTGCTTTCAGGGGCTCGGTTCCCTCTCTGATGAATACAAAGGTCGCTTTCTTAAAAAGTTGGATCGGAGACGAGTTGGAATCCATTGAAGCGGAACCAGGAGAGTTTCCAGTGAACTCTTCTTTTGACCGCGGACAGATTTGAAACGGGCGCATCACGCTTGTGGGAGGAGCTTCTCCTACCTTCTTGACTTGTAACCTACTATAGAACGCAGCTTTCATGCTCGTACCCTGCGAGCGTCGCAGACGGTTTTAGACGGGGGCTAGAAAGCAGACGGACACAAGCGATGGCAGACATGAACGCACCGCTTTCCTGGCCGCGTCTTGCTGGCGTTCTCGGTGGTAGTAGACGGTGTTCTGATGCAGACGATGTCGTACGTTGCCGCACGTTTGACCGCACGACTACCAGAAGTCGTCAGAGTGTCAGACGGCAGATTAATCGTCGAGACAGGGAAACATTAGGCCTGCGAACGTGTTCAGCCGAGCAGCCAAGCCAACCCAATGGTGATGGGTGGGGCCACCGTTCTCTGGGCGGGGCATGGAAAGGGGTGGTGAATTCCACCTAACTTGCCCCCTTAGATCTTAAATATGGCGGAAAAAACTGTTTTTTCGTAGAAAACATTTTTTGTAAAATGTATGTCCCTTCAATTATTTTTTTATTTCAGTGTTATTTTAAATTTATTAATGTGAGTAAGGTGACTGACCCTTTCTTCCACAGCAGCACCTCTTTCACACCCCGCTTACACCATTCAAAATAGAAGGGTGTTTCACGCATCAGCCCCCTACCTTGCGATTAAAAATGGTGCATGATTCTAGACTAGGGAGCTAAAAGGGTGGAGTCGGGGGGTGGAAGTCCCTGGATCACACTTTTTTAACGGTGTAAAAATACTTTGTGTGTAGGAGAACGTAAAGCGAGCGCTGTTGCTAGGGGACCCCTAGTTGCGAACAGGAGTGTAGCTTTTCATTCCGTGTACAGACCGGTGCTTGCGTTTCGTTTTCAGACAACCTTCGAGGATTCGGAGAAGGAGACTTCGACGGAGGAAGCCGAAGAGAAGCCGGATCCCCTGGTGCAGCTGGTCGTGGCCTTCTCCCGAACGGCCACCACGGAGCACAGGTCCGCCTTCTTTGCGCGAAGTGTGTGACAGGGCTGGCTCCTAGCAGTTTCTCATGACGCATCTCATGTAACAGACGAATTTTGCACGATTGCTGCGTTCAGCTGGGCCTCCCTTCCTCCACGATTGGACACGAGTCTTAGCAGAGCGCTGACGCACCACTCGGGACGCAGAACATTTACCGCCTCGTTGGCTAGAAGGAGAGGGAGGAACGAAAGCACTTGCTTGAGGAAAAACAGGGAGATATGATAGATAGAAAAACTGGAGTGTGCGACCGCAAGAGACTCAAATTTTAGGTTGCGCACCCCCTGGCCTTTTTCGAGAGTTGGAATGACGATATTTATGCTGTTGAGGCACACAATCAATACCGAGTTTGTCCCTGCAACTTCACCACGAATGAACACATAATACGTTGTGAGTTACCAACGTCTTTGCCGGGATAGTGCGGAAGAACATGTTTTTTTTTTGTTTAATTTCATTTTTTATTCAATTCTAAGATTAAGTAAAGTACCCCGATATTCTAAATGACGTTCAGAATCTTCGCACGTAAATTCATTAAATTATTACTCTGTTAGCATTTTCAGTGGACTGACCGTGTCCATCCTTGATAAATAATACGAATAGTAATTACTTTATTTTCCAACAAAAGCAATGTTGGTGGTGCAAATGGGAGAAGGCTGTCAAATACAGCTCAGTTTTCCCAAAGCCCCAGAAATACACTGGCAGTAGAGCACGTGGAAACAATGTTGTCTTATACATATGCAAGTAACCAAGGAAAGAAAAATATTTCAACTTTTACAACAGAAAAAATCTGCATCACACTCACAATGTAAAAAACTTGGACATAACAAGTTGCGATTAAAATTAGACAGTTGGCTGAAAATACCATATCCCAGGAGATGCCTACCGATATATTGTCAATTTTAATATTTCTTGCCATAAGCTGGTTGAAAATGGTCGGCAGAGTGTATGTTATTGCATGATGGCGATAATTTGTTGTAGTAAATGGTACTTCCCAAGATTCCAAACTTCTTGTTGATTATGGATAAACCTTCTCGGTTACACTAGCTAAATGTTCAAAAAGTCGCTCGTTGGCGTTTTTTTTATATCTTTTAGTATATATACAAAAACAAATCATTTTTATTACACGAAGTTTACTAAGAGTAATTTCTGTTTGACATTAAGTTGAATCACAGCAAACGAACGTAACGATATTTTTTTAGCTTTCGAAGGTTTGCGTGAGTAGCTGCACTTCATTCTAGGTGCCTGTAAATTATGTGCGAATAAAAAAATGTAAATATATATTGGCCGCTATATCTTGAGTGGCAGAATATGTCTATGGCGACATGCCAGGCAACCTATTACGGCATAATTTGGACAAAATGAGATTAACACAATTATCCCACAACTTGAACACAAAAAAACGCCTAGAATTCTAAACACCGCAACAAATTATATTTTAAAAGTATTAAGAAATTATACTTAATACTTTCTTACTAAAAGCTTACGACCAAGCGCGTATACAGTATAATTTTAACATGTCTAGTGCGATGGACATGCCCGACGTAGGTATATTTTTGCGGAAGAGTTTTAATATGCAGTCTCTGCTAAGGCTTTTATAATGTGTCTTTTCTCGTATGTCGCTTGGCAAAAAGTGCTATCTTTAAGTTCATGCACTTATCCTCTTTTACAGTTATATATCAGGTTTTTATTTTCTTCATAGTATGCATGCGTTTTGTGTGCCTGTCCTTTATGCAACAGTGCACGTATCTGTAAACGGTGCACCCTTATGTAGGCCCCCAGACTGTTTAGGGGCACCGGAAAAGTACAAATAAATAAACAACTTTATTTTTCATGCTACTAAGGGCTACTATAGTTTTATTCGCGCTTATATTTAATACAATGTTTTGCCTGACATGTCTAGTTCACTTGTTTCATTTGCATATTCTGATGTACATGGTAAGCTTGATATAAAGTTCCTTTATCATATGATTTCTCAAGCATTACTTCTTACTAACCGAAATTATTTTTTTCTACTCGGGTTTCCTTGATCCAGAGATAAACCGACTTTCACATCATGTACCATTTGAAAACTGTTTACCTTGTGGAAAACTTTCTTAGATAAATTGTTTGAATAACTGTCCTTACCTTCCTTTCAGTGGCGTAATACCGGAAGATCCTTTGTACATGCAGTATGCCTTCATATTCAGTCAGGTAAGCCTGACATCCTTGCTAGAAGTTTTGTGAAGGCAGCAGCTTTTAGTTTCACGGAGAATCCATTTAGGGGCTCAAGGGGGTGAGTCTAAAGATATATAACGTCATGTCATCTAGTGATGCGACACAGTAACATGACATAATCGCGTAGTCACGCGCCCTGACTTCACATCAGAAGGCACACGTTTGGGCAGATGTTTTGTAGTGAGGTTGAGAGCCAGGGTAGTTGTTAATGGTAAAACATAAACGCATAAAACAGCGTCGATCTTTTACTTGCGAGACTGTGGCAGTGGCCTAAGCACTTTTTTGTTCTTCCGATTTGCAATGGGATGGTGAGCAGTTGCCTGAAAACTAACCAGAAGTATATTCTTAACTTTTATATTCAACCTCGTTCAGATTATTGTTTGTTATGTTCACTGCAGATGTCATACTAAACCAATTTACACCTTTTCGGTCCGGCAAGGAGTAATGTCAAAAGGCCCATCGGGAGAGCTCAGTTCCCTGTAAAGGAGGTGTAGTTCATGAGATTCCACTTGCATGTGGCTTAATTTATATACATGGCAGGCATGTAGCCAGGGGGGGTCCCATGGAACCCGCCCCCCCCCCCGAAATCCTCCATTTTGCTGGGACCCCCCCTCACCCTCATACAGTATTTTGTCATGGTGGGTGCCCCCCCCCCCCCCCCCCCCCCCGAATCGAAATCCTGGCTACGTGCCTGATACGTGGTACAAACCTGGAGATGCATGAACGATAGACTCTTGGAGCGTAAACGAAATATAAAGGTAAACGCGACGAACTCGGAATTAGCAAAACATATGGGGGAATGAAGCAACTGCTGTGATTTTTGGTCAAAAATAGAATTTGTAGACAAATTCAGATTACATAAAACGGTTGTAAGAGAAAAATAAGAGCAAAATCAATATGGAATTATATTTCCTCGATACAAATTAGGGCACAAATCTAAGCAATTAGTTGACATTCTTCGAAAGATGGAATGCAGAGCGCAAACTACGAGGACACAACCTACCTAATAGGTAGCGCTTGTACTGCATCCTTCTATGTCTCTGTGTTCTTTTCGTTTGCGCTCTGTGTTCTATTTTTCGAAGTATGCAACAACTAGCTGGCTTCATCATACTTAATGTCTGAAGCGCTTTTTTTTTCTAATATAGAAGCCATATATGTCTCTCTGAAAGATTGAGTTCGTTCAGTAGCGGCTCCCTCAGCTCCGAACGGAGTAACTCGAGTCGGAGTTCTCGGAGCGCCTGCAGAACGGCGAAAAATGCTCTTGAGCTGCTCCCACGCAGCTTCCGCTTCCTCCCCTGCGGCAGACGGTCTCCGAATAAAATGAAAGCAGACAACGCCGAGCACGATCGCTTTATTTGACGCCGGTATTGAAGAAGTTTTGACAAGGTCGTTAGAGAAAAAGAGAGTGACTGTAGACATTAGCGCCGTTGTGCTTGCTGTTCGAAACGATCCAAAGAAATCAAGCCCTATAGAAAGCGCTGCAAAAAAAAAAAAAAAGGAAACGAAAAAACTTACAGTCTTTAAACTCTGGTGAAGAAGGAAGACCAGCGAAGCTGTACTATGGTGGAAATGAAGTGTTTATAAATGTAAGCATTAAAGTGTGATTGGGTAATTGGTTATCTGACAACCGTACTCTCCCCAGTTGTCTTTGTTATACCGCGTTAACCGCCGAAGAGTCATGAACGGGAGTCGAGGCGCCACTATACTCCGCGACAACTTTTCTTGGCAATGCAGTGGAAGGTACAGGCCTGCGTCCCCTCTCCCACTTTGAGTGTACGCAGGCTCTCCTCCTCCCCCATTTCCGGGGAGAGGAGGAGAGCCCGCGCACACTCAAAATGGGAGAGGGGACGCGAGCGTGTACCTTCCACTGCATTGCCAAGAAAAGTTGTCGCGGAGTATAGTCGTTCCTCGACCACGTTCAACCTCGGTAGGTGCGCCGGTACGGGTAAGTACCTGTAGCCGTTCACGGTCGCGAACCGGGGCACCACGCCTTTGAGCAGGGAATCTCGGCACGTTCTCCACGGCGGTTCTTTGTAGACGTCCGCCGACTTGATACACTGCCGCAACGCGCACGCACCCGTTTCCCGCTTCTAGTCCGACACGCCGCCGATCGTGGATACGTCTCCGGCGAACCAGAGTCGGTCGCACACGGCGCACGCGATGCCAAACGGGTTCTCCACGAACTCCCTCCAGAACCTCGCCGTCGCACCCGGGAACTGTTCAGCCAGCGTGGAATGCTCTCGTCGCCGGGCCTTGCGCTTGCGCTTGGCCTCCATGGCACGATCGTCGTCCGTGGCCCGCTGGCGCCCTTTACATCGCTGGTTCTGTTCTCGGCAGCGGCTTTCCAGTCGAGCGATGTGCTCTTCTTTCGCAAGGGAGTCTGAAGCGGTAGACGCAGTGGAAGTCGAGGCGACAGCGGCTTCGCGTCGGTTGCAGGCCCATTCGCGCTGCTGCGCACGCCGCCGCTTCTTCTGCATCCAGTCTTCTTTCCCCGAAAGGGCACGCGGCCAACACATCCTGAGTCCAAACCGAAATTGATAAGAGCGTAGGAAACAGCGCGCAGTGACGAGCGCTGCGCTTGTCACTGCGCTTGTCAAGTATGCTACATTTTCATCCTCGTATGTTTTTCGCGCTGTTTCCTACAGTGAACCCCCAGCAGCGCACCGAACTATCCATTTTTCTATGATAGCTGAAAAGGTTGCGGCCATCTATGAGCGACGGCGGCATCCAGACTGGTTGTGTGCTTGCCGCCGTTGCTTATAGATGGTGGTAACTGTCCAGAGGTTTGTGTAGATTTGTGTAGACAGCATTTTGGTTCCGGGCACGACCCTGGGGAACCCAGCCTGTAACAGCTCCGCTGTGAAAAAAAAAAGGAAAACAAGAAACCGTCGCAACACGTGGAAATTATAAAGCTCGGTGGAAGTACGCCGCTGGTTACGATACCTTTATGCGGCCATTCGTTTGTTCTGCATTCCCTTCCGAACTTCCTATAAAATGTATTCGTATACATACGGGAAGTCAGCCGCGCTTGGCGGTCAAGGTTTTCTCGGCCGCAGGAGTCTTGGATATTCTTCAATACCCTCCCGAAGCAGTTCCTCATACAAATGGTTTTGGATTTCACGTTCTTTGTGTGGCATCCATCCACTGAATAATCATCTCTTTTTAGCAGGACGCAGCTCGTCGACTTCTCGTCTAACAGCGCTACTGCCATAATTGCGTGTCGCCCGCCACGCCTCCGTTTCTCTACTCTCGTCAGCGCGCACCGTCTGAATCGTCTGATAACACTGATATCACCCGCGGCTCCACGCCATTCGTCTGAATGTTAAACTTTGGGAGGGAATCCCGTTGGTTTCGCCGATAACTGATGTCACGCACATCCCTCCTCGAAAAGCGTCCTCTGTGTGAAAGCCCCTTTAGGCTTCGTTTCCCCGCACCACAGTCTCAGGTGTGACATTAGGACTCGAATTCATTGTAGCAGCTTGGTGTATCTATTGCATCCATAAATTCACTATAATAAAATACTAACTGCAGGTTAATTCGTGACGCCTACACTGGTCTCCAGGGCTTTGTTTGCTCGAAGCGCTAACCGCGGCTACAGTTAGCCGCAGCACCTAGGAGAGTAATTTCGAAATCACGTGACTGGCTCAGTAGGGGTGAGGGGAACGATGGCGGTGCCCCGGTGAGTGAGCGCCGCTCGCCTTTAAACTATAGTATGTCGTTGTAATTGCAATATCGCGCGCGTTAATCAGCAACGAATGGTGCAGGAGGCTTTGGCTTTGCCTTACCTCACATAAATTGCAAAACATGAGCAATCACCTCGCCGCATTTTTTAGATAACCTCTCGATTCTGGCCATTACTAAGCCTAAATGAACCTGATAATTGTCGGCATGGCAACGTCTTTGGAAAGCGGATCGCCTTGACTCAATCGGCCGGGTATTGATAGCACACTAAAGCCAAACATCGAGGAGAACACTGGAAGTGTAAATCTGCGGTCCGCGCGCGCTGGCCTTTCTCTTATAAAAGATTCAAAGTAAATAATCATAATAGGGCCTTGACGAACGCGCGTGCAAGGCAAAATTTGTTTTAGATGTTTTGCTTTAGAATAATTACTACCGCAGACTCCAGCACTTGCAGCACGGGTAAATACACCCGTAGCATGCACCTCGGTGCTTGGAAAATTTAGAGAAAGGTCTATTGGGACGTTGTCTGCTTCTGCGTTAGCACTTCGAGCAAACGGGCCCAGATGTCCCTTGAGATCTGGAGACAAACGAGTGTAGACAATTACAAACAAGTTACAAGAGGGGCCACTTTTTTATTTTGTAATATGTCATGTTTCTGGGCAATATCATGAATAATCAATCAATTCATGTTTATTATGCCACCGAACGGCTTCCAGGCCTTAGGAGGGGCACAAGCACATGAGGCCATAAACAAAACATTTACCTGCCAGTAATATTATGCCAAATACTCCTATTGAAAGGGCAGAACGGGCGGGCTGGTCAATATAATTAAACTTGAGGAAGAAAATGTCCGTCCTTCTCGTTTTTTTCTTCAACTTTAAATACTCCTCTTGAACTCCTCAGAATTGCCAGTGAAGAAGTCTATGTCAGAATTATCCAATCTGTCCAACACAAGCTGCAGTGTGTGTCAATAGAGGGCCAGATTCTAAGTCAGAAGAGCAAAAGAAGGTTGTGGATCTATTTTGTCGTCGGGGAACATAAAATGTGATTATGTTCAGTAACTGGGTGAATCAATAACAGAATCAATACAGCGCGAGAAAATCTTTGCTTTGTGTTTTATGCAATTTCTCACAAAGAATAATGTTCCAGTTAGTAAATTGTGCACTTTAGAAATGATGGTATAATTCCAAGTTTCTGGAAATTAGTATTAATATAGCAGGCTTTTTTATATTTTTACCGTCATTATACCTCTAATTTTTTTCAGCTTTAATGGCTGTACTATAAAAAAAAAACGTGAAAGCTACGAATTCAAGAAGAGTGGTTGTTTGGGCGAGTTGGTTTGACATCTTATACAATCTTGTGCGCAACAAAGACACGGACAAAAGTAGAGAAGAGGACACAACAAGGCGCCTTGTTGTGTCCTCTTCTCTGCTTTTGTCCTTGTCTTTGTTCCGCACAACATTGTATAAGATGTGAAAGCTACACTAATGTGGTTTATGCTTGCGAGTTAACGATCATGGGAACAAAACATGCGTTGTTAATTGTCACGATATGCCGTATAACTAACAAAAATGGGTTAATTACATGTCTAACTAGTGAAGCTAAGCATATGATTCCAACTAAAACTCGCTGAGCGTCATCGAAAACTGCCGAATCAGTAGATTTTAGGAAGACTTGGAGAGCGTGCAAAGCGCGGGGGTGCGCTATACTTAACCACTTGCGTAACCGGAGTATGACTCGCAGTTCGAAAACGCACCCGCGCGTTTTTTCGACTCTTAACATTAATTTTTTGTTATGTTTTTTCTGCACCGCCAATTTTGCGCATGTTGCACAAATTGTAGGGCACCACCAGGTTTTCCCACGTGCTCAATTATTTATCAAAGTGACGAATTGAAAGGTTTTCGGTGACGCTCAGCAAGTTTCTGACTGCAATACGTTAATCCCCACTAATAAAAGGATAATTAACATACTTTTGTTAATTAACCGACTTATCGTGACATTCACAGCCTATAGTATGTCCACCTGGTGTACAGCTTACCTGCATAGACTGCATTAGCGTCTTTCACGGCATTATTAAAGCAAATCTGTAAATCTGAGAAAAGAACACCCTGTTTATGCATGTATTTGGGCAGTCAAAATGGCTTACTTGTGTGCCAGTAAGGCTATGTGGTTTTTGACTGCCACAGGTTAATAATAATATGACACTTTCAATTGAATGCATTGGTTCTGTAGTGATCTGAAGACGTCGATCCGCCAAGAGACTGCTCTGGCGTGTTTGTAGACATGTGTCACAGCTGGATATTTTCTGAAAGCGGGTGGTGTGTTCCAGAGCTGTGGGGGAGCGGAAGAGGAGGAGGAGGAAGAGGAGGGGGACGACGATGCTGGACCTTCCATTCACGTGAGCATCCATGCGAGACGACCTATAAGAAAACACCAGACCGAGTTTTGGTGTTTTCTGACGTTTACATCAGGGCGGAAATTCAGATGCGGGTTCTGGTGTGCTGTTGCGTTCTGGCGTGACCCGGTCTAACATGACCCGGTTTGGTGTGACTTGGTGTAATCCCGGCATACTCATGTGGTCATTGCATAATTTCGACATCAGATAAGTTATTTTGAATGCAACAACTAAACTCCGTTTCAGATTATGACAGACCGAAGCAGATGGAGTACGAGACATCCTAGCGAATCCAGCGACGTGGTCGTGTCCCGTGATTACGCGAGCCGCCCCTTTCTTGACGTCACCTGGTGCGCTGCCGTGTGAGAGACACGGCATTAGATTGGCTTCATTGGCTCTAAGCGTATTCTGCGCTTCATCTTAAGGTGCATCGAACTATAGCAGGTTCTGCAAAGAATACACTTCAATGTTGGAAAGGATTAGGTGTTTATTAAGTCAGTCGTCCTGGTTATCTGGCATCTTGCACCTAGCTAGGATGGTTTCTAAAAAACCAGTTCATTTTGGCTTACAGACATTTGATACGTAAGAAGTTTATAATCGAAATGCTCTGTAATTTTCACTATACCAAGGTTTTTTTAATAATGGTACCGTACGAGTAGTATTGAATTTTGCATCGCCCATATTTCAAATGTTTTTTTCTTCAAAACATGTAAGGGTGCATATTTGTTGCCGTTGTGTTTTCCCATACAAGGAAACAGTAATTACAGCGTAAGCAAAACCGGGAGTTATGAAGAGGGAGTATTACTAAGAGGAGTAATGTAGGTCTGCATTTATGAATAACGCCCACAACGTTTGAGAGTTTGCCTGCTACATATTTTACTTCTGTGTCCCATACCATGTTCTCATTAAATATGACACCAAGACCCTTCACAATTGGCAAAAAATCAATATGTTGTCCTCGGAAAGAGAGCACATGAGTAAGTGAACAAATTTTATTTCTAGAACAAAATAGTACCACCTTTGCATTATATGCATCAACTACCAAAGAGTTGGAAATCATCCAAGTGGTTATCTTTTGTAGCAAGTTATTCTCCGTTCACACAACCTGATGAACAACTTCCTGCGAAAAGAACAAGGTGGTGTCGTCTGCATATATTATGAAATCTGCCCGGTCTTGTATTCTATATTTACTATATCATTCATGCATAAGTTACAAAGAAGAAGGGGTCCAACGATGCTTCCCTGTGGCACCCCTGACGTCAGTTTCTTCAGGCTGTTTATCTATTACTATTAGCGCTGTCTAGATATTATCTTTTAGCGCTGTCTATCTATTACGACACAGTCATAACGATGCTCGTGAACATTTTTTGTTATTGTTGAGGTGACTCCTCGCACACCCATGCATTTAAGTTAAGCGGCAAACTTTATGGTTAAGAAAGTGGGTCGAAAGTTTTTCAAGGTCAATAACGACTCCCAAGGTAATCAATTGTTTTCTCTGTTATTTAGGATTAGCTCTTTTTGTTTTAATAGTGCGAGTTCCGTTCAATGTCTTTTTCTTAAACCAAACAGGTTGTATGTTAGGACGGAATGTTTCTCACACAAAGCTTATAATCTGGGATGTAATATTTGCTCGAGCCCCTCCAAAAAACCAGCAGAACCGAAGCGGGTGTATAATTTCCCATGTGATTTTTGCCTACGGACTTAAAAATAGCCGAAATCTTTGCTATTAGCATTTTTTTAGGAACGTTGTTCTTTTCGGGTGCCAAATTAAAAATATTTGTTAAAAACGGTGCGATTGATTGAAACACGTATTTCAAGGGTTTGATTTGAAAACCCTATTTGCTATTTCCAAGGCTACTAAAAACCGCGGCTACCTGTTCCTCGTCAGTAAGGGTAAAACAAAGTGTGTCAGAGACACCCTTCACAAATGGGATTGCATCGTCAGCATTTACATTCTTAACCCTGTTTATAAAATAGTCATTAAATATCTCTGCCAGTGCCTAACCACCTTTCGCCTTCTCTTCGACAGTAAGCTCGATGGCTTAACGTTCGCGGGCCTCAGAAACGAGCTGTCTTTTCTAGTTAATATCTGTACGCTGCTCACTGTCAAAAACAGCGTGAAAAATATGTCCGTCTAGCCCCACGCATTGCGCTTGTAATTGCATTTCGTTGTTCTTTAAGCAGCGTTATTCTACTTGGGTTCCTAGGTTGAATGAATTTGTTGAAGAGTGCGTCTTTCCCTCATCACCTTAATTATCTTTCTTTTTAACCAGGATTTTCGAGCTTTACTCTAAGCTATTTGTTTCTTTTGTTTTGTTATTGTTGTTGTTGTTTCTTTTTGTAAGAAAAACAAAGCTTGTAAATATTTGCAAAATTTCAATAAAGTAATCATAGGCTTCGCCAGCTCAACATCATATTCCACTGAGATCGAATAATTCCTACTCTAAACGCCTCTTGTTGTTTAGAACACGCGCTTCTTATAGTTCCAAATTCGGAATATCACTTTTCACAACGGCCCATGTTTCAGTCTGTGTAATAATATCAATGAAAAGTTTAAATCCTTCAGAGAATGAATTAGTCACCATGCTCATTTCGTACAGATTATGCGTTTAAACGAAATAAACTAAGGGGCGCACGTGAGGAATCCCTATATAGGAGTCCTACATCATTAGGGGATAATCGTTGCTCATAGTGAGAGAGACATGGAAAAAAGGAGCAATTTGAGTGTCCAAGATGAGCATTTGTTCCCAGCTCTTGACAATCATAGCCTCGACATGCATTCCCGTAGTGTCTCGTGTCCAATCGCTGCGATAACGGGAATAGCCAAACCATAGCAATGCGTAGAATTCAACGCGTGCCCTCTGCTTTGCCAACCCAAACAAGAGGCTGTGATATACATTGGTGGAAATCAATCGACTCCAGACCACGTGACAGCTTGCTATGGTTGCAGGGGAAGGGGGGTGAACGCTGCCCGTTTTTCTCAACTTTTGTTTTGCCACTCCTTTTGCTTGGACAAACACAATTAACACTTGTTTTATAGATTACAAATGTCAACGGAGAATTCTACGCGGCATTTACTGAAAGTAGAAAAACTTGTTGCATCGCCCTTTTAACTATAGTCAGTTACAGGTTAAGAAGGTAGCGGCAAAAGCCCCTCAAAGGGAACCAGATATCCCTCCGCCACCTCCGCATCCAATAGCGTCCCACCGTTTCCGTGACGTCGCGGCAAACGCGCGAGGAAGGGCTTGCCTTTCTGTACATATTTGCTTTATCTTTCGACTTTTACTTAGCATTGTGGAAGGCACGAGAGGCAGATTAGAGTTCTCCCCCACCGACGGAAACAAATACGACTTTCGGGGATTAGCTTCTCCCCCGATGGATACAAAGGCTGCTTTCAGGCTCTCGGTTCCCTCTTCGATGAATACAAAGGTCGCTTTCTTAAAAAGTGGGATCGGAGACAAGTTGGAATCCATTGAAGCGGAACAAGGAGTGTTTCCAGTGAACTCGTCTTTCGACTGCGGAGAGATTTGAAACGGGCGCATCACGCTTGTGGGTGGAGCTTCTGCTACCTTCTTGACTTGTAACCGACTATACACCTTTCCAAAAACCGCTCCTAGGCCGCCGCCATGTTGCTGATGCTGATGCGGCTGGTGCGACTCTCGCGCCCTCTATCAGCTAGAAATTTTCTGCCACTCTCTGGGACTGTGAAGAGCCGCTCAGCGCGGTTCTCTACCTACGTTTTTGCGGTTTTGCATTCGACGTTTTCTCGCCCCTCTTGAAGGTTTCCACTTAATTTTTTTTATGCGTGCCGCGTACCCTTTTTGTGTTATCTTCCATTGTGAGAAATAAGGCTGGTAAGTGCCTGCCATTCAAGGTTTTCTGCTCGACATTCACGGAAAACGAAGGAGGTGAAGGACGTCGAACGACCCTCGACGGGATTTTGCGAACATTGTTCTCCCCCCTCCCAGAGATAATCCGTGTAGAATCCGCAGTCATCTCCAAAAATAGTTGTCCGGGTTGGGGTGGGAAACGGGTCAGTCGCGTTTGTTTCTTTGCCTTGGTGCGGTTGTGAAAAAAGGAAGCTCTCCCCAAAACCGGCCCCAAAACGAAGTCATCCCGGATTCCGTCCGATCGTCAAGATGTGACTGTCGTCGACTGTGACTGTACGTTATTTGAGATCTTTCTCAAATAAATTCGTTTCGGATAACGCTGCATCGTGTGGTACGTACGAATGTTAACACTTCCTCAATTGTATGTCCGTGTCCTGTCCATCGGTAAACACGTTATTTGTGAGCGTGAAAAATGCATGACTTTCGGCCCTCTTCTGTTGCAATTTATTTTTGGACAGCAAAGCCCTTTGTCGTTTCACATGCGGCGAATCCCGCGGTACCGTCAAAACTTATCGCAAGAAAAAAAACAAATAACCAGAACTATTCATTCCAGTCGCATTCGTTCTGTCGCGCGTGTACCCAACAAAAAGAGTTTATTTTTGTTTTTTTTAACTTTTTTTGTTTTTTTTAAATGTGGCACAATGCTTTCTCAATGTCCTCGGGAAAATACATGTACCATGAAACACAAAATATAGCGGGAAAAGACGAGAATTTAGCCGCCAGCAGCGTTTGAAACTGCACCTACGCAGGCTGCGCCTGTTGAAATCACAGCTCACTCGGTTAGGGTTAGGAGGGACGCCGGTGAGAGTCTAGCCTCAAACTCAGTGACTGGGCTCACAAACGGTTTGTTGCCCCTGGGGTCGAGTGTTTTTTGGAAAGGTGTATAGACGACACACAGAAGAATGCAATGTGGCGCAAGCCGCACCCACAGGCCTAGAAAATAAAAAAATAGGATTTACCGCATGACTTACTGCACTATTTCAGCGATGTTTGTTCGTATGTTTAGAACATTTGAGGCATATCATGGAATATAAGGAAAAGTCCAGTGTACCCCTTTTAAGACCCATTAAATTAGTATAAATGCTACGGAAAAATATGTATCGGTATGTAGCTGTGTCAAAACACTCAATCAAAAGAAGTAACTGTGTGCCATTATAAAACTACTGAAATAGTCTTGTCCAAGCGAGTGACCCCAATCGTATACGTACTGAAAGAATCAATAGCAATAATGGAGCTGGCTTAATGTTTTGAATAAGCCTTCTCTGTGTTTTGACTCCGAGTCGAAGAAGTTCCTTCTCTCAGAAGCGCAGATCTGAACGATTTCGCTTTTTCCTTCCCAGGAGCAAGAGCTGGAGAAGCAGCGCCTGCTCTTCCACCAGGCGCGTCTGGCCAGCCGGGGAGTGGCGGAGATGGCCCTGCTGTACATCTCTGCCTGCAAGGGTACTACCGCCTGCTCTCGTATCCTGCGAAGGCGCCACTGTGGCTGAGCACTCTTAAAGCCACCAAATAGGCTACTCTTGGAGTGTCGACAATCCATTCCCCCAATTTTCTTGTGTGCGCCGTCATTTTGTTGTATTACGCACAGTGGTAGCTCCTTTTCCGTCTTTTCGGTTTGAGAGTTTGTCAGAACGAAGCTGCATAGGCGTTGCGGGAGCGAACGCGAAGGTTATTCCTTGCAGTCACGACCCTCGATCATGCATGGTGCCTCCATTAAGCTACGTTAACCTAGATTGAGCCTCGAAACGTTGCTATTGTGTTCATTGTTTTTCATAAATCGTCCTTTAGTTCAAACACGAAATACTCCCCCTTTTCTACTTGTGCCTTTTCGTTCCTCAAGCACGTACTTGCAGGGACGACCGTTCCTAAAAAGTATATAATAAGGAAGTATATGTTGCTATTCAGATTTCTTTTAGCATTTTCACTTCTTTTATTAAATATGTTTTATCTGCATCAAGTTTCCTACCTAGAAATGGGCCTTCTCCGGGGTTTCCACGGCGCATGCGCGGCAGCAGCAGACAGGAGTCCGCCATTTTTGATGGCGTGGTACGTCCGGCTCGGGGCTGCAGGAGGCAGCGGTGGTCGCGCGTTTCGAAGCTCTCCGACAGGCCCTAGCGCTGTTTCGTTGTTGGCTGCAGCAACGACAGCAAGCGTTGTCGCGGTTTAAGCTTCTTTGGGTTTCCTTCTACTAGCCTGCGCTCGACGAAGCGGCAGCTCTGGATTATGGCGATCCAGCGATCCAGTGCGGACGGCTCGTAAAGGCAGCCTTCAAAGCACTCCCGCGTTTGCAGTGGCCACTTCATGTTCATGTTTTTGTTCCTTTATTTTTTATTTGTGTGTGAATACAAGTCAGCAGATTGGTTAGGCATGCTGTCATGTCGCTTATATGCCACGCAGAGCGACCACCTCGGAGTTGGCATTTCTGGGAAGTGCGTTCCGCTGGCACACTTTTTTGTTTACCAATGTGACGGTCTCGCGTTGCTACGCGAACTGCCTGTCTGCTTTTTGGTTGTTGTAAACATTGGAATAACCCACAGTTTTCAAATATTTATAAATCATTGAGGTAAAGGGGCTATGCTGCACAGTTTGTTGCTACGTGCACACCCAGAAAGTGAAATACAAGCTGATCTATCGCTACCACGACCGCATCTGCTGGTCTTGTGGTTAAATAAGAAAGAAGAAACATTCATCTAAATGTGTTGTCCTCGTGCATGTACCGAGTAAACAAAAAATGAGTTTGCAGCATTGTCTACAGGCGCTAAACAAAAAAATAAGAAAAAAAACGAAAACAGGTGTGGCCGATTTTGTTTTTTCTTCAGGACCTACAGTCACACACAGCTGTAGCCTGAAGTGGGGTGTCATCAATGACGAAGCTCGCTCAGAAATCGGTGGTTGCACGTATTAATCTTAGATATTTATTAAATATGTATTTTAGTGGTGAATTTGACCTAGTGAAATTTCAAAATGGTGCTTTTTTCCAGTAAAAAACGAGACCAACAAACTCGCCAGGGTCAGCGGCGCTCGCAAACGACATTTAGTATAGTCGCTGAAAAAGTCCGCCGTGGACCCGGCCAAGTTTGTTGATCTCATTTTATAATAGAAATGGAGCTACGCGTTGAAATTTCAAAACGTGAAATCCACCACTAAAATACACCTTTGATGAGATTTACATTGGTACGTTCGGGCACCGGTGTTTTTCGCACAAATTTATGAGAATACATCTTGCCAATTAAAATTTTCGAGCAAATTAAACACATACCTTGCAATTAAAAAAAAAGGCTTTCCTTAACTGTGATTTGGTCTCGAATATTTTCTGATTTTACTGCCGGTACTGCATAGTCCATGAATCCTAGTTTAATTTAACCGTTTGTACTTTCTCATAGGTCTAAGAGAGCTTCAACTGTGTCGTCAGTTACTACGGGTGCCACGGCGAAGTCAATCGTCCATTCCTTCGGGGAAAAAAATGTAGAAACGGACGAAGCCGTCCCTAGTTAACGCATTAATTGAAAACAAATCTGCTCGTCGATTGGGTTGGATAAAGGAAAGACAAACGCTGAGCAGTGAGCGCATTTCCCGACCGCGTTCAGACTGCCAACATAGCTTGGAGAGAGCAGAACCAGAAGTAAGGCAGGCCATCAAAAACGCCTCTCCTGCTTGCCGATAGATTTCGCCCAACATTTGCAGAAAAGGCCCTTTCTCGCGCAAACTCTTAGAAAAAAGGTGGATTGGTGATTGTTGCAATCCGACAATGAGACCTCCTAAGCTTTAGATCCGCTGTCGGGAAGCTCAGCATTATATTGCTTTTATTTGTCGTGGACTGTTTAATGTTTCTGGAGGACGAAAAAGTGTTTCCGGCAATCTAAGATCCAGCTATGAAAAACTGGCAGCAATGATTTTATATATCAACAGCATCGTGAAGAAAGCTATTATTGTCAACACTATCATTGTCTGGGCACTGGAGGTATTACATATGATCGTAAGTGTGTGAGTAGCTTCTACACTTCACATAATTTGTTTGCAAAAATTTTCCATGTCAACCATTACCTGTAGCATAAATCTTATAAGAGGTAGGTTTTTTTTCAATGACTTGTGCAGTATTTTTTTGCGAATAATTATGCTTAAAACTTGCCTTCTAGGCGCTCAAGGTCCCATGGTGATGGAGACGTTGAAACTTGGAATCTCACTTCTCAAGGGAGGAAACCAGGAAGTGCAAGTGGTGAGTGAATAAAGACTAACCCTAATTTATTTCTGCCCACACCTGAAATTGTAGATTTCCAGGAGTTCTTAAATTATGCTTATTATAGGAGAATAACACTTTTAAAGAGGTAAACTTTAAGTTTTGGTTCACCTCTTTTAATCTTAGAGTGCTGGCATATCTTAGAACAAATGTATCTTTAATCAATAAAATGCATGGCCTTGTAAGATATGACCCACAGTGCAAAATAATAGATTTCATGAAATTATTCCACTCGTATAGGCAACAACTTTACACTCTCCTCGTGTAATATTGTGTCTCCTTGTTTTCGACGCCTTGCTATCATGGGGTGGCAATGCTCTTGATCTTCTTGATATTGCCGCGCGCCAAGTAGGCAGCGCGGCCGTAGCCTAACGGTTATCGCGCTTGCCTCCCACGCGAAGGGCCAGGGTTCGATTCCTGGCCGCGGCTATGCGTTTTTGTTAACACTGTAATGTGATGTTCTGGTGAAATGGAGAACCGTCTAGCTGATTCGAGGTCAGAATTTTCTACGCGTCGAACCTTCTACGTCGAATGCTCCAGAAGCCAACGTGTGTACAAAAGCGGCTCCGCAGGCAAGCCGGAGTCAGTTTCGCTCCAGCGTTCGACTGTGCTGCTACGCCGACTTCGACGCCCGCGACGCTCTGTTATTATCTTTGTTCTCCCTTTATTTTTTGGCACAAGTTCGCCACATTAAACGTTTATTTCTTCCTGTTTATTTCCTTTTATTTTGGTCACCACCCGTGACATTTTGGTGGAGGTGCGGGGTAGCGCATGCCCGTGCAGCGTTCCCCTCCCAGGGCCCGCAGTGCAAGCCCGATTCCGAGCCCGGTGAGAAGACCACTCGACGCGGAACCTGAAACTCGGACCAGTCGCCGCACCCAAGGTCTACACCCGGAATACGGACTTCTGCAACCCAGGACCAAGCAGCCGACGAAGCCGACGATGGACGGCCAGCAGTCACAGACCCCGGCCGCTCCTGCCTTCATCTACCTGCCAGTCGCACCCCGGACTCCGACGCCATTCCACGGGGACGCCCACGAAGACGTCGAGGACTGGCTTCAACAGTACGAGCGGGTGGCCCAGCACAACCGATGGACGGACGACCAGCGCCTGCAGAACCTTTACTTCGCGCTCGAAGGAACGGCCAGGCACTGGTTCGAGAATCGGGAGACATCATTGATCTCGTGGACCGCCTGCAAGAATGAGTTGAGGCGAACTTTCACAAACCAGTATCGACGGGAGAGGGCCGAGGACCTTCTTCGAATGAGAACCCAGGGCGCAAACGAGACCATCACCAGTTTCGTCGAGGATGTCCTGCGCCTGGTCACTCGCGCCGACCCTCAAGCCACCGACGAAAAGAAGTTGCGGATCCTGATGCGAGGCGTACGAGATGACATATTCGGAGGCCTCGTCCGCAACCCGCCGACCACCGTCGAAACGTTTGTAACAGAGGCGACCAACATTGACCGGGCCCTGCAAGCACGAGCCGCTCACTTCCACCGAGCTCTTGCCGTCGCTGCACCCACGCCGTCAAGCTGCGCCCTCAGCACCAATATTCCGGGGATCCGAGAAATAGTCCGGGACATCGTCCGTGAAGAACTGAAGAAGCTGATACCTGCCGCCGAACACCCAGCTTCACTCTCGATCGCCGAGATTGCTCGAGAAGAGGTCCAGCAAGCGCTCCAGCCAGACGTTCTCGCCGACGCCGCACCGAAACCACCAGCTGTGACCTATGCCGCCGTTGTTCGTCGTCCGCAGCTGCACCCCAACGAGAAGTCTCTTCGCCGCAGTACACGCCGCGCCAAGAGCAGCGTGGACTTCGAAAGACCGATGTGTGGCGCACAGATGACGGACGCCCGGTGTGCTTCCACTGCGGGGAGGCTGACCACGTTTACCGGAGGTGCCCCTACCGCCAGCTCGGCCTGCGAGGATTCGCTCCAAACGACCGTCGACCTCGTTTTGGAGAACGACCAAGGGACATCGAAGAATACCTCCGTCGCCCTCCGTCACCAGCGCCCACCGCACCACGAGGTTCCCGTTCTCCATCCCCCCGACGTTCCGCATCGCCCTTCCGTCGGTCGCGCCGTGACAGCCTGTCCCCCCTATCCCGTCGGGAAAACTAATGCGGATTCTTGGGCGAGTTGGTACTGAAACTTGGAGAACATAATAGCGCTTCACGACAGGGACGAAGGGTAGGAACGAGACAACACAATGCGCTAACTTCAACTGGTTTAATCGTCAGAAAATCAAAGGTATAAATACTCTGCATCAGTTGATTGGTTGAATGGCGCGATGATGCAGAGTATTTATACCTTTGATTTTCTGACGATTAAACCAGTTGAAGTTAGCGCATTGTGTTGTCTCGTTCCTACCCTTCGTCCCTGTCGTGAAGCGCTATTATGTTCTCCAAGGGAAAACTAAGTGCGGCAACGCCTGGAGGTGCCGTTGCCGAAGACGACCCGAGTAAAGAGCCTCCAAGAACGCCGGAGCGCTCCCACTCTCCCGCCGTCACGCATCGCTACGACGCCCCAGCAACGGTGTCCAACAACCTAAACGTCGTCATCGACAGCCACGACGCATCGGCACTCGTGGACACCGGAGCAGACTACTCAGTCCTGAGTGGGAGGCTCTCCCGCCGCCTTCGAAAAGTCATGACGCCGTGGGAAGGACCCCAAATACGAACCGCCGGAGGACATCTCATCACACCAGCCGGGAGATGCACTGCTCGTGTAGAGATCCACGGTGAAACGTGCCCTGTCAAGTTCGTCGTTCTGCATGACTGTTCGAGGGACGTTATCCTCGGAATGGACTTTCTCTGCGAGTATGGCGCCGTCATCGACCTCGGAACAAACCGGCTAACGCTACGAAAACCTGCTCCACCAGCGGAGGAACCCCAAGCGACGTCACCCACGGTCCGAGTCCTCGCAAACCACGTAAACCTACCACCGCGGTCGAGTGTTTTCGTACTTGTCGGGATCGATGAAGCTTCCTCTGGCGAAGTTCTTCTCGAGGGAAGCCTCCAATTGCTCCTGCGAAGAGGCATAGGCGTCGCAAGGGGAGTAGCTGAACTTCAGGATGGGCGGACTGTGGCCCTCGTGACGAACTTCCGAAACAAAACGCAACGCCTCACGAAAGGTGCAGCCGTGGGCCACGTCGAGAAACTCCGAAACCCCGCCGAAATCACCGCGATTACTGACAAATCCTCGCCGCCCCAGCAAGACAGTACGTCGCCAGCGCAGCTCGACATTGACCCTAAGCTTCCGGACCCTAAACGGCGACAGCTGGTTAACCTCCTCGCCGAATACCGCGACTGCTTTGCGACGTCGTTGAAGGTGCGCCAGACCGCGGTTGCCAAGCACCGCATCGTTACCGAGGACGACGCGCGCCCTGTGCATCGATCGCCGTACAGAGTCTCCGCTAAGGAAAGGGAGGTGATCCATCAGCAAGTTCAAGAGATGCTGAATGACGACATCATCCAAGCTTCAAGCAGTCCATGGGCCTCTCCAGTCGTGCTGGTTAAGAAGAAGGACGGAACTCTTCGGTTCTGCGTGGACTACCGGCAGCTCAACACGGTTACGAAGAAAGACGTCTACCCACTCCCCCGCATCGACGACACTCTAGACCGGCTGCGCCACTCTCGATACTTTTCATCGATGGACCTGAAGAGCAGCTACTGGCAAATCGAGGTCGACGAACGGGACCGAGAGAAGACAGCCTTCGTCACGCCGGATGGACTGTACGAGTTCAAGGTGATGCCCTTCGGACTATGCACGGCGCCAGCAACTTTCCAGCGTGTCATGGACACCGTACTGGCAGGGCTGAAGTGGCAGAGTTGTCTCGTCTACCTTGACGACGTCGTAGTATTTTCAGCTGACTTCGACGACCACTTGAGACGACTCCGAGCTGTTCTTCAAGCCATTCAGACCGCCGGACTCACACTCAAGCCGTCAAAGTGCCGGTTCGCCTATGACGAACTGAAGTTCCTTGGCCACGTGGTTAGTAACGAAGGCGTCCGCCCAGACCCCGAGAAGACTCGCGCCGTCGCGGCATTTCCAGCGCCGACAGATAAGAAGGCCGTGCGAAGATTCCTTGGACTTTGTGCCTATTATCGACGCTTCGTTCGGGATTTCGCAAAGATTTCCGCACCACTTACGAATCTCACGAAGGACGCCGAGAAGTTCGAATGGGCCGAGGAGCAACAGCAGGCATTCGACGAACTGAAACGACGACTCCAGACTCCTCCTGTGCTTGGACATTTCGACCACGATGCAGAAACAGAAACTCACACGGACGCAAGTAACGCAGGACTGGGCGCAATACTAGTCCAAGTGCAAGAAGGCATCGAGCGAGTCATCGCCTGCGCAAGTCGGACATTGTCCAAGGCGGAAAAAAATTACTCCACGACTGAGAAAGAATGCCTTGCGGTCGTCTGGGCAATAACAAAGTTTCGTCCGTACTTGTACGGGAGCCCGTTCCGTGTAGTCATGGACCACCACTCGCTCTGCTGGCTTGCGAACCTGAAGGACCCGTCAGGACGCCTCGCTCGATGGAGTCTTCGACTACATGAGTTCAACATGACAGTGGTCTATAAGTCAGGCCGCAAGCACAGCGACGCCGACTGCCTGTCCAGAGCCTCCGTCGAAACCCCTTCCGGCTGCAGCGACGACAATGACGACGAGTGCTTCCTAGGAGCAGTGAACACCGACGATATGACACGACGTCAACGGGATGATCCTGAGCTGCGCGCATTAATCGAGCACCTGGAAGGGGGCAGGAGTACCGTGCCACGTGTCTTCTCACGAGTACTGCCGACCTTCGCCATCCGACAAGGTGTACTCTACAAAGAAAACTTCGGCGACAACAACACACCGTGGTTGCTGGTAATCCCGAGTGACCTTCGAGAGGAGATCTTCCAAGCCTGCCACGACGACCCGACATCCGGACACCTTGGTTACAGCCGGACACTGGCCCGTATTCGTGAAAAGTATTACTGGCCGAAGCTCCCCAAGACCGTCCACCTATACACACGATCATGCCATGAGTGCCAGCGACGCAAGAAACCACCGACGAGGCCGGCCGGACTTCTGCAGCCCATTTCTCCTTCAACTACACCCTTCCAGCAGATCGGAATGGATCTACTTGGTCCTTTTCCGCCTTCGACGTCGGGGAACCGCTGGATCATCGTCGCCACAGATTATCTCACGCGGTACGCCGAAACGAAAGCTCTTCCTTCAGGGACTGCTGTGGAAGTCGCCAAGTTTTTCATCGAGTCCATCGTCCTCCGGCACGGCGCACCCGAAGTTTTGATTACAGATCGCGGATCTTTGTTCATGGCCCAGCTGACGCAAGAGATCCTTCGTCTCAGTGGCACCGGCCATCGTCGAACCACTGCATACCACCCGCAGACCAACGGGCTGACCGAGCGACTCAACAAGACAATCGCCGATATGATCTCTATGTACGTCGACGTAGAGCACAACACGTGGGACGAGGTGTTGCCCTACATCACGTTTGCCTACAATACGGCGGTTCAGGAGACCGCTGGTACATGGTCAGAAGGTAACGACCATGCTGGACGCAATGCTGCCCCATGAGCCATCTGACAATGAGAGCGACGACGCCCAGGCAGTTGCTCAACGTGCCGAAGAAGTCCGCCAGCTCGCCCGACTCATGATTCAAGACCAGCAACGCGTCGACGCGGGCCGCTACAACCTTCGTCGCCGGGACGTTCACTTCCAGCCCGGAGAGAGGGTGTGGGTGTGGACGCCCATCCGTCGCCGCGGCCTCAGTGAGAAACTGCTGAAACGGTACTTTGGACCATACAAGGTACTTCGTCGCCTCGGCGAGCTGAACTACGAGGTGATGCCCGACGGAACAAGAACATCATCACGCCGCCCACCACGACCTGAAGTCGTCCACGTCGTGCGCCTGAAGCCGTACTGCGCTCGATAGGACTGTGAATCTTATGTGTTTCAAGTGACTCTTCAGTTTACCGTTCTTTTTATGGGCTTTGTCTTGTTTTAAAATGCATCGGGGCGATGCACTTTTTAAAGGGGGAGTAATGCCGCGCGCCAAGTAGGCAGCGCGGCCGTAGCCTAACGGTTATCGCGCTTGCCTCCCACGCGAAGGGCCAGGGTTCGATTCCTGGCCGCGGCTATGCATTTTTGTTAACACTGTAATGTGATGTTCTGGTGAAATGGAGAACCGTCTAGCTGATTCGAGGTCAGAATTTTCTACGCGTCGAACCTTCTACGTCGAATGCTCCAGAAGCCAACGTGTGTACAAAAGCGGCTCCGCAGGCAAGCCGGAGTCAGTTTCGCTCCAGCGTTCGACTGTGCTGCTACGCCGACTTCGACGCCCGCGACGCTCTGTTATCATCTTTGTTCTCCCTTTATTTTTTGGCACAAGTTCGCCACATTAAACGTTTATTTCTTCCCGTTTATTTCCTTTTATTTTGGTCACCACCCGTGACAATATGCATTAGGAAGCTGCTGTTAAAATTAGTATTCCGAAGGTCACTCGGTCGCATATTGTGCACATAAAATCAGTTTAGAGAAACGCGTGTGTTTTTGTACCTCACTCTCGGTTTTAAAATTCCGAAATTGATGGGAACTTCTCCCAAGAACTAGAACTAATAGTTTTTTTGTTTTTTTTTACTTTTTAGGTTTTGATGTGTTTTGTCAAAAATATTAGGAAACAACTGCTTGCGTGGGGACTATTTCAACGCTATGAGTGAACCTATACTTCTACTGAAAATCGTGTTTTATTATTTGGTATATCTAGACGAATGGTACAAACAAAGACTGCTTTAGCGGTTGTCTCGTAAAATGCAAACAGCAATTTATCCCGACTGAGCAAGAACGAGTGTGATATGTAGAATCGTTTCGTTTGTTTGTTTTCATTGTTTCGTTTTCATTTTCAAAATATTACTATGGAAGTTGCTAAGTTCCTCCTCTTTCAGTACCCTTGCTTTTTAGTCAGATGCGGGATGATTGTGCAGACTGCATAGGGATGAGGGATGACCACATTTATTTTCCTTTTCAGCGCATGCTGCAGCACCTGAAAGAGAAGAGAGATGTCGGGTTCTTCACTTCCATTGCGGGTCTCATGAATTCTTGCAGGTATGAGCCCATCTTCTTTCACTTATCAGGTATTTGCGACAATAAGTAAGCAGAAAATGTTTCCCCGAAAGAACAATGTTTGGAGTGCAGTATTTATGCGGTCAGAATAATTTAAGAAATTCTGAAAACCTCTCTTATTTCAAGACCGACATCTCGAAATAGAAGCATGTTTCGGAATCACGGCAAGAAGTGTCTCACGGGGTACACATTTGCACTAGGAATAATTCCTCTTTTTTTATTTTTAGGAATGTGTATTTTTACATACTTGTTCTATCCAGACAACTTAATTAAAAATTTATAATAATATCAGTCTATCAGTATAAGTGTGTTAGCATTATTATGCGCCCAGAAAGTGAGGGAAATGAGGGAACGAGAGCGCTTGAAGACGCCAAAACGTCGAGCACTTGTTGGAATGATTATTGGGTAGACGTCAAGCCTTGCTCTCCACTGCACCCGTCGAAAAAGTACGAATGCGAGAGCCAAACACCGGACGCCGGCGTTTCGCGTTCTAATATGTCCGACGAGTGCAGTGGAAACAAAGGCTGCAAGCTTTACGTCTACCCAATAATCATTTCAACCAGTGCTCGACGTTTTGAAGTCTCCAAACGCTCTCGTTTTCTCCGCTCCCTCAGTCTCTTGGCGCATTAGCATTAGTGTGTCATTATTAGTATATTAGTATTAATATATCAGTATCAGTGTAAGAGATAAGTTGCGAGTCTGTGCTTGTCTGTCTTACGTGATTCCTTTCTGCTTGTTCGTCCTTGTGTGCTGCTATTTCTCGTTTTGTTGCTTTAAGAGTTCAATAAGGAACACTGAAAATAAAAATAAAAAAATTATTTCTTACAGAAAAAAAAAACCTAGAAAGGACACGTATTTTGTTTTAAATATATTCAAAAAATAATATTTTTGAACAATGCTTTTGCCTCCAAATACAATTTAGGTGGACATGGTCACAGTCCCCTAAGCCCCGGCCTGTACTTACACCATTCTTGTTTCTTTCGTGGCTGGAAGGATATCTGACGTGCAAAATGGGGGTTGTAAAATTGTTTCTCCGTGCCGTCATAGTATTTTATTTGGCTGTATTTTTATGTTTGAGAAACAGATAATCTAGATGGAGTCATTGTTTTCCGAAATATCCCAAGATTGTCTTTTTTGCTTTGGTTTGAAACAAAAAAGATAGGACTACCGGCGTTCTCAGCTTGCTAAACAAGCTTCGCTCGTCAAGCTTGTTTATTTTTGGGAGTGAGAGTCGTTTTGCGCTCAAAGAGTCGTTTAGAGCAAAATATCCTTAGGCCGACGTTGTTTGCAGCAAACAACTGTCACAAGTACACGCCTTCACAAGCGCTGTGCTGGTGCTTTGTTTCGTACCGGGACTGGCCTTCTCCTAGCGTCCCACGTCAGCTGTACAGGGTGAAACAAGGAGACGGCAGGCTCTTTAAATCGACCGCAAAATTTGGTTTCTTAACCTATCGCGCTACGACTTTGTGCAGCGTTGCCCACAGATGGTGCATTTTTTTCGTAAAATTTGCAAAGAGCGAACTTACCTGAGGAAAAAGTAAAGAAAGAAAAAGGCTTAGCTCCTATGGAAACGCAGCGAAGCCACCGGTCTGCGAACAACCCGGCGCCGTTTAGCATGGGAGACAAGAGATGGCGCAAGCGGTGGCGACGCCAACTGCCGCCAACGAACGAGCAAACGACGGCGAGAGCCGGCGTATTTAGCAGAGAAGGAACTGCAGTTCCTTGTTGTTACCGCGCCTGTTTTTGTTTCTGCGACTGCCGCCGCCGCTGCAGAACGCGCGCCGCTTTTGAGTCGAACAAATTGTCCGCTAAAAACGCTGGCTCTAGGCGCCGTATGCTCGTGCGTTGGCGGCGTTCATTGCGCCATCTCTTGTCTCCCGTGCGAAATGGCGCCGTGTTGTTTGCAGACCGGTGGCGTCGCTGCGTTTCCATAGGAGCTAAGCCTTTTTCTTTCTTTACTTTTTCCTCGGGTAAGTTCGCTCTTTGCAAATTTTACGAAAAAAATGCACCATCTGTGGGCAACGCTGCACAAAGTCGTAGCCCGATAGGTTAAGAAACCAAATTTTGCGGTCGATTTAAAGAGCCTGTCGTCTCCTTGTTTCACCCTGTAGTTTGCTTTATCTGACTTCATTTTGGTCGTTGGCGCATGTTGATGCTGAATAAAGATGTTCGTTGCCATAGAGGCGACCCCGTTGCTTTGTGAATTGTGCAACTGCCGTAATTGCTACCAAGGTATCAATACCCAAAAGATACCTAGAGAGGAAATAATTTACGAGCCATTTGACTGAGGCAATTGGGCGTTCGTGTCGCATCAAGTTTCTCCAGGTATGTTCCCGTCATTTCGTTTCGAAGAGCAAGTAGCTTAAGTTTTTAAGCGCACCTGGCCTGCCAAAACGAATTTCGTGATGCCCCCATTTTAATTGTGCATCATTAAGGCCCATTCACACTCTTGCAACCGAGTACGACCGAGAGAGACGAGACCTGTTGAAACCTCCTAAAATTTCTTAGGACGAAAGAACACACTGGCACCCTGGCGCCATCTATGCGGTGACCCTAGAACTACATTTCACAAGAGCGAAGGTTTTGCAGGATTTCCGAGGTCAAATGTGCGTAATACCTAAGAGAAAGGCTCGTTTATAACGTTGACAAACGTTTTTCGAGCCAAGAAAAAAAGGATAATGCGCGAGAGAAAAATATGCACGAACTTCAAGTTCACACTGCTACCCAATAGATGGCGCCAGTGTGTCCTATCGTCTTAAGAGATATTAAGAGGTTCCAAGGCACCCGCTTCTAAGAGGTCGCAAGTGTGTGAACGGGCCTATAGGCTCACTCACCTTGCTTGCCATGTTACCAAAAAAAAATATACATACTAACTTAAAAAATAAAAAATAAATTATTTTGTTCGTTTTTTTTTTTTTTGTTTGTTTTTTTCTTCTTTTGGTCGGTTTTTACTGCACATCGACCGAAGCTGAGAGGCGCTTTCCTTGGACGTTCATGGTTGCGGCATCCGAGCGTCGCAGACGGTTTTAGACGGGTTTGGAATAGCAGACGGACGCAGGCAATGTCGCACGCCGATACGCCGCTTTCGTAGCCGCGTAGCCGTGTCTCACGAGCGTTGCAGAGGACGATGAGTGGTGGCGTAATAGCAGATAATGACCGAGGCTGCCGTGCATCGAGGTATAGGAAACCTCTGAAGCCGAAATTACGCCACAAGAGGTGAAGCCGGGGGAGGCTTCCGGTTTGGAGGGGCACGCCTCCAACGATAAACCAAACACTAACACAACCAAAAGACGCTATTGGACGGAAAGGACAGCTCCTTTGGTGCCAACACCCTTGTAGGCGTTCCCATTAACCGCACATCTACTTCTTGCTTCACTTGGGTTTTCATCGTTTCGCTGGCTTGAGGCGGTATGCCACATCCTCTTCCTACCTCCACGCTGCAGTGCGTGTCCTCGCACGACTAGCAGGCGGTATCAGACCCCAACTTAGACGCACTGAACGTCGCGACAGGGAGACTTTACGCTTTGCGAGCGTGTTCGGCCGAGCAGGCAAACCCATACAGTAATAAATGGCGGGGCCACTGATCGCTGGCCTCCCCCTAAATTGCGTTGAACGGCGTAGAAATTGCGCAATTTTTTTACGTGGGAAAATTAAAACAAAAAGTACATCTCCTATGTACACCTTTTACAAAAAATTCATTTCAGTGTCTTTTTAAGTCGCGCATCTGGTGTTTTTGCGCAAGGTGTTGCATTGACGCTGAGTATTAAGTGCATAGCATTTATACGAATAGCCTGAGAGATTCCGTGTCTATGGATATAGCCTCTAAGATGTTGCAGTGCCATTGACACTGACGTCATCCTAAAGGAGCTCTAAATGCCTAATATTTAGAGGTTTTTTTGTGACGTCACATGACACTGTGAAGTATCGTGATACTGACAGATGTTTGCATTCATAACACCCCCGCAATGTGCCCTTCAGTCGCCTCTTTACTGTACCCAACATGAAGATGCCCCATAAGTGCTATACGGTTGGAGGGCCTTTGTGAAATGCCGACAGCCAATTGCTTGTTGTTGTTATTGTTCTCATTTCAAGTGTGCTGGACCTGGACGCGTTTGAGCGCACTCAGAAGGCGGAGGGCCTGGGCGTGGGCTCGGAAGGCACGGCGGGAGAGAAGAACATGCACGACGCCGACTTCACCTGCGCCCTCTTCCGATTTCTTCAACTCCTCTGCGAGGGGCACAACCTGGGTCAGTGCACTTGCACTGTATAAGGCAGCGTTTTTGCACGTTACCGTGAACTCGCCGAAACCACCTACTGGATTGTCGCTGCTCTACCGCTTTGTTTCTGCACATCTATCAGGGCAACGGCAGTTATTGCGAATGTTTTGTAGGGATCCCTGTGGATATTAACGGCTTATACTTTATAATGGAAGGTGGCTTGTGCTAGCTAGCCTAAACACAAACATACCTCATTATGATAACGGTACTAATCCCTGAAGAAGGGAACAAAGGACAAGCATAAGTCTCCAAACAAAGCTAGGTGACTGATGTGCTACTGAAACAACTCGACTGGTTCTTCTGGCATCGAACAAGGAACCTCCCCATTTCCAGTGGAGAGCTCTACTAACTGAGCTAACCAGGAGTTAGACCTCGGTAGAGCAAACAGGTTTTAACGACTGACGCGAGTCTAAAACGAGCAGGGGTGAACGGCCAGAATTTCAGGGTTTTGATGATAATGCAAGTAAAGCAAAGGTGCAAGCAAGCTGGACAAGGATATCGATAATTATATCTGGAGAAGGGGAACAGGGGGACAAAGGCCAAACATAAATCTCCAAACACAGCTAAGTGACTGGTGCGTGACTGAAAATATTTGCCTGGTCCTGGTATCGAACCAGGGACATCTTCATTTCCAGTGGAGCGCTCTACCAACTGAGCTAACCAGGAGTTAGATTTCAGTAGAGCAAAAGGATTTTAACAATTGCCACCAGTCTCACACCAATAAGGGTGACTGGCCTGGGTTTTAAGGTTATGATGATAACCATCATAATCATCATAATTCCTTCTCCAAGGATAATTAATGTTATTCTTGACCAGCTTGGTTGTACCTTTGCATTAATTGCATTATCATCGAACCCCCCCCCCCCTTCCCTCTTTAACAAATCTATGTCTGTAACTAACACTAGGCCGTCGGGGCGATTGTGAAAGAGCTTTGAAGATCGGGCCAGAAAAAATCTAAAAACTTACACCACCCAACTCCTCCCCTCCCCCCCCCCCCCCCCCCCCCCCCCGGCGAGAAAATACTCAATTTTCCTTTGCGTCGCCTTAACAACAGACCCACTAGGGGGACAGGGTTGAGACTTTGGACCGGAGACACGCGGGAAAGAGCCCCCATTTTCCTCTTTCCCGCCTGTTCCCTAGCTATTCTATCTAGTAATACTTCTTTCAGTTTTCCCTAGATAATTTCCACCAGTACACTATCCTCCTCTTTGTTGCATCTACTATAATTCAGCCTTCAAAACCATCTGGTAGAACCAAGGCCCTGGGGTACACCTGTCGCCCTTCTGAATGTGCTGGCTCTTCGCATTGCATGGGGCCCAGTATATTTGGTGCTAAATGCTTCCCGCTAAAATTAGCGGAAATCACAATTTCTGTGTGACGCTGTGACGTCCTGCGAGCACCTTTCCCTTAAATACAGCTGAGAAATTGTTCTGCTAAACAGCGGGAAAATATATCCGTTAACTTTAGCAGGAAGATTGTGGCGTCACCTTAACCGTTCTCCACTAAATATTTCATAAAATTGGGACGTCATGTCATATTCTACGTCTCATGACGTTACATGACCCTGCGATGTCATTCATGTGACGGCACGTGATGGCATACTTTCGCAGAAAGATTTAATCATTTCCCGCTCAATTAAGCGGCTAATTTGTGGCATCACGTGAGGAGGTAATATATCCACCTGTTCCAAATTTTGAATGGCGGTGGAAAATTATTTTTGTAGTCTGCTTGAAGCAGGGTCTTGGCTGTCACCTCAGCTCAATTTGCGCGACGCAGCAAGGAACCAGCAGTTGTGCAGAATGGCTGGCTTCTAGCCACTTTCTGCATGACGGAAGAGCGTCACGCAAGTGTTGCGTCAGGTTTCAACAAGGACCGTATTAAACATGAGTCAAGCTGAAAGCTGGCGCAGCCCCTCGCATCCCATCTTTGCCTCGCGTGGGCCATCGGTAGGTGGCGAAGAAAATCTAGCACTTTGGCCTTGTTATCGAGAAGATGTTGATTGACTGCTGCTGCAAATTATTTTGTTCATAAATTATCAATTTTATGCAGATTATTCTGCACGAGTAGATTTGTTGCATTCGTTCACGCAATGGGATCCTGCCGACAGGCACAACAGTGACAATATTTTCTCAGTCCATACTACCGAGCGGCCAATCTTTATTTGATAGTTGGAGTCACGTTTCAATATCTTTGGCTCTTTCTTTTTTTTTTTTTCTTTTTGAACAGAATTTCAGAACTACCTCAGGACGCAGGCCGGCAACACCACAACAGTGAATGTTGTTATCAGCACCGTTGATTACTTGCTCAGGTTGCAGGTGAATATACTCACTTGACTTGCTGTTTCGTTGTTTCTGCAATTCAGTATATACTGACAACAGTCTCAGCGAAATATCCCTCTCAATTAGGTTCCTAGACAATCAAAACTGGGGGATTTGATTAGAATTTCAAACTTGTTGCTGTAGGTCAGGTTGACTTTTTTTTCAAATAGGCATTTGCTCAACGCAAGCTGACATTGCATGGTCCAGTGTTTCTCTGCGAAAGTGCAAGTACTGTGCGCTGACAGTTAAATTTTTGGGGTAATTAAAGAAATAGAAGCATAACCCGACCCCGAAACTATTGACGCATCAAAGACAGGGACGTTGGAAGTGTTCGGGAGATTTCAGGTATAGGGGGGGGTAGGGGGGGGGGGGACAAGGGGATGTCTCACTCCTTCCACAGTATTATTTACCATTACCAGTCAGGGACAACCTTCTGTTGTGCCAATGCGGTCAAAGATATGTAAACTTTTGTCCTCACCTACCTTGAACGTTAATTAAAATGTGTACGTTTTCCACGAAAATGACACAGAAAGACTTCCTCGGGCACAGAAGTATCCGAAAAGTCAGGAGGTAGGGACTAATCAAACAACATGGAGGTTGGATGCACCTACAATCATTAGCTACACATGTAATCTGGTCCCACATAGCGTCTGGTTTAATTAAATGTTCCACATATTCTCTCTGGAACGAGTTAAATTTTATGTGGCTCGGGAAATATATGTGAAACGCAAACACTCTTTTCTTTTATTTTTGCTTCATTCTATCTGGAATACGTAGGCGCTAGGTGGGTCACTGTTGCACTTACCTAGTTCTATTTAAATGCCAATGTGCTGTAGTTGAAACTTCTAGAAAGTGTTTTAAAGCAGTAGCTTCATAGGTTCAAGCAATCTCAGTACCCGCGTAAGCACGAAATGTGAAGGTCGGTCGGTCTGTAAGCACTAAACGATCTTTTAAAAAACATCAACCTGAGCCAGGGATCGAACCCCGGTCACCGGCGTGCAAGCCTAGCACGCAGGAACGGGAGGAGCAGAACCAGGTGGTGTAAGAATGCGCGCGGAGCGGGGAAAGGACAATAAAGAAAGGTGCAGAAAAACGGGTGGGCTAGAAAGAGCGCGTGAAACGAGGGGTAGAAAGGGCAGGAAAACGCGCTTCCCCTCTCTTGGTGACCCAGAAAATTCAGCGCAAAGGCTTTGTATCTGTGTGGTGCTGAAGGAAGGCGAGAACAGCGTCACAAAGAAACCATGGTGTGACGTAATCTGTTTCTATGAGAAGCCCTGCCCTAGGCACCACCCGAACTAAGAGCACCGCCCACCCTAAATAAGCACGCGTAACGGAATGACCAAACATTCTGCCAATTTTTTCACATGTATTACTTACATTTGAGTCATGTGAAACACTGATCTGTATAAACTGCGCATTTTTTACGATTGTCTAAAACATCTCTTTGTGTGAACAACGAAGAATATAGAACTAAGTTTCTCCCGTATAATCAAAACCTTTTGCCAAAACGTTCCGGTTATAACCGAAGTTAAAGTGGAACGAGATTAGGAGTGTACTGCACGGGTTTGCAAACTGTGCAAGCCACTATGTTGAGATCTTGCATCTCCTGAAATCATCTAATTACTAAATGTCAAGTTTCGACAATGCTGGCTGCATCATTGTTTGAATATCTAGGCAGTGTCGCCATCATCATCGCGGTGTCGTGATGGCGATTGCTACAGCTGCAATAAGATTAAATCATAACGCCTTCTCCTGGTGCCACAAGATCATCATATCAACCATGTTCATCCACGACTGGGCACTTGCACTTCGCCACTCGCATCAAACCCTCGTTCCAGCGGGTTCATCGAGCTTCGCTAACAAATAAAATTTAATTGTTGCTCTGTAATGCTGGAACATTTCTGGAGGTTGTAGACTTCACTTCTTTTTCCTTGTGCAGGAATCTGTCATGGACTTCTACTGGCATTACTCAAGTAAAGAAGTTATTGACCAACCTGTAAGTGTTAGCTCCAGTTAAACGCTCTCGCATCATTTGTGTTATTCCTCACCAGTTTTTGCAAATTCAAAAATAGTTGCGAAGTGTGATTAGATGTTTTGAATTTTGCGCTTTTTCAGGGCAAGGACAACTTTTGCCGGGCCATAACTGTAGCAAAACAAGTTTTCAACACTCTCACTGAGTTTATACAGGTATAAAGCACTTTCCTCTTTTACAAAGGGCTATTACTGTCAAGGCTAAATTCACTCTTTGTGCAACGGTTAGGTTATACCAGTTGTCGTTGGACTAAATGTGTTAAACAGTAACATACTTTTGTATATTTGTTAAGCTTAAGGACAAACATCACACCTAGTAACAGAGCCTCAAACAAAATAGTGTTTTAGGCAAATAGGAAGTGTTTTTAGCAATTAAAACATTTCTAAAAATAAGGTTATTTATATAAAGCAATTATTTCTTAGGAATACCGTTATCGACCATAGTGTGAATCAAGGCGCGTGTGTATTGAGGTAATTACTAATTAACAGAGTAATTATCAAAAATTTATTTATGTCTAAATGTTAGTTTAGCGGAATCATTAAAATTACTTTTCTATCACATCATTAATATAGCCCAAGGGTTCTAGAACCTTTTCCCTTGAGAAACCCCTATCTGAACTAAATGGCAGCAAACAAACGCCTTCCGTACTCGGCATTGGTGCAGTAAAGCATCGCCTAAGTTACGGCCGTTGTTAGCACGAATGCAGATAATTGAGAGCGTTACGTAAATTCATATGCACAAGTGAGGGGCTCACATCTGCTCAGCTAATGTCTAAACTCTAAATACAATTGACTAAGGGGCAGCGATGGCCAGGCACATTTGGAAGCTCTGAGAACAGTCTGGAAAACCTCTGGGTTCTAAGAATCCTGTTTTAAAATCCATGGTTGGTATTGTTAGGTTAGGTTTGGAAACTAAGTTTCAGGACAAGTTTAGGTCATCGATGTTTTTTATATACAAAAATAATACACAAAGCCATGCCAACGCCCTACTTTTTTTAATTTTTTCTCTTTAATTTTTTAACTGCTACAATTAATTTTGGCAATTAGCTACAAATCTTCCATTCAGGTGCAGCTTCTAAAATCAATAGTATTAAATATAACTTGGAACATTAGTTAATATAGTTGCGCAACAATGGAATCACAATTGCACCCCTTACAGCCACCATAGACGCAAATGTTATTGGTAAGAATGTTCATTATATCAAGAGCTCTTTCAGTTGTCTAGACCTTACCAGCCTAAATATCAGCTACCCCGTACAAATGAATAAAATTAGCATTTGGAGAATGTACTGTAGAGCTCTTCATATTACAGTCTGTTTTGTAAAAAAAAACAGTTTACCTACCAGATAAGAAGTTCAATAGCATGTGCCGGTATACTCTGGCGAGCATACTTCAAATTTCATTCGCCATGTCTGTGTCGTAATATAGCAGCGTTGACGGTACTGAGATTTGAAGTCATACTAAAACAGGGGCTCGTGCCACGTCTTTCCTGTTGTAATCACGTTTCTCCTGTTGGTATTATGTCTTATCTGTCAATGTCATATTTCATCGTTGTTGCTATGCCCACTCTGTTGATGTCATGTTTTCTCCATTGGTATCGTGTCTTATCTGTTATTGCTATGTTGTTTCTGTTGGTGTCATGATGTCTTTGTTATCTTGGTTTCGTTCCTTTTGAGTTGATATTATTCCTTCTCCATTGGCGGCATGCTGTATCTGTTGGTGTCATGCCTTCGATTTTGATGGCATGCCTCCCCTTCTTCAGGGTCCCTGCTCCTTGAACCAGCAGGCCTTGGCACACAGTCGTCTCTGGGACGCAGTCGGCGGCTTCCTCTTCCTCTTCGCCCACATGCAGGACAAGCTCTCCAAGGTGGACTTGTCCCCCTGGGTTATCTTGATACACGAATAGAACTCTATAACTAATGTAGCCTCGGCTTGAAATAAACTCAAGTAAAACAATAACAAAGCAATCATAACATATGATTCACATTCAGTTTTAGTGTCCTCAAGACTGTTTTCAAGTTCTTCAATATAGCAAGTCATAACATACACACGTTTAATTAAAACTCGAGACTTAAAGCAAAAAAACCGGATCAGAGAAATAAACATACTTGCAGGGACATAAGCAGCAGCACAGGTAATCTGAGTAATTTTTGCAGATATTTTTAGAGAAATAAATTCATTTCGCCAAGCGCCAACAAACTTTTCAGGTCTCTAGCAGGTGCAGTCGAGGATTTTAAGGTAGTAGGGAACATACCGCAGCAATTATCGCCACCATTAGTGTCACTCTTTTGTTGGTCATTTTTTACACGAAAGTCACATCACTTTGCCTCAGAATAATGTTGATATAGCATTTGCTTCCTGGAGTCGATGTTGCCAATACTTGAACATTTTAGTGGAATTTTGGACGTGCCAATTTTATTACTTTTCAGAATTCCAGTCAGTTGGACTTGCTCAAAGAGCTTCTGGAACTACAGCAGGAAATGATCATTATGATGCTCAGCATGCTGGAAGGTAGGTCTGATTGGCTGGTCAGGCTCCCTCCCATAGTAATACTCTACTAAATGATTTTGCACTAGTATCTCGAAAGGCTAAAACTGTAAAACTAAAGCAGTTTCGCTTTCAGCGTCAAGATAGTTTACTATTGAGATCAAAACCATGTACAGATTTGTCCATTTTGGCGTATGTCTTTTTAAGCTAAACATATCAGCAAACTGTGCCTTCATAGTTGGCAGTTGTAGAGGATGACAATTTTAGTGATTAACCTATATAAAATGCCAAAATGCCATTGAGCACATCTTATACCCCGGTCAGAGGGGCCCTTGTACCAGGCCTTCAGAACAAACTCCTTCAAAGGGTATTCAAAAACATGGTAGTGCTTGAGGCGAGGACAAAGGGAGATACTGGACAACACAGAGCCCTGAATATATTGATAGTTACGAGGTAGTAGCATTTCAAAATGCAGCTGGTGTGACAGTGAATGACATTCTCGAATTGATTTATTTTAGAGCGCAGCTCTTATGGTACGTTTACACCTGAAAAGAAATCCGCTGCCGCGGGAGCGGATCCGCTCCCGGCGGCGGCGGCGACGAGCTGGTTGTGTTTACATCTATTTCCTTCGAGCAGTGGCGGCAGCGCCGGCTGCGGCAGCGGTTACCGTAACGTCTCGTCAAATATGACGAGAAGGCGCGAGAGGTCCCGCCTCGGCTCTCTCTCCCGGGCGTTGCTGCTCCCGGAAGAACGCGTACTCGTGACGTAGGCAGCGTCGCGCTGCGCAAGAATGTCACATCCGGTCAGCGAAACCCCTCGTTCGGCGGCAGAAATAGATCCCGGACCTAAACGGCTCGCCGCCGCGTTTTCCGCCCAGCGTTTCGCCCCAGCGGCAAAAGCTGGGCGGATCCGCTGGCGGATCCGCAAGTGTAAACGTACCATTAGGGACCCGTTTCCAGCCTGAGCGGCGTCGGCGTCGGCGTAACCGGGGGGGGGGGGGGGGTCACGTGACCCCCCCCCCCCCGAGGTCACGTGACCCCCCTCCGAGGTCACATGACCCCCCCCCCCTCCGAGGTCACGTGACCCCCCCCCCCCCCCCCGAGGTCACGTGGCCCCCTCCGAGGTCACGTGACACCCCCCCCCCCCCCGAGGTCACGTGATTTCCCCACGTCACGTGACCCCCCCCCTCCCCCGAGATCGCGTGACCCCCCGGGGTCACGTGACTACCCGCAGGTGACGTGACCCCCCTCAGTACCCTTCGCTACTCCTCCTCAAGAGCTGCACTCCGATTCGGCGTTACAGGGATTTGTAAACGGCTTTAATTTTTTATCTTAACTCAACCTATACCTAAAAAAACAGCCGCATTTATCTCCTGTATCGGCTCGTGTTTAGTGCCGATTTTAAGTGATGTATTTTTGAACCCATCATGACAAAGTCAAACGTTTCTATAACCTAAGATGGAAGCTATAAGGAGGGGGCAAACACAAGACGTCTCATAACATTGTGTGTTTGTCCCCTCCTTGTAGCCTCCATCTTGGATTTTAGAAATATTTAACTTAAACCAGCTCGCCGGCCTTATTACGTTATCGTCAACCATGACAGGTGCCTTTTGAACCGCCTGAGTGCTTTCAATGTAATCGAAGAGTGTAGGTTTTTAGATTATTTTCTAGCCTTCCTTGACCAGAATACACCCTACTTCAACTCGGATGTGGACATTCTCTTGACCGTTGTTGGCGATACGCCTCTTCCTCTCCAACTTGCGCACAAGGTACCAGTAGTTAGTGGCATAGAGCTTTTCGACATAAAGCTCACGCTCGCTAAGCATCTTCTAAGTTGGACTTACCAGCCTTGAGCCAATAAGCCCGTGTTACCTTAAAACTCATCCTATTCTAAACGTGTTAAGAGAAAGATTGCAAATTTGTGCTTAATGAACGCCATTCTAAAGGGATGCCATGTGATACTTTCGAGTCTGATGGGGCAGTCCAAATGTCTGTCATCTGCCAGCTTCCCGAAGGTTGTGCTGGTATCAGTTGAGGAGAGGATTTTCAAGGGGGTGCGAGCAAAAGTAAGCACTATAGTCCAGATGAAACCAAATGAAAGATAGCGACTGTGCCACATATACACGAGAGTGTACACAATATTAAGAAAATAGCTACTAATCGTAAAACCCGGAAAAGCTCGCCAAGTTGCGTACATTGACAAACCTTTATCGTAAACCCTCGTCGATCTGCGTAAAGCAACAAAGAAGCCCGTTTGTCGCAGGCACAAAGGAGGTCATCTATCAGATTCCATGTTCGTGTGGAAAAAAGTTTGTAGGACAAACGATCAGATTTTTAAATCATAGGTTACAGCGGACACAGCCTGAACGTTAACAGCTATCGACATGGTCATCTGTCACTTCACTGTCAAGACTGCAGCTTCAGGCCTCTGTTCAACACGTGCACTGTTCTTGCCATACATAAAGATGAGACCGTAAGAGAAATAATCGAAGCAACCATGATCAAAATATATTCTGCACGCTGGGTCAGCGTTGCATTTATTGACCTGATAGATAAGGAGGTAGCGTACTTGCGAGCGGTGGCAAAGACTGGGATTGGCTGAAAGTGTATAGAATTCTTAATTCACAATGATTAAACAGTTGAAGTCATCGCTCGGAGTTATCCAGTTTCTTCCTTCGTCCTCGTCTCAAGTGCTACCATGTTTTGAATACCCAGTAACAACTCGCCTAACAATCTGCTTGTTAACACCGCAGTTTGGGCTACAATTCGCACTGATCGTTCACTGGGTTGGTGAACCAGCGCTTGCCGATAAACGCGAGATCGCGGCCTGGTTCGCCGATTCTTTGAAGGAGTATGTTCTTAAGGCTTTTAACGTTCCCGTCTAACCGGAATTTAGACCCTGGGTTTTTAAACTAGGTTCTTAAAAGCACGGAGGTTCCCAAAAGTGCTCGTATGGGTTCCCTAAGCTACCAAGCCGTCCCTTTCCCTAAGTAAAACATTAGTTTAATTTAAGCTTTATTTTAGCGGATCTGGGCCACCCATTGATGAGCCACACAGATGCACGTTAAAGACCCCATGCTAGCTGTTGTACTGCACTCTGTAAATTTCTCATCTACAGCTGAGAGACAAGTCGCCCGCTGAGGCAGACTAAGTTCAGGCTCTATAAACATAGACAGACCCCAGAAATGAGCCAGGAACTCCTTTAATGTGCTTGCATTATAATAATTGACAAATTTGATAACGCTTGCGTAATTATTGAGAGCGCAAATACTATTCCGATTCCTTCTGTTAGATTTCTCAATAGTTGTCTGAGCACACCGAGCTTAGTTTGCCTAATCTAATGATCACTTCTCTATTTATATCTTAACATTTGAATACACTGATCGGTAGAAGTGATTTGACGTTGTATTAATCAGAAGATTATCTTCAGTTGCCTGGTTTGACATTCGTGATGTTACTTAGTGAACGCTCCACTTTTTCCCAAGGAAACGTCATGAATGGCACCATTGGAAAGCAAATGGTAGACACACTTGTGGAATCGGCATCAAACGTGGAGGTAGGCTTAAATCTGTCTTTTTTATGTATTGAATATTGTGTTGTGCTCCTGGGCGATTTTATGACTTGACACCATTGAACCTCATTTATATCAGCATAGTCATAAATTGCTAAGTAAAGTATAAGGGTCTTCAATATTTTATGGAGGTTTAGATTCTATCTAACTCTAACACCCCTGTCCGACAACGTTCTAAAGATCATTTTCACTATGCTCCCTTATAAAATCTGCAAACTAAAGCACGCCGATTACATAAAAGGCAATTTTGCTCATACCGGTTCGATTTATAGGTCAAAATGTAACTACAAGTGTTTTCCACCCTTTTTTATATAAACAAATTTTCAACACTTAAGAAGAGACGGTATAGTATGGAGAATTTACATTGGACAACATATTTGTCTCTAAACATTGAAGGTGTAAAGTAGATGGACGAAAGTATTATAATCACACTAGATTAAATGATCTACAACTTCTGGTTTTTCCTGCCTTGGCTGCTTTGGTTGACGTACGGTGCTTCTGGTGCATTCAGTGTGTCCTCATTTGAGATCCCTCGAGTTTCACCTGATGACGTCACACTTGAGGGGCGCTCTTGAATGCCACGATTCTGGCAGTAAGAGAGCGACGTAGGTGAAGGCGGCCGGCGCCTGTTGCGCTGGTGCGCGACAGTTCATGGTTGCTTCAGCAGCCACGAGTTGGGACGCCGGGAGAACAGCGACGCTACCATTCGTTCCTCTCTTTTTTACCCAACTTCCACAACGACCCGCCACAATGGTTACGTATGAGAGTATGACACGCCGGCTGCTGTGACCCAATTTGCTGTTATCTCAAGACCGCCTTTGTTGGATGCGCGGTATAGGACGCTAAAATGAGTCACCCTAGAGTTCCATACGCCGTAGCGGGAGTAGGACAAGAAGAAAGGACTGACATAGTAACCGTGGAGCCGGAGAAAAGAATAGACGTAGGACAAACCGCGTAGAAACAATGTATGCGGCAGCTTTAGCTCCCTCAAATTGGACTACTCTATAATTCATATTGGCTTAGATCGATTCAATTGACTTACTGTTGTGTCATACTGATCAGTAGCGCCATGCTTTTTCACGTGTGGTTTCACCACAATTTTTCACAAGGGATCACGTGCGTTACCATGAAGACGGTTCACCTAAGCTAAGTTCCTTTTTACTACCGACGAAAAACGAGGGCATGCTCAGCCGGATTTCCGCATTGTTTGCTTTTGTCGCAATGATACTCCAAACTGATGCACACGTGATCCACAACGTGAAGGCCTGCCGCGGATCCGCGGGCCTTCACGATATGGGCGACTTGCATTTCTGCGGCGCCATAACTCTCATGAGCCGAAATATCTATCACTATCACTATCATGAACACAAACCCCTCAGTTCACTTCATCATCGAATCGCTTTCCTACTGTGTTCAATAATCTATGGGTATACACACTATCGCTATCACAAACTCTTTAGTGCACTTCATCGTCGAATAGCTTTTCTATCTGTGCCCCATAATCTATGGCTACACCCCCGGCACAGCAGCTCCTTCCAGACTTTATTCAACATTTTGTCTCGATTAGGACAGAGCGCGCGTTTGTGAGGAAGAAGCATCCGTCCGCGATAAAAGAGGAAATGCAAGAAACGATTCAATGTCGAGACGGTGAAGGTACATGACTATCGTGACGTATAAACCTCGTTTAAGATACATTGCATGCCCCATCATACTATACTCACTGCCCTGCGTTCCTATACAGCACACGAACGAAGAGCGGGGTGGGTTCTGAGCATCATTTTGCTTGACAGCCGATTGCAGCATTAACGCAATACGAAGAGCAAATCACAAGCGAGAAGCAGAAACATCATAAACCTTCCGCTCCTTAAACTATCAGTGGCTATATCATGCTGCCAAATTTTTCTTTTGAAAAGTGGTACATCAAAAGCTAGAATCGTCTAATCTAGTGATTTCATAATTGCTCAAATATATTCGCGTTCACTTCTGTTTTGCAGATGATTCTACGCTTCTTTGACATGTTCTTGAAACTCAAGGAACTGACCTCATCCAGCTCATTCCAGGTGCGAAATGGGATTTGACATAAACGGGGCTCTTGATTTTTGATATTAAGTTCTATCAATATATTTGTGACAATACAAATTGCTCAGGTAAGAAAAAAAAGACTAAAAGATAGAGGCAATATTTTTATATACGTAATTAATTTTAATACATTGACAAATTCCTAGAAACTAAATCTGGTAGAGAACAATCCAAATTACTTGTGAGCACATATGCATAGCCCCATTTAAACCTTATTCATAGACTAATGGCTTGTTTTCTCCTCAGGAAATAGATTCCAATAACTCTGGCTGGATTACTCCCAAAGATTTTCAGAAAGCAATGGAGCAACAGAAGATATACAATCCGTAAGTGCTTGTTTCGTAAACTTTTGTGTTTGGGTACGAAACCCGTACGTATGAAGAACTTTTTGCCAGTTCTAAGTGTTCTATTCAATTAATGAATTCAAAAGGACAATATTAGATTAGGGCAAGAACTGGAACACAAGACACAGGCAGAAAGGAATAAACATAACACCATTTCAAAGGGTTGGGCAGCGTAGTGTATATAATTTTTGTCCACATGATTTTCGGCGGTTTTTGTGAGTACAATTTTCTATCAACAATTCGGCTGGGCTTCGACATTTATTTCAATACACTTGGCCCTTGTTTGTTTTTCTTGTTTTTTTGTAAATTTATGTTGAGAGTTTTGAACAGCAACTTAGGCTTTATTTGACACACGCTTCGGGACGAGACTTCTCTTCATCAAATGTGGACACACTACAGTGAGAAATTGCTTGTTCAGCAATGCCATGCACATATCTTATTCATTTTTTGTTATTTTACTGGTTGTTCCTTTTTCCCTTTTTTTTCTCTGGCACCCCGCTACAAAAACACTTTGCAGCCGTTGTGTCTTCACTCTTGAATAAGTAAGAGGTCCCTCGATAGAGGCCTAGATGGGCCGCCCAAGTAGGTCTCCTGTATTTACCAAGAGGAAAGCCAAGGTGGTGTCCTAAGTAGTCCCTCTGTGGGTCCCACGAGGGAAGCCCAATTAGGTCCCCTGTATCTACCAAGAGGAAAGCCAAGGTGGCGTCCCAAGTAGTTCCGCTGTGGGTCCCACGAGGGAAGCCCAATTAGGTCCCCTGTATCTACCAAGAGGAAACCCAAGGTGGCGTCCTAAGTAGTCCCACTGTGGGTCCCACGAGGGATGCCCAAGTAGGTCCCCTGTATCTACCAAGAGGAAAGCCAAGGTGGCGTCCTGAGTGGTCCCGCTGTGGGTCCCACGAGGGAAGCCCAAGTAGGTCCCCTGTATCTACCAAGAGGAAAGCCAAGGTGGCGTCCTAAGTAGTCCCGCTGTGGGTCCCACGAGGAAAGCCCAAGTAGGTCCCCTGTATCTACCAAGAGGAAAGCCAAGCTGGCGTCCTAAGTAGTCCCGCTGTGGGTCCCACGAGGGAAGCCTAATTAGGTCCCCTGTATTTACCAAGAGGAAAGCCAAGGTTCCGTCCTAAGTAGTCCCGCTGTGGGTCACACGAGGGAAGCCCAATTAGGTCCCCTATATCTACCAAGAGGAAAACCAAGGTGGGGTCCTAAATAGTCCCGCTGTGGGTCCCACGAGGGAAGCCCAAGTAGGTCCCCTGTATCTACCAAGAGGAAATCCAAGCGGACTACTTAGGGCCCACAGGCGTCCTAAGTAAGTCCCCCTGTGGGTTCCACGAGGGAAACCCGTTGAGCAGACCAAGTCGGCCCGACTTGGGCCCGAGTTGCAAGATCGACGTGCAGCCCACGTAGGCTGCCCATGTTGAACGCACGTCGGCACCGTCTTTTGGAGCCCACTTCGTGCTAGTCAGGAAAGTTTTTTCCAAAAACGTTAGTGTCCAAGAAAGTGAATGATGCTACTAAACTTTTTCTCAGAAATCCGTTTTGATGAACGATATTCAACATTACATAGTGTAATCTAAAATATTTAAGTTTGCATTGTAATACGCTGCAAACAACTTAATTTTCACAAGGGCGTAACTTTAATTACTTTCGCGACTAGTATTGAGTATTGCAAAAAAAATTTGTTCTGCGATTATATCACCGAACTGAAACGAGCCCGCAGCACATCACTTCAAATCACGAAATTTAGTGTACAGAAAATATTCTTGGTAACATTCGCCTCACAGTGAGACTTTTAATGGGGATTGTAGTAACATTCAGCTCAAAAACACAATCTTGATATGGTAAGGATTAAATTTTATTAGCATATTCTTTAGATAAGTGTGTTTGATCCCAAGAGTGAACTTAATCTACTCAAGTTTTGATGTAAAAAAAGGAGGTGTTCAGCTTGAGAACCATTATACGCTTGATCAGAATTGGTAATTTGTCAAAAACAGTGTGCAATGTTTCATTCTATTTTGTTTGTAATTTTTTTTTGTGTGTGTCTTACGATTAAGCATATTTTTCATCTCGGACTTTCCTTATAATCTCAGATTTATTGTAAAATGTGGTAATATTTTGTTCCTAGAGATGAGATTGCCTTTTTGATGAGCTGTTGCGAGCCAAACATTGATGATTTGATCGACTACCGGGAGTTCACCGAGCGTTTCCACAACCCCGCCAAGGATATCGGTAGGTGCTGTTTTTAGTCTTGCTTGATAACCCATACGTTTCGTGGTGTATCTCCTTGGCACGCAAGCCAGTATTATTACAAATTAGGATGAAATAAAAAGCCCTGAATTGTCCAGTCATTCCCAAAGTTTACTTGTAATTGGGTAATAACAGTTACATAATTATGTTTTATTTCCCTATCCAAAACAAATTTTATTAATTCATTTAATGATGATGACAGCTATTTTATACTAGCCAATACTGTCCGGCGTCTCGCCCGCGAACTACAAATTCAAAACAACACGTCACAGTTTTGCCAAATACAGTGAAATCAGCTTACGTCCTATTTTGACCCCTCGGTTCTAGGATAACTCACTTGCTTCTTGCAGATCATTTCTTTATAGACATTACTCAAGTTCACAGTAATATACTCTTTAAATATTTAAAATTTTCTTGAGAATATTCATTTTACTTTTCAAGCACTATATATATAGACATGCCAGTTTGACACAGATCTGCTTGTTACAAATCTGAGTTTCAGATAACCCTCACAGGTGTTCAAAATTGTGTTCCCAATCTAAGGACGGTATTTTTTTAAATAAAATTAAGCACTTAATGAGCACGGCCTGCCAGAAAGCGAAACGTGGTGCTTTCTATTGAACATACAAAAATATTTGCGCGAAAGACAAAGGACAAAAAGGACATGCAAGACAAGCGCTAATTTCAGCCAATGCTGCTTTCTATGAAAGCTACTAACATTGGACACCTGATTCGGCTTTGCAAAATTATCCACAATAAACAAGGTTTAAGTGACCAATTTTTATCACTACGCAACTTAGAGTGCTATCCTTTCGTTCTGTCTTGTTCGCATCAAGAAGTAGTGCACACTATATCACACCATTATCTCTTAATTTCTTTTTGCCATTACGAAAATTGTTGCAATTTTTTTAAAAACTGTTTTGTTTGGAATGTTTAACTGTTCGAAATATTGTACAAATATGTAGCGGAGCACTCTCTCTAAAGGTACAATAGGTGGACAATGATAGCTTATCATGACGAGTACAACCCGAGACTGGAGCAGGAGGAAATTGTTTTACAGTGGAAGAAAAAGTAATAGGGACAGACAGTCTCTAACTCAGGTAATAATTTCATTCAACCAATTTCCATACATACAGAACTACAACCGCCACAAAACCACTGAACACACTGTTTTCAAAGGTCGCGTGCACAACCCTCAAGGGCGATTCACACATTTGCATTGAGTCCTAGCGAGAGCGAGGTTTCCTATGGCAACAGCTACGCCAGCTCCAACAAAACGAGGTGAAAACCGGTCTTGTTGGATCTGACGCAGCTTTCCCACAGCACCCCTCGCACCCGGTCAGACTCCACTCAAGTTTGTGAATCGCCCTCCGCCCACATCACAAAAAAAAACTAAGCGAGGCCACCTACAAATCGCAACGACCTTTCGCATTAGACAGATCACCTTCTATACAGCTACAGGTCTCAAAAAAGATAAATTTTTTTAAACTACGACATATACACACACAGTGATACCTTTGGCCAATTAAGACGAAAAGCGTCAAAACTCCTACATCAGGGGTTGCCAGGCTGGCCTGACCTAAGAACCGCAAACAAAACCACGGAGCTTCTAAGAGCCGTGGGGGGGGGGGGGGGGGGGGGGGGGGCAAACTTAACTTTTGTTCAGAGTCTGACTGTACGTATGGGGGCACAAGGCTGTATGACTGTACGTATGGGAGTACAAGGCTGCCAAACTGCAAGCTGCAGTGTGCTTTATTCTGAAATCCTTTCTTTCTTTTTTTCCTGGGGAAACGCGGAAAGGAACCAAGGGGGGAGGGGGCCCCGGTAGTGCACAATTTTTTCGACTTCGTTTGACATTCTTAGTGACAGAGATTGATCTGGATGACCATGGACTTAAGGAATGTTAATCTAGATCAATCTCTGTCACTAAGGAATTCAAACGAGTAGATCGATCTAATCAAGGATCGCTGTGGAAGGGAGCATACAATTATTTTGATGGATATCAAAGATCTTTATTAATTACTGGAAAAGAGTCATCTACTGAAAAGGGTTAAAGAGGTTCTGTAGTTGAATTTGGTTAAATTTTAATCACAATCAGACATTTTCATATATAGATTTCTTTTTATTCTTGAGTATCAGGCCCTGTCGACGGTTGTAGAATATGAAGGAAAAACATGTATACAAAAAGATGGATGGTGCATAGGGTCGTCTGGTGCACCCGCGTTAACTGAAAATATCTGAACTACTTGGATTGTGTTGTGTGTGACAGGTTGCAAAAGTCGTCAGGTACAAGTATTGTTAAAAGATAAGTTGATGAGATAGTGATTTGGTCTTTTGACAAAGGTGTAATAAGCAGCGTGGAAACGTTAATTAGATCAGCACGACCTGAGCTCACGGCGGAAAGACCTTAGAATGAGGCCCTTCAGTTTTTAGATTTCTTAATTCATACTGAAAAAGGCTCTGCTTGGGGAATGGCAAAGAAAGTTCAAAACCAGCGCTATAAAAATTAAGTTCTCACACTAGAACTGAGAAGGCGGGGGTAGTTGAATCAGTAACCAGGAATGCACTCGATAGGCCTTGTATTCATTTTATGACTCAATTGTTGGAAAGACAGTGGAAAAGATTGAACAAGGCCGGTTACGAAGATTAGTTCGAAACACAATCATGTCTAAAAATCGCAACATACTGAAGGAGAACAGAAATTAAAGAACAAGTTTGCTGTAATCCCGTATTGCTATAAAATATTGCATAGTCTGAAAGTAATTCTAGAACAGTTCGGAGTAGACACCGTTTTCTGTTCAGATTTTAAGTTAAGCTGACTCACGCCATTTTAGACAGGTTTGTGTGGATGCAAAGAAAACACCGTCAGAAGTCGGTTCCTGCAAATATGGAGTGGTTTTGGGGTACCTTTCGCTTGTAATTTTAAGCATGTAGGCCAGATTTCAAGGTGTATCAATTACAGGTTAACGGAACACAAAAAAAAAACGTAACGATTAATGCTGCAAATCGAAGTTAGCCAACCAAGTGGACGAATGCAATAGGTGTAGTGCACAATGGTTAGGAACGGAAATAGTTCACCAAAAGGTACATAGCATGAAGAGAATTGCAGGAGAGAGAATTTGGATAAGAACAATAGGAAACTGTATCACTGAGGCCTCTATGCAGCTTGGTGGCAATTAAAAAAAAAATTCAACTCAAGTTGCGCATTGTTTTGGTTGTCCCTTATTTGCAAGTGTTTTGCTCGTCCCTTTGATGGTCTTTCCCCTATAGTAGAAGTGGTGGTGCGATGTTCGGGTCAAACATGAGTATTTATGCCTCCCTTATAAATGACTTGTTTTCTTCTTTTTTTTAGTTAGGTTAAATTTTGTTTTTGTTGGTCGACTTCCTTCATGCTTTGTCCTAAATGGAAAAAGGTTTTGTGCAGTCAAGTCTTTATTAAGAAGATAATTTTGCATATGATGTGTCAATGGTGCAACCTTGGTTGTGTGTCACGGTTATTTCTTTCTGTTTTTTGTCTTTTGACATAAGAGTTCAGACGCTTTTCGTCTAAACTCATCAAAGCTATAACTTTGTGTGTGTATGTCAGTATGTGTATGTGTATGTGTATGCTCATCATCGTTGTATACTTTTGTAACCTCTAGCTCTACTGCAGTTTTTTGTTTGTTTGTTTTTTGTCAAAATCAAAAGGTGGTTGTGCTTTGTAGGTGGGCTCAGTTTCTTTTGTTATGTGGCTGAGCGTTGTACGCACAACCCACAAAACATAATGTTCGGTGGTTTTGTGGCGGTTGTAGCGGTATGGTGGTATATAAAGAGGTTGGTCGAATAAAATTATTAGCTGAGTTAGAGAAGCTGTCTATCCCTGTTGCTTTCTCTTATACTGTAAAAGAAAGTCCTCTTTCTGCCCCCTTTCTCGGGTGATATTCATCATGGTAAACTTCCATTCGCTTGCCTACGCACTGACTGTAATTTCAATATAAGCTTAAACAGTCCTTCGAGGCTTCTTTGGCGTACCTGCCAGTTTTCGAGGGAGATGGTGGTTTCACTAGGAGTGGAATTTTAAGTTAAGAACCCATACTTTTGACTATTTGACATGCTGAGGGATTATAGCGCTTGTGGAGACCATAGACGGAGAAAAAGGCCACATCGGATCTTTCGGTTTATATTACTCAAGAGAGTACTCGAATCAAGCTTTACACCAACGTAATTAGTTGACACACTTAAAGTGAAGTACTGTAAGAAGTAAATCTGTCGTAATAAATTGTTGTTTTCAATGTTACAAAATATTATGCGAAAAAGTTACAGTTTGTTACCCCCCTCCCCCCAGGATTTAATGTGGCTGTACTATTGACAAACCTTTCTGAACACATGCCGAACGACCCAAGGTAATCTCCCATTTTTTTTGTTATTTTTGTAATGCTTCGAATGTTCTACACTAATTGTTGACAACCTTGTGTAGTTTTTACGGGCTTATATGTTTGTGGGATATGAAACAATGTTGTACGAAGCTTGGATATTTTTTCTTACATCTCGATTCCACTGACTTTTCTCAGTTCCAGCTTTTTTTTCTTTTTTTCTTCTTGCTCTCTGTGTAGAGCTCAAATTATGCAGTGTATTCTGCATCATCCTGAAACTTAGGTGTAACATTCTCCTTCATTAGAGGTCCAAAACATAACCGATTTGATTTACTGACTGTTTCAATATGGACTGGTTTCCGCTGTTTCAAATGGGCAGTTATAAGTAGGCAGGCAATAGGTTTATCCCTTAATTGGCCTACCAAACTGAACAATGTTTTATTAAAATATTGACCCTGACAAGGCGAGATGTTGTTTTCTAAGATTGCACTTTTTTTCTACAAAAACAGCGGTCTTATCACCCACTGTACTCTTATTCTCTATCGATTGCTTATATTGTAAACATACTTACGGGATTTTTGCAAGGAGTTCATTGAATAGTGGCTTTATGCATGATTATGTAGCAAATCAGTGCGCATAATATGATCTGCAATGTATAATCTCACAGGCTTCACCGTTTCCTGGAGACCGCTAGCAGCGTGTTGAACTATTTTGAGCCATTCTTGGGACGCATTGAGATTATGGGTGAGCCACTGCTTCTTAATCTTTTCACTATCTGTTACAGCTGAAACAAGAACGCTCCAAAATTGTAATAGTATTCATACTTGTTCCGTTTATTTCATATCTTGATTACGACTTGCAGAAAAATAATAACCAATTGAAAAGAACCCTTCAGCCCCAATAGGTTATGGGACCCCTCAGCTCTGATTGGCTATTCTACCCTTCCATCCCTTCAAACTCCTTCAGCTCTTCATACCCCTAGGTCCTTCAAACCCATTCAGTCCTGCAAACCCTTCAGACCCTTCATCATTTCAGACCCCATCAGCTCTTCAACTTTTTAGACGCTCGAAAGACTGTAAACCATAGGCCAAAAATGAAGTTTAAGACGTTGTTTGAAGTTAATCCCCGATCCATCCGACTACGTTCACCGTCTCAGAGATGCTTTGTCACAACTTCGCCCCACACCTACAAGGCCGTCATCGGCACGCCCTGTTTTTGTCAGCCGTGAACTATTAACAACCACACACGTTTTCGTCAGAAAGGACGCTCTACGCCGCTGCCTTCAACCACCCTACGATGATCCATTTCCGGTTTTGAAGAGGACGCCGAAATACTTCCAAATACTGTTAAACGGGAAAACAGAGAATGTATCAATAGACAGGCTGAAGCCCGCGCAAATCCAACCGTCACGTCAGGAGCCCCTAGATACTAATGGCGAATTCCACTCTTCGTTTTGGAGCGCGCCGGGGTCGACTTTTCTGGAGCGAGTCTATTTCACTGGGCGATCGGGATCGAGACCGACGTGTTTCACTGGTCGTTTTGGATTAGCTCCCGCTCCAGATCTCGATCTGGATCCGAGAAAAGTTGCTCCCACGATTTCGGCGGATTCCACCGGAAGCCAGCCGGGCCAGCCCTCGGCGCACACACGTGACTTCCTTTATCGTGGGGCATCTCGCCTGATCTCGCCCATCTCGCCTCAGAACAAGAAGAAGCACGTCGCGGGCTGAGCTCCTAGATTGTCTCGACACCAGGGGGGCTATGTTGCACGTTTTGGACTCCCAGGACACTTGGGAGAAGGAAGTGACGTCAACGACTAGAGCAAACGCAGATTGGATGTTGACAGAAGAAAACAAAATCAACATCCAATCTGCATTTGCTGCGTTGTTGACGTCACTTCCTTCTCCCTAGTCTCCTGGAAGTCGAAAACGTGCAACATACCCCTCCAGAAGAATTCGTAATGGCCGCTTGCTTACCCCCGCCGGTTCGTTTTCCAGCAAGGAGAAGAGAAGGTATTTGCCGCGCTACGAGCATTCCGGCAATCTTTACTAGAAGCGCCTGAGCCATTCCTACCGCTCGTGCGTCGAACACGTGTTAGCGCCGCCATTGCGAAAACATCTTCGAAACGACCGCGGCAGCCGCGGAAAGGGGATTCCCGGGCAGTTGACTGACGGGAAGGCATCCACCAATCCCGGAGCAGCGGTCATGTTCCACTGGGGGTCCGTAGGCGGCGCGACTCCATTCGGATCGTGTGCTCCCGTTTGGATCTGGTCAACTGATCTCGGCGCGCTCCAAAACGCCCGTGGAGTTCGCCATAAAGTGTTCATATCAACGCACCGCAAAGTTCATTTTTTTACCTTCAATCGTCAAATCGACTAGAAGGGGGGTAGTGTAGCGGTCATCGCGCCAGCTCTTGAAAGGCAGGAAAGAAGAGGACGACACGAGAGAAAAGGTTCGCGAGCAAGTTGAGCGGCTAGGTTCCGAAGGTTGTGACAGCGATCTGTACTTGATATGTAAATAATGTATATATAAATACTGATTGCTATAACTATAATGCAACGCGCGCGGTTACGCCGACGCCGACGCCGCTCAAGACGGAAACGGGCGCCTAAGAGCTGCGTTCTAAAACATTTCGTGGTTCAGTGTCCTTTTAAAAGTAGCAAAGTACGTTACTCATTCTTTTTCTCAAAAAATTTACTAAACAGGCTACTTGTTATAGTAAAAAGTAACTAGCTTGAAGTAAATCGTTACTATTAACGCGTCACTTACGTGTCTTCGTTTTAGCTTGCTTATATTATATACGAGAGAAGTAACTGCATTCTCTTCCACAACGTTTCAGGTGGCAGCAAAAGGATTGAAAGAGTTTACTTTGAAATCAAGGAGTCCACAATTGACCAATGGGAAAAACCTCAAATAAAGGTAAGATGTTGGTTGAAATATGGAATACTTCACATTTGATGAAAGCTGTGGAGAGGCAAGGAGTTGAATTTAGCTCTGGTGACATATTACCATCTTGCAATGAAACAAAGATGAAGAGGAAGATTTCAGAGATATACTTCGTTGCAAATCAGCCAATGTGCTTCTCACAAAAAAGAAAGGGGTACATTGTAGCGCGTTTGCAGAAATCATAAGACATTCATTACCAACAGCTTTTTTAGAAATATTGATTAGCTGTGTTTTGTTTTCTTAAAACTGTCACTTCGTACTGGCGTAAAGTGGTGAACTGGCTTAGTTGGCTCATTGCAAAGGGAAAAACAGCGCCGAAAATACAGGGACTAAGACGAAAGGAGTCACGACAAGGTGCACTCTAACGTCTTTGTTTCCTTTTTCTCTTCCTTGGGTTGTTCTCTTTTTTGCGGTCTTTCGCAAGCTGTTTCGTTTGCTTAGGCCAGGGCTTCTCCGCTTATCTTTCTTATCTCCTTGCGCGCGGCGCGCGACCCCCCCCCCCCCCCCTCCCCTAACCACACTGCGCTGTGCAAAGAAAAAAAAAGCACCTTTTTGTTGTTTTTTTGTTTGTTTGTTTTTTTCTTAGTTTAGTGGGTTTTTTCTTCTTTTTGCCGCCTTTCGCAAGTTGCTTCGTTTGCTTAGAGGGCTTCTCCGCTTCCCTTTCTCACCTCCTTCCTCTCGTCGCTTGCGCGCGGCGCGCGACATCAAAGTCCAGACTGCTCTGTGCAAAAAAAAAAAATAAAAGCTCCTCTCCATTTTTTTCTTTTTTTTTGCTTCCGTTGGATCTTTTCGATTTTTTAACGCCTTTTGCAAGGCGTTTTGTTCGCCCGCGCTGCCCATGCATTCGCGATCTCGCTGCACCAGGATAAAAAAGTGGTTCATTTCGCGCGCATGGGGGGAGGGGGTCAAAATTTTGACGTCCAAGTAGGGGGTGCGTTTAATACGCGGGTGAAAAAAAAGTCGAAATTTTGAGAGCCGACTTTGGGGGGTGCGTTCATTACGCGAGTGCGTTCATTGTGCGAGTAAATACGGTACCATGTTAATATAGCCACCAAGAAAACAAATTCTTCATCCTTATCTCCTCAACCCGCGTTTCAGAAATTGAAACTCATATGTAGATAATGATAAGGACGTTTTACTTAGGCATTTTTTCTCCATGTTCCTAACTTTAAATTCCTCATGCGATTCTCTCGACAGTTTATCTTTGCATCTAGTCCCACTTTTAGTGTCATTGAAGGCAATGACACTACAATTTTGGCTAGATACAAAGACAAAGCGTAGGGAGAATTGCATGAGGCATTTGAATTTTGGACCAACTAGAACGAATGCATAAGTGACATGTCCTTATCATCTAAAAATTAGTTTTAATTTCTGAAACGCTGACTGAGGAGATAAGAATAAAACATTCGCTTTTCTGGTGACTATATCAACATGTTATTTCCAATAAACGTTAGTTGAAAGGGCGCCTTGTCCTCTTCCCCTTCGTCTTAATCCCTGTATTTTTCGGCGCTGTTTTTTGTTGTTCTTTTTTGCTTCTTACTGGCATTTGTGTGCTCATTATTTCTGCTTGATGCCTGTCTTTTTGTGTCAGGAATCAAAGCGGGCCTTCTTCTATAGCATTGTCACCGAGGGAGGAGACAAGGAGAAACTAGAAGCATTTGTGAACTTCTGCGAAGATGCAATATTTGAGGTGGGTGACTTGCGGTTCGCAGAAAAGCTTTGAAAGCGTTCCGTAATATGACAGACCGCTCACTAAATGCATAGTTAAAGGCATTAACAGTCAGGTCGTTGTAGCAACATTTTATCAGAAAGGTCATATAACACGCATGTAGGGAACTTTAGAGGATTGAAAAAATGAGCATGGACATAAAATTTATCCGATCACAAAAAATGTATAAATTTAAAAATGGCATGTTTTCTCGTAAAACATTATGTCGTTTCGTTCATTTGTTTATTTTCCGTGCTCATGAATGGTGAGTAGCCTAACTAATGATGCACATAGTCAAAAGAAGCACACACGACGAATCTGTGCCACTTGCAACAAAGTTATGGGGGAACAGGAAATAGGTAACAGTTAAATATCAGCCATTTCATGCCTAAACGCTTGAACAGTTGAGTTGAAAATGTCGATGCTGGTTGTGTTGAACGTGTTATACAAACGTTGGATGGTTTTCCTTTGACTGGAAAGGTTGATTTTTTTTTTTTTAACTGAGAAGGATTCATTTTTAAAAGCACTCGCGGTACATATATATTAATAGCTGATGGGAGGGTTGAACAATCAGTGCGACCATGAACGCAATTATACAAGAATATTAGATCTCGCTCAAGTCTTCTAAAGCTTCGTGCAGTACAACCACATCGTCGTAAAAGCCTGCTAAACTCATAATAAATACTGCGGCCAATGTAGCGATCATAAATAATACGGGAAAAAACTTTTCTGCACGTTTCCGAATTTTTCCGGGTTTGCACTACCAATACAATTCCAAACAACAGAACTAAATTTAAGCTTGGTACGTACCAATAAAAACTACAAAATGAATATACAATGTGACGAAGGAAATTCACGCGTTATTCTCGAAATAACACCTAGCGCCCGATGGGCAGCATTTGTTTCAAAGATGGGTTGAAGGAGAGCTCCCAAAGAGGCATGATTTCAAAAGGAATTGTAAAAGTAGGCTCTTAGGATTCTAGTAGTATTCTGAATTACTCCAAGGCAAACAGTTTTCCCAGGATATACGCGAAAGTCTACAGGTCTCTGCTATACATTGTCGAACAACTATGATCTCAACATTCGTCAAATGTGCGCCTTATTGTTAACAAATTCTGCGGTCTTCTGCGTTGCTCTATTAAAACAACGCTGGGATGGATGAAGCGGTTCTTCCTTTGTAATTCAAGGCAGGGGATTCTGCTAGAGTTCAAAAATAATCGAAATTTCAGAAGTCTTGGATGTTTATGCAGTGCCTATTCCGATCTTGTAGAACTCCATGCGCTTTTGTTCAGCAAAGCGAAGCCATGCCACGACTGCTGTAGACTTAGCCCAGTGCACCGTCCTTACTTCTTCAGATGCAGCATGCAAGCAGCATATCCAACGAAGACACCGAGGAACCTCCAGCGAAGGCCGAACCTTACACGTTTCTGGGAGCAGAGGAGTCGAGGCCTCCGTGAGTAGACTGCGCTATTTAGGTGCTGGCGACCTTGCACCCGAAAGCGGACTTGTCATTTTGCCGCCCTCGACGACTTTATAAATGGCGGCCTGCTCCTAGCACTTCCACCACCGCGAACATACATGCGGACATTATTCTTTACTCCAGTCTTTAAGGATATTTAGAGGGGCTACCAAAAGCCACTTTCATAGTGCCATTACACAATACATTCGGAACTCCAAAATGCAGGCTCACCTTATGCGAGCACCAAGTTAAAAGGGCTTATGGCATTATCGAAACGCAACAAGTGCAGAGGTTTAAGACTTGGTGGCGAGCAGCGCAAAAACGTTGTTTGTGCTCTGTCATCCTAGATCGCAAATAATTTTTCACGCGCTTCACGCGGGAGGAGGGTTGTTCGGTCCTGCAGTTTCCCACGGGCGTGCAGAGAAACATGCGAAGTGCAATGTTAACGTTCGAATGGAGCATGTTAATCTCCTTCGCACTTCTCAAGAACTTTCACATCTCCTAGGCGTGCTCAGAATCTTTAGGTTTTTCGCCGAAATGATGAGTGGGTCGGCCCGGAAGTGTTGACAGCCGTTCTAGCCCGTCTGAAGACTGAACTCCGTGTAGCGAATGTCCGGCGAACAACCGAAGGAGTTTCTATTGAAGATAAGGGAGAAGCACAGGCGAGCTTGTGAATTACACCCATAATATTCCAGAGACGGAGGAATAATAAGAAAAACAAACAGAACAAGGAAGTACCAACATCTTGAGATTCTATCCGCTGGGCATTGCCCCAGAGTTTTTACTGTTTTAACGCCGAGCGCAAAGCGAACGCCAATGAGTGAAATGCAATTTTGTTTAAAGTGCCTTGTTCTATCACTATGTTCTTGTCACCCACTAGTCAGTGTCTCGTCCATTCTCTTGATCATACTGCTGAGCGTGTTCCTCCGTATATTTCGATCTCATGCTGAAATATTTTCCGCCTCCATAGCTCGATTCGCTAGCCATTCGCAGATGCCTACCCTGCCAATTATTAAGTTCGCCACTGCTTACACCAGTGCACAGTAAAAATCACAAACCATTTTTATGTACCTGCTTTCGCTACCTGGAAGAACAAATTTTGCTAGAACGTATGGTGAAAACTGGAGCCATCAGCAAAATAGGGTTTTTAGATAAGAGTGGACTTAATTTACCGGTTTATTCGAATTTTAAAAAAACGAATGACTGAATAACCAGTTATGCCACTGATTAATTAATTAAATAAATATTTTAGCGTTTATTATTATACAACGGTGCCGAGATTGTTTTCAGCGTGAGCCCTCAAACGAACGCTAGGTTCAAATATAAAGGGGTCATGAAATAATTGTCAATTTCAATGTTACGCACTTTACATAAGCGTAATAACTGAAGTGCGGCGGAAGTGCACACATATGCGACGCAACTGAATCAGAAGCTTTCCTACGTGCACGTGTGCCTACAATTTTGTCGTTACAGCATTCTGTTTTCTTGTAGTGTATTGCGTTGTCAAAGTAGCTGGTGCAACAGTTTAAATTGAGCTAGCATTTCACTTGCAGGAGACTGCGTAGATGCACGTGTTCATGCCTCTTCCACTGAAAGCATTTTACATTATATATGAAATAATATATATTTACTCGCACAATGAACGCACTCGCGTAATGAACACATCCCCCAAGTCGGCTCTCGAAATTTCGACTTTTTTTTCACCCGCGTATTAAACGCACCCCCAACTCGGACGTCAAAATTTTGAACCCCCCCCCCCCCCCCCCCCCACGCGCGCGAAATGAACGCACTTTTTTTTTATCCTGGTTCGGCGAGGTCGCTGAACCAGGATAAGTCGAAGAAAACGCCTTGCGAAAGGCGTTAAAAAAATTCGAAAAGATCCAACGAAAGCAAGAAAAACAAACATGAAGAGGAGCTTCTTTTTTTTTTTTTTTTGCACAGAGCAGTCTGAACTTTGGTGTCGCGCGCCGCGCGCAAGCGACGCGCGCGAGAAGGTAAGAAAGAGAAGCGGAGAAGCCCTCTGAGAAAACGAAGCAGCTTGCGAAAAGCGACAAAAAGAAAAAAAAAAACACGGACTAAGAGAAAACAAAAACGAAGAGGAGCTTTTTTTCTGCCTTTTTTTTTTTGCACAGCGCAGTTTGGTTACGGGGGGGGGGGGGGGGGGGGGGTCGCGCGTCGCGCTCAAGGAGATATGAATAATAAGCGGAAAGATAAACAAAACAGCTTGCGAAAGGCGGCAAAAAAAAAAAGAGCTACCCAAGGAACTAAGAGAAAAAGAAAACAAAGAGGAGCTTTTTTTTTTCTTTTTTCTTTTTTGCACAACCCAGTTTCGTTACCGGGTCGGGCTCCGCGCGCAAAGAGATAAGAAATTACGTCGATATTTCAGGATAAAAGGTAATTTTACTTCGCATAATGAACGCCCCCCCCCCCCCCCCCACTTTGCATCGATTTTTAGGAAAAAAAAGGCGTTCATTCTGCGAGTAAATACAGTATGTGGTATTTATCATATTTCAGCAATCTCTCTTTTTATCTTTCAGAATGGTAGCACTCTAGTTAGTGGCTCTTCCAATTGAACCGTTGTTATGTTCGAATGGTAAATCCTAAATATGAAACAGTGGGCTGACAATTAAACTAGTGTGAAAACAGTAATTTGTTAGAGAAACTTCCGTTATACTCAATATCAATGCGAGTGCAAATATCGTCACGAAACTGCCATTTTTGGACCATCTGTCCCCTGGACCATTCAAGGTATGTGACAGCAAATTTGAGATTTATATCAAGCACTCTTTTTTGATTAGCACAGCAAGGAATGTCTTTTCTGATGACGTCCTGTAAATGTAGGGTCTTCATAATTGAAACAGATATGATTATTCTACATAGCTGTAAGTCACTGAAAGTGCCCGACTTCACAGAACGAAGCAAAAAGGTCAATCAACCTGACTGTCAAGCTGATTGAGAGCGTGCTACTGCACAAAAACATGGTGCGAAACTGCTGCAGGGGTCCGATGGAGCCACTGAAGCAGGGCTTCTGGCTGCTGCGGGACGCTATAGGGGCACTGCTGTCGGTACTGCGGCCCTCCTACCTGAAGCGCCAGTTCCAGGCGCTTCGTCGAAAGAGCCTGGGAGAACTCCTCATGGGCCTGTTCCGCTTCTCCTTCTTCGGCTTCTTCTACGTCATCTGGCTGGGCCTCCACTGCTCCAAGTGAGTCGATAAAGTGGCACGCTCGTCTAATTTGAGTGCAGCATGAGTAGAAATTAGAGTTAACTTTACTCGTATGAAGGAAACTATGCCTGGGAATGAGATAGGTGCACAGCGCAGAAAAGAAGACGTGGCACAGCTTAAAAAGAAGCAGATGCAGCGAACGCTGTCCTGTCTGCTCCTCTTTCATTAGTCTCGCGTCTTTTTTTTCTGTCTTGTGCATTCCTCCCGTGAGCATAAACTAACTCGCGCACATCGCTACTTTAATTCACGCCTATTGATATTGTCACGAATTACACACGATGAGGCAGTAGAAAACGAAATGAACTAAACATTTAATGGGTGCAAACTTGAGCCTGAAATGAAAAGAGAGCAAACGTCAAGAGGGCAACAGCGAGCGCTGACGGCGGCAGCAGCAAGTGACGGCCTGTCGGCGTAACAGCTGGCAACCGCGAGAGAGAATCAGTGAATGAATCGGCAATACGCGCTCGGGCTCTTTATCTGCTATGCTCGTCGTCTCGAATACTCGACCTAGAATGTTTGGGAAAGAGCTAAAGCGAGACTGACTAGACAAGGTCATTCGGGCCTCCTTATCTCTTATGCTCCGGGAATCTTCTAGATGAATCGAGAAGCTATATTCTCGATCATGCACGCGGCAGTAGTAAGGACACGGTGTCCAGAATAGATGTGCCATATATTTTGTCATCCATTGCACGCACCTCTAAGACAATTAGAACACCGCAACGCAGTGTGCCGTTTTAGGTTGCAAGTGTGCCTCATTCATTAAATTGTCGCGATTGTTTTTTTGTGTTCGGTTGGAATGTGAATGTAGAAGCCGTATAGAGAAACAAGTACAATAAAACGTAATACACAGGGTGTTTTATTTTAATTCGAATATATTTTTTGCAAGAGGATGAGAGTTAGACGAGTGTCGTCTTCTCTATGTATAAATCAGGCTCGGCGGACATTAGAGGAGGGAATAATCATTATGGTAAGTTGACTAACTAACTAAAATCAATTTCTGGGTGTGCCGCGTCGTGCAGAACTTGGCACTTGCGCTACCTATGTTGCTTAAACACAACTTCGTTATTGACCGTAGTTTCGTGCCTCAACGGCGACAAGAGCAGTTTTATGAACGCCTTGAACCGGAGAGATCTCTGATGCAGTGTTCAAGTCAAAGTTCGTCGTGATCAAAGCCGACGCGCTGAGTGGAAAGCGCACGTGCCCAGGTGCCATGGCAATGAGACGTTTTTTTGTTTTTTTTTACCTGTGTCGTTGTTTATTAGCTTCGCCGTCTTGCCGGTGGAGATCTTGTCGGCATTGGCTACTCAGGCACGCGACAATAGATTTTATCTCGGCAATCCCGTCGCAGCTTAAACCATGCTGTGTGTCCTCACCTAAAAGGTATCTGACACCGTGGCTCATACATATAGTGGAAGATTCTGCTGCAGCATAGTCTCCTTTATACTGACAAAGCCTGGCTGATTGCCATGAGAAGCGGCCGCCTAAATTGAAAAGGTAGAGCGGCAGACAACGGATGAGATGATCGATGGATAGAGGGATGGATGGATGGATGAATCCGGCTGAGCCCTTTGGATCGGGCGGTAGCTTACGCCACCTAGCCATTTTGTTTTACCATTTAAGCTTAGAATATTTAATTGTGAAATCTATATTCACTCCGCACTGCAAAGAAAGTCAGGCTATAAAATACCCTTGCCATTAGTTAATAAGAAAATACCTAGTTTTCTCCCGCTTTCCGCCACCATTCACTTAATTTTTGCTTGGTAATCTCTACTGTCTTGAAATCCACTCTTCCTTCGCTGTCTCTAAAACCCAATGACTTTATTAAATCTATGTTGTCTTCGGTAGGCATAGGGTGAAGCCCTTCTTATGAGAGCCACGTGATGGGCGCCCCGCTGCGGCGAGGCGCCGAAACACGCTTCTTGTCCAGAGCGATGAAATATCCGCTCGTGCTTCTCGCGTTGCTGGGCCTACCGGTTCTTTTCTCGTTGGGTTTGAAAATCATGTTTTGGATCCTCGCTGCTGCAAACGCTGTGCGCTGACGTCCAGGTTCCCCGAGAAATGTTCTGTGCTATCAGATCCTCTAGATCCAACTCTGCGACCGAGCACTCTATGGCTCCGTCGTCGAACTGCCAGGCTTTATGAGTATACGGGAGGCTATGGCAGAAGTCGAAAAGACAAACTCGTGATTCAGAGGAAAGAGAGACGACACATAGCGGGGTCTATACGACACATAGCGGGCACAGGAGACGCTAACTTCGCGTTCAACTTTTGCTCGAGAGCTATGCGGAGCGAAAGTTTGTCTGCTTCTTGCACAGGGGTTGCGATAATATCAGAATGCCGAGCTCTTATTGGCTGATTGAAAAAAATAGCGGGTAGACCTCGAGGCATCTAGCATCGATGTCTATTCACTACTCTTTCAATCAAAGCCCCTCAGATCTCGGCGTCAATGTGACGTCACCGCAACTTTTGCGCAAGAAGCGGACGACTTGCTCCCCGCAGAGCTTTGGAAAGGCTTTCTTTCAGTTCTGCTAGGCATGACGATAGTCGTGCCATCGCGTCACAAAATTCGTAGCAAGTTTATCCGTGCAACGTCATTGCAAAACAACATACGAAACAATCTTTTTTATACCACTGCCTTCCCCACAATATGTAAGCGCAGCTATCCTCAAAACATTACAAGAAAACAGCGCACAATGACGAAGACGCCAAGCAAGAATACTTAATGCATGCCAGGCGTTTATTTTTTTGTGTGTTTTTGTTCGTGTTCGCTGTTTTTCTCATCGTGTCTACCAGCTCGCCCAGCTAGCTTACTGCGCCACTACCCTTCTCTGAGCTTCGTTCTATTCTCCCCCAGGAGCCTAGTGGGAATCATCATCCGCCTGATGGGAGGCCAACCGCTGGCCGGGGACACTCTGCCAGAAGAGGACATTTCCAAGGGGGCGCTGCTGCTGCCCCAGAGGCCCCTTGCCGCCCTGGAAGGCATCCCGAGCCAGATGGGCTCTCTCCCGGCGGACGCAGAGACCCCGACGCACGCGAGGGTATCCGGTCACGAAGCCAACAAGCTGGATGAGGACGGCGATCTCAAGTAAGAGACCGCTCAATGCTACCTGAAAGACGAGGCCTTAAAGGTCACCTCTCGTGGATCCACTCAGCGCCTCCGCGTCATTGTTGCCGCCACCGTATTTTGTCTCATAACAAAGAGCGATACTAGTGCCCAGACGTCAAGACGCGAGCGTCTGCCACCAGTAGTCCCGTCGAGCTTGGCGCTTTTGCTGCTTTAGGCACTAACAATGACGTAATGCGCACGCCTTGTCTGCCCATCACGTCATCTCTTCAAGTAGTGTCATTTTTATTTGTTTTCTTTTACTATTACGCACAGACTCACCCAACTGTACACCCTGCCTGTGTTTTAAGTCGTATAGTCTGCTTCACCTAACACTAGAGCCACAGTCAACTCAATAATGCCTTCATTTCCCATCAAAGCGATGGAGAGGTTGAGGAAAAAAAGCTGAAAAATCAGCTTGACCAGCTCCCTCCTCCGCAGAAAATTATCCAATTAAAGATCACGAAGGCATATAGATATATTGAGCAAAGACACTCTACAGATATTACATATATTACATATATAAAAAATTATACAATTAGAGATCACGAAGGCACTACATATATTCAGCAAAAACACTTAGGAAAAAACACATAATTATAGAACAAATTTAAACGCGAGCAAAATTTCACGCACACAATAAAGCAAAACGAATAATGACTATAAATGCTAAAAAAATCTATATGTCCAATTTTCATATTCTCATCAAGAAAGAATGAGCTCAAATATCTTTTCGGTGTTAATTCGAGTCGTCTGTTCCAATTTTTCTCGAGATTCGCCAATTCTGGAAGTTTTTGTTTAATCATTTTTTCTTTGTAACTTGTTTTGCGTTTTGCGCTAAGAAATATTCCAAATATCGGTGCTACGCGTAGGATATGTGACCGCTTTTCTAAATAAACATGCTAATCAAACAAGAAAACACGTATGATTTAATATTTCGTGCTTTTAGCCTGAGCTTAAACGAGCCATAAATGTTGTGAAAGTATAATCTACAAAATATTTTATAGCATTTCTTTTTATATGTGCGATTTCCTTAGGCTTAGAGAAAGGAATTTTATCACACTAGATGGCACCAATTTAGGTGCGATTAAAATAGTGTGTCAAAGACTTTCATTAAATCTACAAAATACCAAGAGTTAATTCTTCGTTCTTAAACGAGTGTAAGATAAATTCTTTCTGTTCTAAAAGGGCGTGAACAATCATTTATTTAGCAACGACATCTGAATATGGTAACCAAAAATTTGCGCTGTGGCCGAGAGGGAAATCGGGAAATAAAGGGGGAGGGAAATCGGGAAATAAAGGGGGAGGGAAATCGGGAAATAAAGAGGGGGTAAAAGAGAGGGCGAGGGCAGAAGATCCATGACTCTCCAGTTGCTACGGGGAGTTGCACATTCTTTCCAGTTCCTGCCTGAGAAATTTCGCTTCACGTCTTGGTGAAGTTAAAGATGTCGATAAGACGTTTTTTTTTCTGTGCTCTCGATGAGGAATGACTCGGTGATTTTGCGTCCATAGCGGTCTCGGTGTCCCCCTTTATCTTTGTGCCGGCGAAGTCAGGTGCTCATCCGAAGCACTCTTTTCCGGGAACAGCGAGCGGATGAATTTGGTGCTGTACTCCTGGTGTGGCCTCGTTTTGATGCTCTCGTGGACGGACGAGGACAAGAGCTTATTATCCGCCCTTGCCCTCTCGCTTACTCCCTATTCATTTCCCTGTTTCCCTGCCGCTTTTCGCCCTTTCTTTAACACCCCCTTATCAAGGTGATCTCGGGCACAGCGCGAAATTCTTGTTTCTACAAATAGACGTTGTCGCTAAATGAAACAGTGTTGTTGTCTTATACTCCTCCTTCGTGTTTCAATCCTTTCAATTTTAAGCATCTAAATTTCAACACGCTTGCCCTAATCAGTTTCAGAAAGTTCATTCTGTATTGGTCTCTAAAAACGCAACTTAGAGTTACTGGCTTTTCCCTGCTTGTTTTCGCCCCCGAAATGCCGCAAATCACGCGAACTGTAAGAAATATCTTGTCAATCCTATTGACGGGCGAAGTTTTTTTTGTTTTTCCAAGAAAGATGTTTAGTAGTCGGGTTTTGTTTCCAAAGGTATAGTATAAAAATGGTAAATGTACAGTTGTTCTATAATTATCTAGTGAAAGCATGTACATGCAGTGTTTGCATGCAAACTGTTTAGGTTTAGAAGCATTCACTAGAATATTAACTGCAAAAAATTGTCTCCTCTCTTTCATTCCGTTTTATTTTGGCGTGCCCCTTTCTGGACATTCCAGCGGTTTCAGATTCCTAACCGGAGGTACTTTACAGAGCTTCTCCGTCAGATAATGAGATCTCGTCCTCCGAATTTCACTCCCAAAAGCGTTGGAACTCTGAATGGGAAGAGCCAGTGCTCCCATTTGCACTACCACCAGAGCGGCCGGTATGCGCTGTGAGCATCAGGTACACGAAGCATCTAATGTGATAACTATAAATAACCCAGCAAAGTGAAACACCGTGCGAATATAACATTTAAAGTTTGCCAAAAGACAACAGATAGCAACGCGGTGCGTTTGAAATGTAGAATCGCCGCTCCACGTGTACGGGGACGACCGTCAGAAAGTTAAAGCCCCCCACTACTATTCGCAAAAGACACCTTTTGGAGACTGCCGCCTGCGATCCTAGCGGCGACGGCGCTCGAGGGGAAAAGAGTCAAAATTAAGAGTGTGGACGGACGAAGAGGCGGAATTCTGTCAAAGTACAGTGGACGCTTCGTTTCAGGTTACGTCTAGACGCAGCCGACTGTACCAGCTAATGAAATGGCACTAAGGAGCGTGTTGGCTCAACGATAACTGACTTCAAAAATGCACATTTGGGACGAACGATCAATCTTCCATGAACCGTCCATCCGAAATGTGCTTTTTTTTCTTTAAGCGTCAGGAATTAATCAAGCAGCGTCAAAAGCGCAAGTCACTGGGCCTTTTTTCTTTGAGATAGGTTCAGGGATGATAGAAACCATGATGCCGCTTTTGACGTCTTCTGATTTCTCCCATCAGCTCGTAGCGTCAACTACGTCTGGACTTCGTGTGAGACGAAGTATAGGAAGTTCATGCCGAAAGCGCGACGTCACAGCTTTCATCATCTTTCTTTGGGCATATTACTTGCGACTCATACAATTCAATGCGCAAGGCACATTTTAACACTACCTTTCACGATAACCTGGCTAACTGCGGAGGCTGCGGCACCCGAGACCCAATAAGAGTGTCGGAACAAGTCACGTGATAATAATAATAATGAGTTCTATTTTCCGTCAAAAGTGTATAACAGAGGGAGATCGAGGAGAAAAATGACCGCATCTCCACGTGGTGTATGATGTTGATTGGGGCGAAGCTCTGGTGGTGCTGATGATACGGATTTTGTTCATAGGTAGTGCTGATGGTGTTGATTTTTTCTTTATTGCTCATAGGTAATGCTGAGTTCCGGGTTGCGTTGGTATGGAATGTGCGGTATGGAACGTGGTTATATACGCATTTGAGCATTTGACCGCAGCGTCCTCTCGTCTATAAACGTTGAGCCAATGCATGCAATGTTTATTGCGATTATACACATTTGACCGCAGCGCCCTTTCCTCTATAGATGTTGAGCGGCTACGTGCAACGTTTCATCCATGACATCCCCAGCTCTTGAGTTACTACCACATCTCAGAGCCCCCTACTCGTCCCGCAGTCGTGGCCGAGTGGTTAAGTCAATAGACTAGAAATCCATTGGGGTCTCCCCGCACAGGTTCGAATAATGTCGACTGCGCAAACATTTTTTTTTTTTTTTAAGAAGACATGGGATAGCAATTGATGTGAGCACGGACGCCGGACGGACAAGGCTAGACCCTAAGGATCTTCGCCCCTGAAAAGCTGCATGATGCAGCTGGACAAGCCCTCGGCCCCCATCCTACACTACATGGTCGAGTTAACGGCAATTGAAGTCGCATGATTACATCTCTAGCGAGAAGATATAAAGAATAGAGAATAAATAGTTACAAATTTATATGTTTCAGGTATACAAGAAAAGTGACGCCAGCCCCGTATCCGCTCCGGATTTTTTTCTCCTCGTAGTGCCGTGGCCGTTGGCGATCGTCGGCGATCGCAGCCATGTAATCGGCCTTCGGCTCAAAACATCGCACTGTGCCCGAGCATTAGCGCCTGTCAAAGATTCGTGGCTGCATTAAGTGCATGGTTGTCTCATGAACTGTTCCCGAAGTGCTCGCCATTCTAGCGGACGTAAATGTCGCTGCGGTGGACATTCATCTGAAGTTGGTTGGTTTCAGTGCAGACGACTCTTAGCTAGCAGACGACAGCCGGTTCCTCCAGGCCTCGCGCCTCGCATTTGGTGTAGTGACACAAATGCTCCCATGACGTCTGGTCAAGTGCCTCGCTCCGAAACTCTTATCGGATCGCGAGGTCCTAGCCTCCACAGTTTGCCAAATTACCATGAAACAGATTATAGTCTGTGCGTTTGTGGTTTCAGTCTTTTAGACTGTCTGCGCTTTGAAATAAATTAAAACCGAGTATGGGAAGGGCTCCTGCTATATTGAAGCGCAGCAGGCGACGTTACCGTCCACGGGAGTGCGAAAAAGCAAATTTAATATTTTTTTCGCCCAAAATGTTCGAAGAAACGAAAGTTATATGTGTAGCTGGGTCGCGCAATACGGGTGGAATGGTGCTGCTACGTACCTGAGGAGAGAGGTGCGACGGGGTTAATTCTCATAGCCGTGGTGTTTGGCGTCGTGGATGCCACTTAGGATCGCCACCAGTGCTTGGTGATCCATAAAGTGGGGGAGAGCGGTGGAAGTTTCTAAAACCATCCAATATTACGTGTTTAAACTGGAAACTACATAAGTCGTATTTCGTGTACCACGAGTAATGTTTGAAAACAAGTCTTTGAAGCAGACGACAGGAAGATTTGCGCAGTCGTGTCGTTACTGGCAGGATGCCGGGGCTCCCGTTCTTCTCCCTTTCTCTCCCCGCGCTGCGCGGCTAACGGAAAAGCCTACTTTCCTTGTATCGCGCCAAGAGGGGAAAGGGGAAAGGTTTCTCTATAGCGGCGACGACTGCCCACGAGCTCGAATCTATGCGAAGTGTCGTTGTAAAGCTATGCCTTTTAGACCAAAAGTGTGCGCGCCAGAGGAGAAGGGACAAAATGTCGCCACCTTTCTTTTCAGGGACTTTACTTCTCGTTACCTAAAAAGGGGTATGCGGTACGGTATCATTTTAAGAGATCAGGGAAATCATTTTGAAAAACAGCGCGAATATCACACGGACAAGAAAGGGGGAACACACAGGACGAGGCGCTGACTATCAACTGTCTATTCAGGTATGTGTTCTGAATAGACAGTTGATAGTCAGCGCCTCGTCCTGTGTGTTCCTCCTTCTTGTCCGTGTGATATTCGCGCTGTTTTTCAAAATGAATTCATACCAACTCGCCCAACTTTCCATTCTAGTAAGATCAGGGAAAATAAGCCAGGTTGAAAAATTCGATTTTAAACACAGTGCCGGATTATCGAGGAGTGCTTTTAGAATTATGACATGCCACAGCGATCTATTTACTGCAGGTTCAGAATGGCCCCCTTCAAAACTTATCTTGATTGAGCCAGAATGGCGACTGTCAAGGCAATGTATGTGTCTCAACCAATCCGGGAGACGTGTGTCTTGTGTTGCGTGAGACATGAGGTCGTTTTTTTTAATTGAGGTCACGACACGCTGGTGGTGGAAGGTCACAAATACGCGTGCGCATTCCGGGAGACGTGTGTGTGAGAGATCATATATTAACGGTTGTGTCAGTAAAGTTTAGTAGCGCCGTTTTGAGACGTTTTGTGTTTGTCCCCTTTTTCGCCCGTGGGCTCCGTGTCTTTTTTTTTAATATATGTTTTGGGTAAATTTGGTTGACTGTATGTCAGTAGCTACGTGTGTTCTTTTAGTAGGCAGGGAAACACTAAATAGGCTAGGCTTTCCCATCCCCTTGCTTAATATCATTGCTGCCAGTAATCTGAAGCTTTATCTGAAAATCTAATAAACACTTTTCCGCCATCAGCCCAGCTTACCGAGCTCGGGAAGTTGTATTTTCGAATTGTAACTATCAGCCAGTATGCTCGTTCTGCACTTGGCAACAAAATGGACCCCAAAAAAAGTGGACGAATGTAATACCAAATACCGTTCTTTGGTAATACCTTCCTTTCCCATCAATGCGATGGGCGAGGTTGGGGAAAAAGAGTTGAAAAATTTGCTTGACGGGCTACATCCTCTCCTCGTTAGTGGCTCCAGCACAGTCTTCCCAGGATCGAGATACCTTAGATTGACCAAGCTGCGTAGTAAGCGTGCAAATCGACTTTCCAGTTAGCCTAGATTTTAAAGAGGGGGCAACTTAAACCACGTAGAGTGTTTGCAATTCAATAGCGGACGCGTCCTGCGGAGATCGGGAGTTTTTGTGAGCGCAAGCGTTGTTTGAGTGGCAAGCAGAATAGCGGACGTGCAGATACGTAGCGAGGAGGAGACACTCGCAGGCTTGTATGGGAGACCACAGGGCCACATTACCATAAACCCCGTGACCCAGAGTAGTTGAAAAGGCTCTGAGAAATAAGCAGACTGCTCTGATACAACCAAACGCGTCATCGCTCCACAGGCACAACGCCCCCAAAGCACCTATGAGCCCTCAGGCAAGCACAGACCTGGCTGACCAGGACCAAGTGGGAGACGAGGAACACGCCAAGGGAGCACCCGGAGTCAAGTCACCAGATGGTGAACTTCCCGACGGTCTGACTGCCGACGGACAGGTAAGAGGGTAGATAACCCAAGTCTTCTCGTAGAACGCCAATAGGCCATCGATCACCCACGATTGATGTTCTCCAAGCGCCGTTAAAATGCAAAATTGTTAACACGGTAACATGTTCCGCCATCTCGTAGATACAGTAAAACCTCGTTATAACAAAGTTGAAGGAGCGATCGTAATTATTTCGTTATAACCATTAGTTTGTTATAGCCAATGTCCATTTCTTCCCTATTAGCAAGCAAGGGGAATTATGATTGCTTTGTTATATCCATTAGTTTGTTATATCCCATTTTGTTATAACGAGGTTTTACTGTAGTCAAATAAATACAGTTTCAGTTTGACAAAAATATTCCCTGGAGAAGGAGAACAAGGGGGACAAAGGACAAACACAAAATTCCAAACACAGCTAAGTGACTGGTGCGCGACCGATGTGACGGAGCGTCGTGTCATCCCGTGTTGACACGCGCATCACACGTGTCAATGCACGCAGGTGGTTGGCGGGGGGCAGGGAATACAGCGACACAAGCACACGTAAAAAGAACTGTTCTCCATTTCTGCTACCTTCTCTTTTCTATTCAACCACACCACGCACGCACGCAAAGTCTGAGTTAGCTTCAGTAAGAATGTAATTATGTATTAAGAAAATAGGCCTCCCTATGGTCTCTTGAGGTATAGGCTAGGGGCCAAGCTCTCCCCACAAAGCTCTCCACTCTTCACTTTAGATGCTTGAGCGCTGGAAATGAAGAAGCCAGCAATCATGGCGAATAGAGAGCTTTGTGGGAGTGGCTTGTCCTGTTATTTTTAACCTGCAACAGACCATAGAGATCTCGTATGATTTAGTTATGTCAGTGTAGACTGTATTTTCGCGCCGCGGCGAAGCGGGAACCGACAATTCGTGGCTGTGTCCTGTCCCCAGATAAGCCATCTGGATGGAGATATCAAGCTGAAAGACATGGAGCAGCTCCAAGGAAGCATGTAAGGGATTTTTTATTATTTTTTTGTCAACAGCCTAATTAGTGCTTCTTATCCCTTCCAATACGTTTGAACATCAAAACGTCACTCAAGTTACTTAAGTCTTGTCACTTAAGTCTTGGTCAGATAAGTGATGTAGGCGTCATGATTTAAGTAACATCTATTTTTATATCTTTGGCCCGGCAACGGAGGACGCGTGATTGTTTCGCCCATGAGGCACATACCGGGACTGTGCACGTGCGGCAGAGGCACAGTCACGGCACCGCCAAAGCACGCACCTGGCTGACGCCCCGCGCTTTTTTCGCGCTCGTGACTCGGCCGAAAATAGGCCTTAATATTTAAAAATTATCTTTAAAGTAGTTGCAATTGTAAATCGAGCCTCGCAATTCTCGGGGTCAAAGAGTAAATAAGTTCGAAGAAATTTACGATGTATTTTGAGTAAGAACCGGTGTATGGCAGTTACTAAGTACTCATAAAGGCAATTTAACTAGAGCATTTCGACTACGGTTATTGAATTACTACCCGAGTTCGCTAAAGAGGCCCTCCCATCGTTGATTTAAAAAGGCTCGGGTAGTGTCTCTAGCTGATGGTGATCGACATTATTGTATCTCTAGCTGATCGCTATCGGCTTGCTTGTTTTTTGAACTGACCGTGACAGGCCTGGCCTGTCTCGTGCTGGTCTCAATTAGCCTTCGTTCTCGTATTGATTACGATTGGTCTGATTTATCTCGAGCCGATCGCGATTATCATCTGTTTTCGAGAGGCTTGGGATCTGTCTCACTGTATCTCGAGTCAAACGCGGTTTCCCTCGTCCGCCAGGGATGCCAAGCGTGCGCTGCCGGGCCCCGAGGCCATGCCCCCGTCCCCCCTGCTGATGCCCCCCATGGCCTCCCCTGAGGCAGCTAAGCCCTCCGAAACCCCCCCTGTGGCCGCCATCGACCTCAGCGAGTACAGCCAGAAGATTGTGGTGCGTGTTTTGTGGGATCACTGATTGCACACCAACTACCACCTAATTAGAGGGTCACTGGCCCTCTAATTAGACCCTTTATCTTCGCTACCTCTACTTTTCGCGAATCGTTCACAGGGGACATAGTCGCAGCCACTAAATTTTACGAATTCTAGACACCTCCACTGAAGCCCATGAGGACCTAAATTTTCGCGTGCCCTTAAATTTCCCAAATTTTTTATTTTGCGATATCCGCGAAAATTAAGGCTTCCCGAACATTAAGGGTTTTGCAGTATTTGGCTATCGTTAATATAAAGACCCCATAACATTTCGGAACCTCCATCTTTCAAGTATTCTTTCAAAATAAATCATAATTATTTATAATATAATTCATATTATAAATAATTATGATTTTTTTTTTTTTTTTGTAAAAATAATTTCGGGATGTTTTTTCTTGTACTTTGCAATTATTTAACTTTCATTAACTTTATTTTTGTGGAAACCATATCTCCACTTGTACACAAGCGTCCTTCATTATTGCGCTATCTGGTGTATATGCGAGGTGTTAAATAAGCTTATGACCATTCGGTTTTGATTGCTATAAGTCAAGGCACTGTATCAACAGATGCGTTCAAGTACAACATGACTGCGTATATTTTTTTCGGGAGTGTTTTTTTCTTCTTAAGTTTGTTCTGTATTTCCTTTTTGTTTGTTTGTTTTTTTGCTTTGGCCCAATGCTATATTTTGATTTATTTTTTTTTTTACTTATTTATTTGAATAACCTCACAGCGCCCGTGAGGGCATTATACGGGGGAGGGGCAAATACAAAATGAACTTGACGCCAAAAAACACTTAATGGCTTAGAAAATCAAAACTCCCGTAGCAAAGAAACATGCAAATAGAAACAAAAACAAAAACAAGGTCCCAAACTAGCGTAATTCTATACACAGTGGTAAACATAACCAGACAAAATGGGAATTCATAGAAAAATTAAGTATTAAGGTTTTGAAAATGCATGAAAAAATTGAGCTTAATTGAGACTATATCTTAAGGTAACTGATTCCAGTTGAGTACAGTGTAAGGGAAAAGTTAATATTTGTAAATGTCTGTTTTGCTTGTGAAAAGCCTAAATTTGTTGATATGATCCAGTCGCCGAGAGATGAAGTGAGCTGCAAGTAAATATTTTGTTTGGTCCATTCCACCTTGATGGTAATATATGCTGTATTAGGGTATTCACTTGGGCTAGTTGGTGATATGTTGTGACGATTTCGGTACTACTCTCTGCGCCTCAAAAATTGGGTAAACCGCGTGCAAGAGTAGAGCGGGGGATCTGGGGGTGGGTATCTGTAAGATAAGGCATGTGACTAGATTTGAACAGTGCAAGGGAGGGGTGGTATATAGAATACCTTGATTTGTGGGAGGGTTTACATAGGAGACTCCCTGACTTTGCGTAAATGATCGACTAAGAGAGCACGCACTGGCAATGAGATCGTCACCCACGGGTTATCTGGCGGTGCACTGCAATAGATGCGATTGTGTTCCAAATTTTCAGGAAACAATTATCTTGAACCGGAACCGAAACAAAGTGACAAGGGAAATTTCAGAATCATATTTTATAAACAAGTGCGGTCACGATACATTCGTTAGAGCCCCATCGATTGCCCTCTATAATTCAGAAGTGGCGTATTTACAGTCCTTTGATAGGCCAAGCCAGTAAAAATAAAAGTACATTAGTATGGCGATGTGAGTACATGACATAGATGTTTTGTTGGTAAGGCATATTTTTCTCCTTTTTGATCAATTCAGATTAAACTTCAGTTACAAGAGCGCTTTTGGTGTGTGTGTGTCTTCTCTTTCTCGTCCTCGTCGTTTTAGCGATTTTAATCGTCACAATGTAATATACGCTCTGGAGGAGTTGAGCCGGAAGTTTTGACGACGATTCTGTAGAGGACGCTATTTGAGCTCGCGTTCCAATGCAGTTACACTTAGAGCATGCGGGTATACACTAAGAACAAATCTGGCAGCTCTGTTTTGTATTAGCTTTATATTTTTCATCAAATACTGCTGGTAGGGCCCCAACCTCCAAACTCTAAAAATAAGCCGAATAGTTGTGAGGAACAGAGTATTCTTGAGTTCCTGAGGAACATTTTTGAAATTAGGTTTGATGAAACCTAGCCTCCGATTAGATTTATCACTCATATACCCTATGTGAAAGCGCCAGGACAAATCACGAGAAAAGTAGACACCTAAACATTTTACTTGCAGTGACATTTTGACGGGAATATCGTTAATCTGGTACATATTGGTGACACGGTTTCGCTTTTTAGTCACACGAACAAAGAGACGTTTTTTAGCGTTCAAATCCGTCCCCCAATGGCTACACCAGCCGAGGTCGGCCTGCAAAATGATACAGTCGTTCAAAGCACTCACTGCTCGGTAGATAATACAATCGTCAGCATACAGGCTTGTACTAGAAAAAAATGTCTGCATCAATATCATTGATAAATATTAAAAATAAAAGCAGTCCCAACACAGAGGTGTTGTAATTAAAAGAAAATCCTCGTCGCCATAAATGTAGTATTAAAGAAAATGCGGACACCCGAGAAAATAAAAAGGAGCAGTGCCTGCGTGGGCCTGCGGAAAACGAGGGGTCTCACATGCCGAAGAGGTGACCGGCGGGCCGGGCGCGGGAGCCCCGGACGGAGAGAGAGAGACGTCCGACGTGGTCGGTGGTTGAAACGTAACTGTTTATTTAACGGTCAACAAAGTGGGGTTGAGCGCCACGGGGACGCAATCCTGATAACACGGGCAATGGTGTAACACTGGCGCCATCTGGTTAGTGTGGCGAGAAATACTTAAATGAAAAAAATTGAAATACTACAAGAGCTCTGGGGTACACCATAAGTGACAGAAGTTAAGTTAGATGATTTGCCATTAATTAAGGCTGCTTAAGTCCTGCCTCTTATATAATTCGTTAACTACAAAAGAACACCATACCGTAAAATCCCCTAAAGACGCCCACCCAAAATGAAGAGATAAATGATGAAAAACATGGGGTGGGTTATCTTTGGGGATGTCGCAGCAAAACTTTATCAAAAGTTAATTGTAAGCGCCGGGGTACACCCGCTACAAACCACGCGACGCGGGAACTGATTCCGCAGATCGCCGACACGGCAAATTCGCGTTTCACGATACGATAAACACGCGGGATTTCGCTACAAACTCCTCACGGGAAAGCATAGTGGTCGACGGAGCAGATTCGCGTTTCACGGTGTGAAGGACTCGCGGAAACCCGCCGAGAACTCGCATCTCACGGGAACGGATACCGCAGGTCGCGGACGCAGCAGATTCAAGTTTCATGGTGCAATAAAGACGCGGGAACCCGCTACAATCTTGCCTGTCACGGAAACCGATATCGCGCGCGCAGATCGCGGACAAAAACACAAGAATACGCTACAAACTCGCATGTCACAGAAACAAAGACCGCAGATCGCGGACGCAACAGAATCGCATTTCACGATGCAATATACACGCGGGAACAACTCGCGCGCGTTACTTACATCTAAGAATCGATATCGCGCGCGCACATCGCGGACAAAAACACGGGAATCCGCTACGAGCTCGGAAACGGATAGCGCAAATCGCGAACGCAGCAGATACGCAGTGTTTCGCGAGCCGATATCCCGTGCAGATTGCAGACAAAACGCGGGAACCCGCTATAAACTTGCTTATCGAACACATTGGTACCGCCGATCACGCCGTTGATGCCCGATTTCCGTCGGACATCGCTTGACGTCAAACGAGAATCGGTGGGTGGGCGATGTTTCGGAATTTTATGTTACAGATATTTAGCCAGAAAAACGGGATGGGCGATCTCTCGGGGCAGGGGCCTAACGTGTGACCTTACGCGGCATCATTGCTTCAAGTTCCACGACAACCCTACATTAAACATTCCCGGATATCCGCTGCAAAACAATGACAGGTGCTCTCGTAATATGCCTCTCTACGTGACGGTATCTGAATAAACAAATAAGACACAGAAAGGTTCTGAAACCAGTGTTCTTTGAATGCATAGGGGAAATATTCACTTGTAGCAGGGGTAATGAAAAAGCTTGTTTCTGAAGATAACAAAACAGTCCTCACAGGGAGAGAACTCTGCACGAAAATGGCGATGATTCAAGAATCAAAGAACAAAAATACTTAAAAACAAGGACAGACAGTACAGTTTTATATGTGATGTCTATTCTTGTCCCTGAGTGTTTTTATTCTTTCTTTCATTTTTGAATTTTCACCAACCCCATCTTTGTTCTTTGGTGATGATCTGATGAGAGCTAGAAGAAATAACATTACCGTAACTGAAGTTCAATAACATTTTTTTTTTAATTTGTAAAGCTGCATGTTTTGTTGGCTTTCTTGTTTATTGCAAGCTATTATTGTTTTCTTTTATTTGGGCAATTATTGTAACACATGCCATACACTTGTAATGTACAGTCAATCTCGCAGTATATTTATTCTTCACTCAACACATTTTTGCTCTTGCCTTTCAGAGTTTCCTGGCCCGCAATTTCTACAACATGAAGTACATTGCCCTGGTCTTGGCATTCTTTATCAACTTTATTCTGCTGTTTTATAAGGTAAGTTAGCATGATAGAACTGTAGTTTCTTTTGCTTTTGGTATGCATCAACATGTAAATTCGCGTACATCAACATTTGGTACTATGATCATGGAAGTCTGATTTTTTGTGGCAGATTATGTCCAAGTCTTATTTATTTTTCCCAGCCGAAGGGTTTTTCTTGCATTTTAAGGTCAACAAGAATGTGTTCATGGGTTAGTGTTTCGTTCTACGGCAAAGCAGTATTGAAAATGTGTGACAAAAACACAAGATAGGTTTAAAATCGCTAAACCGCTGGAGACCAATACATGTCTAAATGTCTAAAAATGATGAAGAGTCAAAGATGGCTATTACAGAGAAAATGTATTATTCTGTGTTCTTCAACTTCATACGTAGGATGCGTTTCAAACCTGAAAGCAAAGCTGCGATTAAGGGGGAACACTACTCCGGAAGGCTAACTTTTGAACCGTTTGTCTTATTTGCATTAAATTTGTAGGGTGTACTCATAGCACTGGACAAGGATGCCGTGGAAATTTTCAATCCTATAAATTTATCCCACGATGAGTTACATAAAAGTTCATAATAAAAAAGTGTATCTGTTGAGGAAAGCTATCGTTTAGAAAGGGTAATGAAAATGGCCAGTTTTTTTGCTGAAACATACAGCAGAATACTTGCTTCAGACGACTATGAAAAGAAATATCAAAAATTATGAAATTTATTCACAAATAAAAAATACGGAAAAAAAATTTTTTTGCTGTACATTTGATTAAAAGAAATATAAACTTTTCATAATAAAAGAGCAGAAAAATGCAGAAAGTAAGTTCGCAGTCGTGTTCTCCAGAATATTTCGATATAGAAAAACCAAAATATATCTGCACGCATAATTTGATTATGAAATGATAGCTTTCCTGAACTGATATTGGACACTGAAAAGTGAACCTGAGATAAATGCACTTGAAGTTTCATGATGACATTTTAAAAATTTATTTTTGCGTCTTAAATGTCAGAAATTCTTTCCACCATTGTAAGTGATGTCTTCTTCAAACGTCTTCTGATATACTGACATTGCTTTCAGCTATTTTCATTTGTGGATGACGAGTGCTAAGCAGTGCAGCACACCTCACCAACATGTAAAGAATAATTTTTTGTGACATTGTTTGTTAGCGCACATTGACAAGGCTTTGTGAGAGTGTTCTGTGTCATCCATACATGCCAAAACTTTGAAAGTTCTAAATATGCATTTTTTTTTAAAAAAGGTGCAATTCAAGGTAGTGTCCCCCCTTAAATTTAATCGCGTCGCCTTTAAACTCATAGCAGCCGTACCATGCCGTTATTAACTAAATTTGGCAGGCTGACGTCCTGCTAAAATCAGCATGATTCCACTATAGACCACGTGAACCCGTGACCCATAAATTGCCACACTCCCGTGCGGATTGTAGTTGGTGCCACTATGCGCCTGATGTGGTCATGTGACGTGCGTCGGGGTGTGAAGAACGTTATTAGATAATGTTGAGTATCGAGTAGTGGTGCGACGGAATGTCACATGACCTGGGAACGTCGCACGATGTCAGGTCACGTGACGTCATGTGAAAGCGTGACGTGTGAAAGCATAACGCCGGACAGTGATGCTACACTGTCCAGCGTTATGTATATATCATTCATGTATTCTGCATACAGTACATAAAAAATCATGAGCCATTCCACTCTGTGAAGGTTCTGGGAACCACGTGTTCCTCGCATCCCTATCTAGGCCTAGCTCAAGCAGGCCGTGGGACGTCGCCATGTGAGGGCGCGTCCCGGATGCGAGGGCGAAGCCGTATTCCCTCGCCCTTCTCGGGTGATTTGCCAAAGGCACACCCCTCGGGATCATGACTTGGACGCGTCCGCCCCTCTGGGGAGCCAACCTACATCCGACCCACCCCGGGCGCGTCCATTCCCGCAGGCTATATAAGACGGCCCTAATCCAACGGGCAGGACTCTCGCTGGGGGAAACTCTGCTCGATGGAGCCTTCCTTTCTTTATCTGATCCTCCCCCTCCGTGATACTGTCAATAGCGGCAGCGCGGACTCTGACTGGCGATCCTGTCAAAAGAGTCAGCGCCGTCATCTGCACCATTGTTGGCCCTCGGGCAAGCGTATGGCGTTGTCGTGAAATAAACACGTCATTTTCCGGACCAAAGAAACCTACTGTGTTTCTAAGTGGTACCCCCAAAGGGGAAACCCACAAGGTGGATGACCAGCGAAGCTTGTTAGCACATGACACAAGCGTCACAGAGTTTTGGTTAAAGGTATGAGCAGTGGTATTGTCCTGTTTGGTGGTAATCGTGAGGTAGGCACGCGCATTTATTGTTGTCTTGCCCAGTGGTCATTATTTAGCGTAGACAACTATCGCCGCCCCGAGGAGCCGGAGGAGACTAGACACGCGCGACGGGGCCCCCACCCCGGGAAAGCAGAAGGAAAGGAAACTAGGCACGCAAACGCTTGGAACGATGACCAAGAGAGTGCAGTGTGAGCGTAGACACGGCAACGTGGATCGCACAGCGGCAAATCATTGAGAAACGTTTATTATCTACCTGAGAGTCTGCTAATCTTGAAATTGGTGCCTATTGATAATAAACCTACTGATAAATTACCCAAGCATCAAGGAGAATGCAGGAAAGGTGTTCCACGTGCCGCACGTGCCGGCGTCTGCAGCAGTAACTGTTCTAAAGCAAAAGCCTAAAACATATGGCTTCTTGCACGCGCATTCGTCAACGCTTTATTTTGGGTATTTATTTTGAATATTTTATACGGGGAAGGCGTGCGCGTGCAGCGCGTGCGGCGGCGCGAGCGTGGAGTTTTTATTGACGCACATGAAAAATCCAAGGAACCCTAGCCATTAACAGCCTAGCTGTAAAACGCCCTTTTTTTGCATTCTTTCGCTCAATTGTGTCTTAGGACGCCAAGATGGAACGTAAAATAAGCATGACACCCTCATCTCTTTGTGAAGCTGTCCTCTTTGCCTCAAGACTCGCGCCCCGTAGTCTGGAGTGTACCGGGGCGCTGAGAGAAACTGCCACGACTTGTCGTAGGTGACTACGGGTGAGGAAGATGCCGACGCAGGCAGTGGCAGTGACGACGAAGCAGAGCCCGCCTCGACCGTCGGCAATGGCCTGGCCGACCTGTTGAGCAACGCGACGGAGGCCGTGGCCTCTGGTTCAGACAGCGAGGACGAAGACCTGGAGGAGTGGGTCATCATTGAGGAGAAGTTCTTCTACCTAGAACCGGTCATCCGCTTCATGGCCTTATTCCACTCCCTGGTCTCCTTCTGCATGCTCATCGCATACTACCACCTCAAGGTGAGATCTTTTTTTAAAAAAAGCAGAATGGGTTACGTGGCTGGTTCTGCTTTCCCGAGTCCATCACTCGAGTGCTGCGTTCGACTGGAATTCGCGTCCTTATTCAGGTTCCCTTGGCCATCTTCAAGCGAGAAAAGGAAGTAGCACGTGCCATGGAGTTTGACGGCCTCTACATCAGCGAGGAACCGGCCGAAGACGATATACGCACCCGCTGGGACAAGCTGGTCATCAGCACCAAGTGCGTAGGGCATTGCGACCCACGACACCTGCCGCTTGGCGATGCCTAGTCTTTACGATTTTTATTCCGATTCAGGTCCTTTCCTGTGAACTACTGGGACAAATTTGTCAAGAAACGGGTAAGTTTAGCTGCGTTCAACTCTTACCAGAATACGAACAGGGGGGATAGCGACTCGAATCAGTGTCAAGAGTGAGGCCCCTTTGCTTATGCACACGACGTATGCAGCTGGTAAAGAGTGTTCTAGAGTGGCCGACTGCCATTCGACCGTTGCTTACAACGAGAGGGTTGTTATGGCAACCGAGCTCCGACCAAAGTGTCCTAGTGGATATGTCTGAGCCAAGCCCAGTTTAAGTATTTCCATGACCGGTATGAATATGTTTCGACAAAAGGGGAAGAATGAATTTTTGGGAGGCCAATGTGCATTGGCCTTCCAAAAATATAGGGGTGCCTTTTTATGATTCAGACTTTATATGTATATATATATATATATATATATATATATATATATATATATATATATATATATAAAAATTCGGGAAAATATAAACGCCAACACTACCTTTGGGTCGCTATAGTAGATGAAAAATAAGAAAAGCTTTCCACGACAATTTATGTCTGGTGGACTTCAACAGTTATGGAGACATCATAATTACGCCCTTCTAGGTCAACGTTTTTTGGCCGGTGATTTTTTTAATTGTATATAAAGGATTATTAACCTACAATAGTGAGCAAAATTTGCAAGCCCATTGAGTTAACCCATGCAAGTGATTTTTCCTGTTAGCCCCGCTAACATGCCGGTGCAATGCAGTAAAGCTGGACACAGGTTGTACCGCGCGAGTGTCATGAAGCCGTTTGACGCGATAATCAGCCGACTTTTCCAAATGTGAATTTAAACTACGGTGACTAGAGACGCAACTGAATAAATGCTTCTACAAAGCTCGCTTTAAAAGTCAGCATTTTCTTCACGAACGCTTAATCGCCATAGAAATAAAACTAGGGGGACCAGAGAAACTAAGGAGAACAGGAGTGTGTATGAAAGAAAGAAACATAACTATAATTAGGACTGTTGAACAAACCCCTTCGGCACCTATTTCAAGGTTATGACACACCGGGGCAAGCAGCAAAGTGCAGAGAGGCAGAGGTACAAAAAGAGAAGAGCAGCCATAACCGGGCAGTTCTCCTTTAAATTCCGTCAAAACGCAGCCTTTTTTTTTCTTAGTTATTAAGCAGATTGTTATACGCAACAAACGTGAAGTTGAAACCCATATCCCTATACCAACGGAGCGGACGTAACTCAAACGCCAACCAGAATGCCCCTAGCCGCAAACAGGTCGGTTTTGTCGGAACTCGGAAGCAGCCGCAGTATTGAAAATGCGTAGAAGCGAGCTAAATAACGCGTACTGGAAGACGCATACGCCTTCTGAGGAAAGCCAAAATACGTGCTGTGTATTTCGGTGCAGTATAGTACACATAAAAACTTATCCGGTTCAAAGTAATACGGGTTTGAAGCGAAACCTTACGAGACTGAATGCCGCTCGACTTGGAAGCAACCCGTGCGTTAGCTGCGAGTGGCATTTTTCAACTTGCAGTTCGCGTTGTGCTTTTAATTGCGAGAGATATATGTCATGACCTTTCTCTAGCGCTATCTAATTACCGAGACACCCACGCAATGCTTCAAACAGTTCAGGAATCATTTTGTGGGCAATGGGCGCGTTCAGTGGCAGCTCCATTAAAATCAAACGGCGCGACTCGGGTCGCAAACGCAACGGCAAATGAGCGTCGCTCTCTAACCCAGATTGTGCTTGTACATCAGTCGGTCGAATCTGTCTTCAAATTAAATAAAACGAGACAACGCCGACGCTTTTATTTTAACCTCTCGACCCGATTGTTTTGTACGAAGCAAGTGGAATGTACACATCACCGTCGGTTGTCTTGGCAATCGAATCTCTTGCGGACGAGTAAAATAACTGCAATACACTTGTTAGTTTTAAACGAAGAAACCTTCACAATATAGTATACGTGATTCTGTTCCTAGTGCTGCTCTCCCTTTGACGAATGTATTCCACGACACAAGATTTCCGAGTTTTTAAGTGCATTACATTCCGTCACAACGACGCCATATTGGCCTTAGCGTAGCTTACACGCGTGGCGTCCCGGCAATTATGTGCCGACTACCGCTAAGTGGCGTCGTGCAATAGGCGACGGAGACGAATTCACCGGCTCGCTCGCTCCCCATGGGAGATTAACCGGATTGGCATTCTCGAACAGCTGGAAAAACGTGTCACCCGGGTTCACATCAAAGAGCTCCTATTGCAGCTTGGAGTATATACATATGATGCTCTCAGTTACTCCCTGTCATAGACATTTTTATTTTAGTAGTTACCTGACTGGTGGATAGAGGGCGTTGATGCACTCGGTGCCATAAGGTGGCTTCAATTTGGTTGCTTGAAATAGAAAGAATAAATACACAGAGCACTGTCACAGATAACCAGACTCTTTCGGCTCTGCTAAAGTATTCTTCAACAGTATTTCGAAATGTTGTCCTTAGAAAATAAACCATTCAATTTCGTACATCATATTCCGGATATGAGATAAGGGATACATCCGTCAAATGAAGACTGACACATGTTTGGTATAATTTGCAAAAGCAAAGTTCAAGGGCACAAGAGAAGTCACCTCCAGCAAGCTTAGCTTATTTGAATGCCAGGCACCGCTTCATGGATCTGTGTAGACAGATCTTTAATCGTTTGAACAGATGCGCTTTTTACTTTCAGCGGCGTCGAAAGTAAACCGCGAAACACTTGTACGACGAAACCGTCCGATGCGACGTCCGACCGCGCAATACGACGGTCGGAGGCGAGGGTTAACTTTTCAACGCTCTCCGATGCTACGAAAACCCTCTCCCCCCAAGGTCATTCCGGCAGTCCGCACGTCGGATCGGAAGGTTTCGTCGTACATGTGTTTCGCGCTTAAATCCAGCATCAACAACGCTGCATCGAGTGATTTCCTGGCAGACGGCTTCTTTTCGACGTTGCATATTGCGTGCCTCAGGCGCTCGCAAGTTGTCTCTGAAACGATATTCACGTGGGGAGCCCACGCTTTGTGTTTAAATAAATTAAGCGAATTGGATACCTTGCAAACAATTTAGTGACAACATACATAGGAAAGAGCACAGTGTATACTTTCTTTAAATTCATAAATAAACTGATAACACGAATGTTTATAGTATACCGTAAAGACAATTCCTTCGTATAATCAAAATAAACTTCTCTCCATCTCTTATAAAGGCAGAAATGATGTTTTCATGAAACACACATAGCAACCAGTGACGTGCAGTATATTCGCCACTACCTTTAAGCTCCTGCATGCTCGAGTATGAATATAACTTGCAAATGTTGCAAATGTTAAGTCACTATCACTGGGCAAACCTGCGATGTCAAAAATTATGCCGTCTTTTAGTCATTTAGATACTCACTGTGCGCCCGTGCAATGCCGATTGCTGTCTCTCCTCTATCCTTACGCGTGTCCGCTACGCCTACATTGCAAAGTCAAAACGTGTCATAAGATCAAATAAAGAAGAAGAGGCGGAGAATGAAGAATGAAGAGCATAATAAAGGGCATGCACTTAGTTATCAAAGGCAAGTACCAAACGACATCTTATACGGCAATGCAATATATTGCGGTGAAATCCTACAGGTGTCAGAGCGGAGCGACGGGTTGAAGCTACTACTTCATGGCGGTCATGTCAAGTGAATCCAAAGGGGCAACGCCTAAACGAAGGATGGTGAAAAGCTTTATAAAGATGGTGTTTTTACTGTACACTGCCAGACACTGCTACAACGAGCAGGCAGTTTCCTTATTTTTTCTTTTCTCTTATTATTGAAAGGCTGCCATTAAATCTACAAGTGAAGTGGAAAATGCTCATTTTGATCACTATACATAAGCGGTAAAATTTGACATCCGCCAATATCCTTCGAATTGAAATAGAAAAACATACCTATGTCGTATTTAGACTAACAGTGTTGCGCGGTCGGGTAATTTAAGTGTCAGCTGGAATGTGCGCATTTTGTTTCTAATCGATGTTGGCTAAGAGTGAAATGGACCCCACGTCGATGGCACAGAATTCTGAAACGAGTGTTCTCCCCCGCAGGTGCGACAGAAGTACTCTGAAACGTACGACCCAGAGGCCCTGAGCAACGTCCTGGGCATGGACAAAAGTGGCTCCTTCTCGCAGGAACAGGAAGAGTCCGGAGGCCTGATTCCCTTGTGAGTATAGGAAGTGCCACTTCAGCGGAGGAGATGCTCTCGAAGGAACGAGGCTCTCACGTGCCTTTGTTCCTCTCTCCGCAGCATTACAAATGCAGACTGGAAATACCAGATCTGGAAATCCGGAGTCACAATCACCGACAACGTGAGTGCCTGCCTTCCTTTATATCAGTGTGGTGTTGGTTCCGGGCTTTACGATGGGGATACGTCAGAAAAAAATGAGACTCAGAGATTCGAAAAATGTATTGAAAGAAAAAAATATAAGGCCGAAAAAAATATCTAATTATAGAACTGGAAAATATCACTGGGGGCCTCTCGCCGTGCCCCTGAAATCCCACCGCACATGCATCATACAAAATACATGGTGTTCGTTGCAGATATGATGCCATTAAAACTGCAAGTGCGGTGGTAAATGCTCATTTAGGTCGCTGATATAAGTGGTAGAATTTGAAGTCCGCAAATACCGCTTCGAAAGTATTCGGACTTTGCCTTTTTAATGTCAGAGTTCAGCTTATTTCTTATTCGTCTAAACTAAAATAAAAAAAAACTTCTGTCACAGAATTTGGCAAAACAATGATGCATATTATTTTGTTCTTTGTATTCTCATGTAAATATCGACATTCTGTCATGGTTTTCTCAAGCTTTGTTTCGCCTTCCTTGTTTCTACTACGGGAAACGCAGAATCATATAAGTTCTTAAATATACTAAAAAATTTGCTATACGCCGCATCTGCACACCCTTCCAGATAAACGTTAGACCAATAAAAACATTCAACAAGTTTTTTAAAGGTGTTTCCGCATTTATTTTTATAAAGCTGCAACCCTTTTTGTTGTTTGTGTTATTCGAAACCGGGACACGGCTCAAGCTAATATTGGGTAGATTGTCGCTTATGTCTTGACAAAAGAATCCAGGGAACAGCTCAGTTTGGTCCATATTTGTCACACATACATCTATGAGTGTGGAGCTCTCACTTGTCATTCTAGTTGTGAGCGTTACTACATCTGAGCTCGCGTAGGACAACACTAGGTCATTGAAATCTTTTTCGTATATATCATTTCCTATTGTGCCAATGTTTATTCTCCGATAATTAAAAGCGGTAGCCTTGTTAAGGAAATAAAATGTAATAGGTCGCCAAAGAAGCCAAGAGAGCCCGCCACTTGTGCTGTCTTTTAAACTTCGGAAATCCGCCCTGTGTTTGCGGCGGAGATCATCAAAAGCTTTTTGCAAATTCTTTGGATTCCTTTCAATCCTTGGTAGTGGTCTTCGTACAAAGTACACGAAAAACACACACACACACACAATGAGCTGTGTTCGGCAGCAGTGCGCAAAAGAAAATTACTTAGGTGTAAAAGCAAATTTTCACCTGCGAGCAAAACAATGATTTTTAGATGCGCGCCTGTTCAGCACCTCCGTGGATCTGAGCACGGCGGGGGGACGTCCTTCCAACCAACGGCGAGATCATGATGCGACGGAGTACACATGATTTAAAAAGGTTTATCGGGTGTCCAGGGTCACTCCGAGTATCTTTATGCTGTCCCTGTGGTTCATAACTTAGTAATTTATCCTCAAGTGGGGAAATGGCTATGGCGTCTTTTCCTGGGTTTGTGAAGTGCAGAATGTCACAAAAAAAAATTTACAGGTTTTTTTGTTTGTTTTTTTACCGCAAAAATAAATTAGGCATCGCCGAACGCCTCATTCTCTGCCGAAAAATAGCGCTAGCGGTCACAACCAGATGAGAAAGTTTCAGCCCGATCCGATGCCTTATTGAAAAGTTAAAGGTTATTTTCTGACAAGTTCGTTGGGAAAATGGCGGCCGACAGAGTTTTCGAATACATGGGGCTCTGTCGTGTAGACGTTTTGGTGAGGATGTAGTGTGATAGCCAAAAAAGAATTTTGTCCTCAAAACCAGCACGCACAAATTTCTTCCGTAATACGGTGTGATGGACCTTGTCAAGGGCTTTTGTGAAGTTCAACTGGGTGAGAGAGAGACTGATCCTGTGCGCTGCTGCTACGAGGGCGGTCTCGCTGCTTCTACGAGGACAAAAGTCAAGCTGGGCAGGCGAAAGCGGGGCAGGCGAAAGCGGGGCACTGGTGTCGAGGTTTGGCACGCTCCATCGTGCGCCAGTCTACCGAGGTTGTCAGATGAACGGATAATTCTTTAGTTTATGAGCTGGAGCTCCATTTCCCACGTAGACTGGCGTAATATACGTTATTTCCATTTCCCGACTTTGGTGCAATAAACGCGCCAGTAAAGGCGAGGCGGGTTGGCTAATCGCCTTTAGGAATGCAGGGTGGATGCCGTCGGAACCAGGCGACTGTGATGGGGTGATTATAGTAAATGCTTCCTTCACGTCACTTCCACTGATACAAATACTGGAAAATGTAGGTGAGACTTGCTCGCCTGGGGCTTGGTAAAGTGGGAGCTGCTGATATTAGAAGGGTGACGTCAAAAATATCTACTGACGATCTCCGCTGCCTCTGTGTCATTGAGGACTTTGCCATTTTGGCAGATATCAATTGCATGTGTGTTCCTTATATGTTCACGTATAACCGTGGACGGTCATGTGTCAGCAGCTGCTAATCTTCTTCCTTTAATTCAGTTGCACTTCTGTTTTCTTCGTCTACAATTTCTTTCCACCTTTTATTCGTTCCTTACAATGTTCTTTTTTATTTCTCCTTGATCGTATTCACAATAGGGATATCATCCCAGCTAGGAAATGACAACCTTTAGGCTTGTTCGCCAACTCCACACACTTCAATTGTGTTCATCTGTCCCGCGACTTTCGTTGCGGCAAAGTTACCAGCACGCCAAGTAGAAAATCATCATTAGACGCAGGTTGAGCTATTTGTTTGGAAATAAAACAAGCCTTCTCGCTCAAAAAACCAGCATTGAAAGCAATCCATAATAACCCTGAGACGTAGGAACAATTAAAAAAAACGGACGGAACAGCGAAGTTTCTAGAGACCTCATTGTTCTGTCCGTTTTTTTATTGCTCCTACGTCTAAGGGATACTACGAATGTCATTCACCAGCTCGCCTGCATTTTTTACTTTTCTTTTATTAAAAGGAAACTGAGTCTTTTCGTTGTTGTTGTTATTGTTGTTTTTTTTCTGTAATATACCAAACAAACAATCGCTAATCACCTTAAGAAACGCTGGGCCTGGCGAATTCCTAGCATCTTATTCTAATCATAAAATCCCAGACTGCAGTGAGAAAAAACGATACTGTCAAAAAATATGTCTCAGACCCAGCTAACTTGTTTATTTATCTCGCTCCTCCCTTTCTTCGCTCGATAGTTTGGTTTCTCCACTGTCTTTGGTTTTACAGGATAAGACTAACTGGGGGCGTCAACTTGCTAGCACACTCGCTCTCGTTTATTATTATTGCTCCGCAGCATTAAAGGCATTCCAAACATGACACATGAAAGGCCACGCACGGCATCTGTTGTACCTGAAGTGGAGGTTATCATCACTTCTAGCCCGCTTTGGGTCTTTTTTTTTTTTTTTTGGCTTGGGCAAAGCTTTTTTTTGCCTCCGTTCTTGGGCCGAGGCTTGCAGCGTGCTCATCGTGTGGGCTCAGACAGCCACACACACGCTCTGCTAGCTTTTGTCAAGGCCTCCGTTGTTGTTGTTGGTCCCGAAACTTCTGAAAACAAGAAAGGGGAGGAGAAAGCAGCGCGGAGGAGAAGAAGGATGTACTTTTTTTCACGTGGTTCAAGCCCATGAGGTAAGGATAGCGTACTCGCCACAACTTTCACGCTTCTCTTACGGTGCATGGAATTTTCTGTGCACTGTTTGGACAAGCTTTTAACTGATGACACTACTGTAGAACAAATGATGAATTGAAAAGCATAACAAGCCTCTGAGATCAAAGTGAACTGGGAGTCTAGAGTTGCGAGCTGTGCGTGTGCTCCTCCTGCAGTCGTTCCTGTACAACCTGTGGTACTTCCTGTTTTCGGTGATGGGCAACCTGAACTACTTCTTTTTTGCGGCACACCTGCTCGACGTGGCCGTGGGCTTCAAGACCCTGCGCACCATCCTGCAGTCGGTCACCCACAACGGGAAGCAGGTACTGCAGTATTGATTCACATCGCAGCAAGATGGAGGCATGAAGCAGCGGCGCTCATCGCCTTTGTGCGTCTGCTATCCCAGGCTAAACCAATCGCGTTCAGTGACTGCAGCGTGATCCGGCGCCTTTTGTCTAAAGGATTGGTTTAGCCAACAAACGCACAAAGACGATGAGTGTCATGACGATGCTTTATTGGCTCCATCGTAGCGTTCGCCGTGGCCGGACTTAACGTAAGACGGAGTATAAACTTACATTTAAGCCTGGCTCTCACATTTCTGTTCCAGTCTGCTCGCTTGTAACTGCTTCCGAAGAGAGAACGCACTGGCACACCGGCATTATCAAGCCAGGTAGCCCTGAAACCCTAGTCGAATCTGCGTTAACTGGACTGAAGGTAGAGCAGTACTTGAAGTATCAAATATACACACTGTCTACGAGAAATGGTCACTCGTAACAATGGCAGAACTGTATCAAGCGCGCAGTTAAAAAAATAAATATGCGCAGATCAGAAGTGCTCCGGAGCTATCCGATAGATGATGCCAGTACAATCCCAAAAGTCACAGCTTCTCTGTGCCTACCACTGACGAGTTTTGCAAGTTGCACAAGTACCACGTTTAGGAAAACGTAAATGCAGTTTTGCTCCGCACTGGCTCCAATGTTTCCTTCTTTCTTTGGCAGCTGGTGCTAACGGTGATGCTTCTCACCATCATCGTCTACATCTACACTGTGATTGCATTCAGCTTCTTCAGGAAGTTCTACATACAGGAGGAAGACGATCAAGTCGACCCCAAGTGCCACAGCATGCTCTCGGTACGGTCCCCTTTAGTCACTCGTTTTTAAAGCGGTGGCTTTTTACGGGAGCCTTCCACGGGCCTTGTTTGCTTGTCCTACCGCATCAAATCAATTTCCCCTCAAGATTTAGCGAGAAAATTGACGTCGCAAAACCTGAGGTCGCATAACATGGTCACGTGACGCGACGTCAGGGTGACTCATGACCTGGCATTTCAGGATGTCAGGTCACGTGACACACATTTCCCCGCTAAATTTAGGGTGAAATCCTCGTGGTTTTATGTGACGTTAGAGTGTCGCGTTAAGCAACAATGTCACCTGACGTGACATCGGAATTCCACCTCTAAATTTAGCGGGGATATATGTATATCCGCTATATTTTTGTAAAAATGACTGTTCGTTAAAAACACAATCAACTGCAATCTCACCTTAATTGCATTGTCGGGACGTCGAAGCCAGGCATTTTTTTATTGGTGCAGTTTAATGTAAAATAAATTACTCATTTTTGTCCTAATTTTTTTTTTCATTTTAAATTTTATGCCAAATAAAAGTAAGCAATTTACTCAAAACAAATAATAATATGACTGTTGTCTATCTAGGCAAAATTAAGACGTCTAGCCATTATGAAGTAGACTTCAGTGCTCTAGATTACAACTATTGACATGGTGGTGAATCTGGTATCCGCAGAGTTCGGCTGGGATCGCGCATCGGTGGCCGAACACACTTTTTGTCGTCGTCGTTATTGTCAATGTCGTCGTCGTTGGTCCGTGCTTAGACACAGCATTCCCTCAGACTAGATTCATAATCCACAACGAGACACCGGTTTATGGACTCTGCAGGGGTATCGGCATTCAATGCTTTGAGCTGCACAGGCACCACGAAAACAGACCGTCACGTTTGGAAACGGCTAATCAAGCTCCGCAGATTCACGTTGCTCCTTTTCAGGAAAGAATAATGTTACAGCTTCCGCTTAGAATATGCTTCTAGATCTGCAATCGCCTTTTCTGGCCATCCAGGTACAATGAAATGCAATGCCTTTCTGTAAATAGAGTCTGTCACTTCTGCCTCTTGCAGAGTCTTCATGTACATTGGACCCACTTCCAGCTGTCTTAGGTAGAAGCTGATGGCATAGTCACGATCTCTGTTTCACGTTGTGCATCTACCGGCAGGCGAGATAGAGCATCTGCGTTGAGGTTTTCCTGAAACTTCTTGCAGACCGTGTCATATTGGTACACTGAAAGAATCATAGCCCAACTTTGCTGTCTTGTGGCTGTTAAGGTTGGGATGTCCTTCTTCGGTCCGAGGATTGTTGATAACGGCTTGTTATAGGTCACCAGGATGAACTGACGTCCCTATATATATAGCCATGGAATTTCTTCACTCTAAAAACAATGGTCAGAGCTTCCTTCTCTAGTTGGGCATAATTCTCTTCCGCTCGAGAAAGTGTCCTTGAGGCGTAGGCAATCGGACGCTCCGTTTTGTCCGGGTACACGTGTGTAGTACGGCTCTAAATCCAATAGGTGAGGCACTGCAAGACAAAAACAAAGGCACCTCACGATCCTAGTGCGCCAACACTGGAGCTCCGCTCAGGGTTTTCTTGAGTATTTGAAACCTTTCATCGCATTCTGAGGACCAGTTCTACGGAAGTTCTTCATATAGTGGAAGCGTCAGAGGTTTCAGTATCGTAGATAACTTGGGCATAAAACGTTCGTAGTATTTTACATGTCCCCAGAAACCACCGGAGCTCACTCACCTTCTTGTGCACGGATGCATTCTGTACAGCCTGTGCCTTCTTGCTCATGCTGCTTATACCAGAACCACTGACTGTGTGTCCCAGATAGTCCACCGTGAATTGCATGAACATGTACTTATACCTCTTTGCCGCTAACCGAAGTCCTTGATCCTTTATGCGGGTTAGTACATGGTGCAGGCACTTTAAGTGCGTTGAGTCGTTCACTGCGGCTACCAGAACGGCTTGCAGGAACACGCAGATGCTTGCAATCTTTCCAAGAGTATCTCCATTTGCTTTTGGAAGATATCAGGGGGCTCAGGTGATTCCGCGGGGTAGAGACTTGTAATGGTAGAGTCCCTTGTGTACAGTGACGTACTGGCGAGGCTTCTCATTCAGCACCAGTTGCTCTTAGGCGTGTCTTAAATCCAGCTTAGCGAACTTCTGTCTGCTGTTCAAGGTTGTGAATAAGTCTTTTGCTGTTGGTAGAGCGTACTGGTTCATTTCTAGCTGAGGATTCAGTGTGAGCTTAAGGTCACCACATATCCAGACCTCTCTTTCGCCTTTCAGAACGTTGACCGTAGGCGTAGCCCACTCACTGCAGCTTATTGGCTCGATGACGTCACTTTTGATAATGTCCTCCAGCTGTCCTTTGATGAAAGGTTGGAAAGCTTACAAACTTTCTGGCTTTTCATGAACTTTCGATGGGCGCCATCTTTTAGTATTCGAATAACCTCAACTCCTTTGAAACAGCCTAGCTCTTCATTAAATTGTTCGTTACACTCTTCCAGGATACTATCCAACATTTTGTATCCTCTAGAGTGTGGACACAAAGTACAGCCATCCACGTCTCGTCTAGGACTTGTATCCAATTCCTTCCCAACAGCGGTGGTATGTCTGCATTCACCACGACCAGTGGCAAGATATTGTGATTGCGCTTGACTTGTATTCAGTGACACAACAGACGTATGGGCCTTGTCCTGAGAAGGTGCGAAGATTGCTCCTGGAGGGCTCTAGCTTGCGGATCTTCCGAATTGACCTTGCAGTCTCTTTGGAATTGCTGTCGTCGTATCACCTGTGTCTACCTCCATCTCCATGTTTATATCATTAATGGAAACACTTTTTTTATGGGTGGAACAGAACAGTTTTCCGTTTTTCCGCAAGACAAAATACTTTTCCGCGCTCTCCTCCCTCTTGAGTTGTCGCACGGCTTCCTTTGCTTTCGTCACTGAACCTTTGTATTTGCTTTTACCTTTCTTTTTCAATGCTTTCCTTTCTTTTTCCTGCGCGCTTCTGATTCTGCAGGCTTTCCGTAGGTGACCCTTTTTTTCCATGTGCGTCGCAGTCATAGCCTTTTTAGCAGACCCTAATGTTTGTGGTTGTTTCGAAGACACGCCACCAGGCAACACTTGTACTTGCTAGTTGTGGGATCTCGTCTTAAGCGGCGGTGCGTGCACCATTGAGAATTTTCAGTTGATCCTCGGCCGCTTCCAGTCCCGCTATCAGTTCCACAGATCACGTCAAAGTAAAATTTTCAATCGTCAGGCTCTGCTTTTGGGCTATCATGCTACTGAGAACACAGACAAATCGGTCGTGCAGTTGCTCCTGCAGTTTGTCTCTTTATTGACAGGCCTCCAACTAGGCGTTTCAATTCTGCCAGATACGTCACTGAAGATTCAACTAATCTTTGATACCGCTTTTCAAACGTGAAGCGTTCGGCCATCAATAGTTGCTTTGGTGAGTAGAATTGACTCAGGAGTTTCAGGCGATCCTCATCAGTCATCTTGTTCGGTTGCAGAGAAGATGATAAACCCCGCAGCCTGGAATATGCATTTTGTATGATGGCTGTGCTTAACGCAGACACGTTTGTCGTCTTGATCTTTTTTTTGTGTAACTCGAAGTACTCTTGGAGGCATTTCTTGGACTCCTCCCAGCTTGTCCCTTCCTCGTGAGGTTCAATGGAACGCGATAGGTCATTCTTGCCTTGATAGATCCGGTCGTTGACCTCCGCTGCCTCGTCGCCACTTCGTTGTATATCTACGCTAGATTAAAACTCTTAGCCATTATGAAGTAGTAGACTTTAGTGCTTTGTAACTATTTATATGGTGGTTCATCTGGTATCAGCATAGTTCGGCTGCGCTCGCGCGTCGGTGGCCGAGCACACTTTTTGGCGTCGTTGTCGTGAGCGTCGTCGTTGTTGGTCCGTACTTGCACACAAAAACCACTCGAGGTCTTTAATACGCTGTTAAGATCTCGGTTTCGCGATGCACGTTCTTGAATCAGTCTTCATGAGACTGGTTACGGCCAGTATTTAAACCCGGCAACTTCGACTTCGTAGGCCATTATTGGCTCCTCTATGACATATCTATCAGTGTAACCACATTTCATTTTCCTTTGAATGAGAAAGACTAAGTATTGCTAATTCAGTTCTGCTTTATTTTCTTTTGAGCTCTCCATTGTACGGAAAACATTTTTTTTTATTAAGAAGTTTTTGGAAAAGGTTTCACTGAAGTCAGCTTTTTTTACAGAGGCACTTAACGAAATCTTGGGAGGAAAAACTTTCAGTAATCACAAAATAACAGTCCTGATTTGTAACAAGAAATTATTCCATTTTCAGAGCATTGGGGTTTAATAATTGTCAGAAGGAATCATATTAAAAAATTAACTCTTTCCCAGACAACCTTAAGCTACCCTCTCCAATCTAAGTGAAAATTTAGATTCGAAGTAAAAATAAGTCTAATTTTTTTATAGGAAATTAATCGCTTAATTGCTCACGTGACATATTTTCAAACTTCACAGCCATATTTATTTTTTATCTTAACGTCATGTCTAAATGGATAATCTCACTTCCCTGTGGCGAAATGTAGTTGAATGAAAGGAACCAATGAAACGATTTTTTCAACTTCTTCCTCCCTAGCTTTAATCGTCAACTCAAGAGCGAAATGAGAAACCGCGTGGTCGTAACGTGCTTGAGCACCGGATGCGATGACTGCAAGCTTCCACCGTGGTTTTTTAAGCATAGTGTGAAATTTTTCATTCGCAATTGATGATAAGTGCCGTCACGACCTCATTGGCCACGAACGCGAATTCAAATATTCGTCAACAGATTTGAGTGTTGACGACAGCTTACGTCCGAGTGACTTAGTTCTCGTGTCCAATGCGTGAGCTGGGTTCGGCTGACATCCTTGGGCACCGCGGTTACATCCCGGTAAAAAAAGCGGAGAGCTTTCGAAGGAAAGGAGGTAAGAAGTAGTCCGCAATATTTTCAAGTGTTCGTACCGAAAAGCAGGCTTTTTACTTTCTACCCTCTTTCTTTTGGCTCACGTAACGATTACGATATCCCAATCTAAAACCATTTATCGCAGCCCAAAATTAATTTCATGTTTCCTTCAGCGGGTAGAGTATCGCACGTGTCTAGCACGCCTCACCAGAAGGGAGCCCTGGCAGTGATTGAAAGATTTAAACCCACAATGTTACCCGAATCAAAAAGTAGAAGCAATTTCCTAAATATTTTAAATTAATGGACATCTTGTATTTTGCGAAGTGTAGAGAAGCAAATGATTTTTTAACCATGAATGGAGCGCGGTTTTATTTCGGTATTTCCTTTCCGTCTAAGACGAAATTCATGGGACCTCTAAATCAGTTCTTTCTCCTCCCAAATAACCTCTAAAAGTCATTATGGTTCTATTTAATCCATGTTTCCCTCTCAACGGTGACCTTACAACATCACAGAGGATTAAAGTTCGGTAAACGCGGATTCTTTTCTCTGTTAGTTGGGCGCAATCAGACCCTTGAATTTTGGAAATCTACAGGAATAGTCGATCGACAGCCTGAAGTGCGGGAAAACATTTGTTAACTTTTGCAGAATAAAGAAGGGGGCCATTTAGGGTCAGAGACACAAAACGTGCCGGACGAAGCTTTGTCTTGATGTTTTGTGTGGAGGATAAAAATCATTTTAAAATTGTTGCGAAATACATCGACCCTAATAGTATCGCGATACCAGGAATACACGCGAAGCTCTAATTCAATACAGTAGTACAAAATACAGTTGGAAAACGTTTTTCGCGATTCATGTGTACCGCGATAATGCCCAACCCTGCCGTCAAGTAGCAAGCCATATGACAAAAGATGCTATTTCCTCATTTCAAATTAATCTACAGAAAATTACTTCTAACTTTTGATACAGATTAAAGGGTCCCTGCAAGGACTTTTTTATTGGTTTTTAATTTGCACCAAACCTGAGCGCAATGAACGTAGTAACTTAGTGAAACTTTTCTTTTCTTGAAATTCGCTTTATTTTAAAAGTTATCGGCGAATTAAAATTACAAAAACAAGCAAAAAATAAGTTCCCTCATGACGTCCTTGGTTGCTTGAGTGGCTGTAAACTAGAGGAGGGGTAGTGAGCTCATCGAGCGCTCACGGCTGCCGCACTCTGTGTCGACGGCACGAGAGGGCGCGACTGAAGCATGTTCTGGATAGGCTGTATGCAGCGGGCGGCCAGAGCGGCTCTCATTGCATTTGCTGCGCGATTAAACACTAATTCTGCATGACACTTCATTGGCCACAAACGACAGCAAACGCGGGGTAAAGATCAGTTCATTATGGGAGCCACTTCGCGCTGCCATACTGCGAAACGGCTAAACCGCAAGACAAAGCTTCTCGCCGAAAGCCCTCGGAACGCTCGGAGCCGGTCGAATCCTCCTGTCCATACGACCGCAGCGCCGCGTACATCCGGGACCTTTCCGTGTCGCCGCCTGATCCCACAAACCTTTCTACTATGTGTCGCTTTTTCCACCGCTTGGTGGCAGGTATGTCGACGAGTCATTTCTTGTTTCCGTACTTTATAAACTGCATTTCTTTCTTTTTTTCATCTATAATAGTGAACAAAAGCTACTTTTATAAATAATTGAAACGGTTCGCGCCACTTATATTTTGCATTTCGACTAAAAAGAAGCTTTTAGCGGCTCTGACCAGTAGTAAGGCCAGGACCAAAGACGTCACATTTTGCGCGCTTTTGGTACCGCGGGTCGCCCTCGTCGGTGGAGGAGGTTTCCGTGTCGTCCGGTTAAAATACGACGCACTGATATTTAGCTACTCTCGCGGTGCCCGCTGGCTTGCCCGAACCACAAGAGATGTGGAAACCGCAAAAAAGGTAGATGCTTAATATGATTACAGGGCCCCTTTAAACCACTACTGGAGCTACCTTCCGGTGATGTTCAACACAGTGTGTTGCGCTTTTGGTTTATGTTCTGCGAGAAAAGAAAACCTGAACGCCCGCTTTGGCACAAATTTTCCAATGTCTGAACAAAGCCTTTGCGTTTCAGTGTTTCGTGTTCCACCTGTACAAGGGTGTACGAGCCGGTGGTGGCATTGGTAAGTGCGCGCTTCCGTAGATTTCGTGAATTGTTGCACCGGACCCAAAGCCCAGACCGTCACAAAAATTTCTTAAGACATAATAATAGAGGCATACAACGATCACGTGGTCGAAGTCACTATGGGTCGCGTGGTCACGTGCTGGTGCTGCTATAAATTACGCTGTCACGTGACCACATGACGTAGCGTCAGGTCACGTCACGTCACGTCACGTCATGTCGTGACATCACGACATAACATCTACATCACGTGACCTGACGCCACATCACGTGGTCACGTGATGTAGTTGTTATGTCGTGGTGTCACGTGCGTGACGTCACTTGACGTCACACTGTCACGTGACACCACGACCTAACCTCTCATGACGTGGTCATGAGGTTCGTGTCACGTGACGACGTCATGTGGTCACCGTCCGCTAAATTTAGTGCGAAAATATGTGTCACTCTATAACAGCCTCTAAGTCCGCATTCTTCCCAATCTGCACTTTATATAAGTATGATCAAGGTGACTAACATTTTTATAAGGCTCACATGTTCAATTCAATTTAATTCAATGTTTATTTACCATTTTCTTGCAATGGCGGGGGGGCTGGGAAAAAAAGCTGCATGGACTGCTTGACGAGTTCCCAGCACCACAAAAGTTTCGACAGCAGTTTCCTCAATGTTTTTGTGTAACTGTACTATGGTACACTCCTCCAATATTCGGCTATGGGCAAGTGCTAGAAATATATAGAGGACATTTTATTAGCTTTTAGAAATTTGTTAAAAAAAAGTAGGGTGGTGATTTGGGCCAGTTGGTAAGAGTTAAACATGGTGAAAAACAGCCTCAGAACAACAGGGACGGTGCTCTATCTGCAATCCAACTTGAGTGTCAAGTTTTGAAGCGATGCATCTGCACATTTTGTCGCCTGGCGGGCGGGTGTTTTTAATCTGTATGTCTGTTATCTTTCTAACAAGTTTCTTTGATCACTTTTTCTTTCAATAAACTTCAGTTGTGAGTCAGCCGTTGTCCTGTCTTTACTCGTTCTTCGTCGCTGTTGTTCTGAGGCTGTTTTTCATCATGGTAAAAAGAAGACTTGAAAATAACACTAATCCGGTTTGTGTACGTGAGCTGTATGGCTGGGGGGGGGGGGGTAATATAGAAGGCTCTGTATCACGATATGTGAGACAATTAAATTAGCTTTTTTTATTTATAGTGAAAGTAAATATATGGTTCCAATAAGACAACTATTGAGCGTCATCGAAATCCAGTAAGTGAGTAAACCTTAGAAATCTTCGGAAAAGGCGGGAAGCGATGAGGTCCACCGAATGTACCACTCGCACACCAAGCGCAAGGCTGGCGGTGGGAGAACGCGGGTGAGAACAACACCTCGCGCTCTTCGCGCCACCACCGCTTACCGCTCATTCCCACTGGAAGCGGATCCGCGTTCGCAAAGCGGTTGCGAACGCGGTTGTATAAAGATGCAGTACAATTGCACGCGCACTTGATGTCATCGAGTGCGCGTGCAATTGCACTGGATCTTTATACAACCGCGTTCGCAACCGCTTTGCGAACGCGGATCCGCTTCCAGTGTGAATGAGCGGTTAGGGCTGTTGATGCGAAAGGCACGCACCGCCAACCTTGAGCCTGCTGCAGGAGTCCCAACTTCAGCGCACCGCCATTCTTTCCACGCGCTCAGAAGCGCTCCAAATCTTTCTCCTATTTAGATTTTAATGACACTCAGCAAGGTTTTAATTGGTACCCTCCGTTTATTGGCATTAAATAAAAAGCTAATAGACAATCTCCGCAATCAGTCTGACCACGCTACCGCTACCGCAATGTATGGACGGAAATTTAGTTTCTCTGCACATGCGACAGCCTCGCTGGAGGTCTGCGAGTGTTGAGCACGAGACGGCATGAGCCATAAAGCCCCTTTATGTTTCAAAGGTAGCACAAGGTGCGTCGATGCATGAGGCACGTGCAACGTTCAATTCTTGGGAAAATCATGGTGGCAGGGCGCAGCACTGAGTTAGATCAACGTTACTGGAGCAAGCTCAGTTTCGCAGTTTCTCGCCTGCAGAGGCGAGTGGCCCAGGTGACGGTCACGAGAACTAGCGGCGCTGCAGTCGGATCTTGCTTCCCTGTCTCGCGCGTCGTCTACTACCTCCGCGTTGAGAGCTTCCTTTTCTTTTTTTTTTCCTTCCTTTGTTTTTACTTCTATGCTATGTGTATAATAGCAAGAAAAAGTGATGAAGGTGAAGTGTAATACACCACAGAGATACACTGTAACAGAGATCAGAGTCAGCACATTGTGAGTGTTCTTTCTTGGAGTGTTTGAAATTTATTTGTGTGTGTGTCTGTTTCCTTGCGCTGTGAAGTGTTAGTATGAACTGCCAACTCGGCCAAGCTCAAGTATTGCTATTCATAGTTGGCGGGCTAGTCAATCCGGAAGTAAGATTCGACTCCAGCGCTGCTAGTTCTCGTTACCGCCACTGAGCCCAAGTCACAAACGCAGCAACGTTGGCTAGATTTCAGACGCCATGTTCTTCCCAGAAATGGCACGCGGCACGTGCCTCGAGCATTTCCACAACAATAAATGGCGCCACTTTTCCTAGGGTAGAGGGGCTTTACTGAGCCACCTCGCGCACTGCCGCCTGCCTCTTGCGAACTATGATCCGTCTCACAAATGTCTGCAGTAAAGACAAAGGTGGAGGGGCGTGAGCCTAGCTGAGCAGAATGCTTTTGGTTGTAAGAGAGCTCGTGCGTATAAGGCACTTTACAAAGCAACGCGCTCGTGCCCCTGCCTTTATCTGAACTGCAAATGTTTGTGAGATAAAGAATAAAGTGATGGCTGTGTCACGCCTGTGCCGAATGCTCGGTGAGATTGGTGTATTAATGTATTTTAGTCAATTATACGACTTATCATGACGATTAGCTCCCTATATTATCTCCCCCTAGCCGTATAACTCAGCTGCAGGGACCATATTAGTGTAGACTTCGCGGGGTTTTTTTAACAACACGCAAAGCCTAAAAGATACCCTGTATAAATTAAATTAAATGTTCCTCACGACTGCATTATAAGTCGGGTTCCGTGTTGTGTGGGTTTATTATTCTTCAAATTCCGCGATGTTTCTTTTGGATTTATTTACCCTACAGGTTCTGAGTTTTTAAGCGCTCATATTCAGTGTGGAGAAAACATTGGTGCTTATAGACCTTTTGCTGTATTACCCAAGCATCAAGGAGAATGCAGGGATTGCGGTTCCACACGCGCACGCCTTCGCCGTAGAAAAGATTCGAAGTAAATAACCAAAATAAAGCGTTGACGAACGCGCGCGCACGATGCCATTTGTTTTCGGTATTCGCTTTAGAAAATTTACTGCTGCTGAGGCCACCACGTGCGGCGCGTGGAACACCAATCCCTGCATTCTCCTCGATGCTTGGGTAATATAGCAACAGGTCTATTAGCGCTGTATTGGAGTCACTGATCTCTATTAGGGGGCTGGATATCGCAATCAGCAAACAGGTTTGAAGCCACCGGAAGTAAGCGGCTTGTCCTGGAAGTAAGCACTTGGCAGGCTTTGTAACCCTTTCGAGTGCTGGTTCGAAAAGCGTCGAGGGCGCTGTATTTTCGCTTCTCACCTCAAGAGAGCCTGCTTGTTGCACAGTAAGAACGCATGCAGACCCATGACGTATCATAAGAAGCCATTCAATGTAAACATATTGAGATTCTAATTGATCGAGTGTGCATATGTCCCAAGCTCAAATGCCTCATTTTCGAAATTTAAATCGGGGCATGATTATTAAAACCCACTCATAGACACCGAAAAGTACTGACCAAAATATGGACTCAATGCTCTAGGAAGCCCAGCGGACGCCCGACCTCCGGGACGAGCATCAAACTTCCGGTGGCTTCACTTGCGCCCTGCTCGGAGAGTGGCTATGCGCCATTCAGCCCCCTATAATAGAGATCAGTGACTGGAGTACCTAGAATGGCCAAACCTCGAGAGACCCGATTACTTAAAGATCATCCGTCGACAAAAGAAGAGAAACAAATAGGGGCTTCCCACGCGAAGTAAAGCTTTTCGTGATGCTTATCATTTAAAGGCAGCTCCAAATCTAGGAGGGTTTTACCGGATTTTGATATACTCGGCTCGATTAATTTTTTGGGTCTATCATTATTCATTGAGCGCCAGATTTGATTGCACTCCGCCCTCAAATATGGCGCAGCGCATGCTCAAACGAGCCTCCCACCCCCTCTTATCTTCTGGGGAAAAAATACAATTTTGGTGGTGTGCAATGCACGTTGCGGAACCGCTGTGTAAGCTCATTCTCCTCTGGCGCTCGCGGAAACGGACTCCACTATGGCCGCCAGTGAATATTACCATAGCCTCCTCTCTACTCACAAAGCCTGGCAGTTCGGCGAAGGAGCCATAGAGTGCCCAGTCGCAGATTGGGAGCGCGAGGATCTGGTAGCACAGAGCATATCTCGGGGAGTCCAGTATTCCGCGCACAGCTTTTGCAGCGGCAAGGACCCGAAACAGGGTTTTTAAGCCCGACTATAAAAGAAGCGGTAGCCTGAGGAACGCGAGAAGCACGAGCGGACATTCCATCGCTCGCGACCAGTGTGGTTCGGTTTCTCGCCGCAGCGGGGCGCCCGTCACCTCTCTTGTCTGCCACTCTCCCTTTTCACTTTTGGCGGCGGCGTCACGTGACGATTTGCCAGGCTTTTTCAGTATAGAGGGGGCTACGATACCACCCTACCGAAAACACCGACCCCCAGCTATGACCAGAACTTCCAATCGTTGGCGACATATCAATGGCTTTCCAACGCAGGTGACGAAATCGGCCCGCCTGACGGCGACGACTACGAAGTCTACCGCATAATTTTCGACATCACCTTCTTCTTCTTTGTCATCGTCATTCTGCTCGCAATCATCCAAGGTAAATAATTAAATTATATTTACTCACTGCTCGTCCTCATTTACTTATGCAGTGTGTGACAGAGTGACGGGTAAGAAATTATGGTGTTCATTTATCTCTAAACCAAGGGAAACTAGTCAAGTTTGTTATAATATTTGACGAATGAAACAGCGTTAAAGGGAAAACAAAAGGTCTAGAAAAAAGGGTTTCTCACGAAAATAGGAGTATTATCACTTTTAAAATGGTGTCGTTCTAAAACAATTTTGATTTCGAAAAATGTCCCGAAGTTCCTCTAATAAGAAAGAGATGGAAGGACGTAACAGACAGATGTACTCTATCTGTATTTACGTCTCTTTATCTACACCAACGCTCTCACTTCAAAAACTTGTCTCGTTAATTTTCTCTGCATAGTGGACTTGTTATCAATTATTTTGATATTCTAGTCCTAAATTAAAGTAGGAAATGCGGGCACTTTGAATCAATTTTTCCACATTTCATTTTTTTTTCAGCACAAATTGTGACACTACGCAGAAGGGTAAACTTTTGAACCGATAGTTTAAACTAAATCGAATTTAAAGTGTATACCGCTAGCAATGATAGGGAATGCAGTACAAAGTTTCAGCTCAGTACATCAATTGTAAAGGAGCTTAGATATCCTTTTAGTAACACCAAACATTGCTTTGTCAATCTGTCGTTTCAACATATTATTACAGCATCAAACATGTTTTACTAGGTACAAAGCAGAATGTCGGGAGAGTATGACCGTGAAACATTTTGTAAATGCTATTTTGTTTCTATAAAAGCGTTGCTCTCAAAAATGAAACAGCTCATAGGACGAAGTGTTAACATTTTTGTACTATATATACCATCAATAAAATTAAAAACAATTACGCAGGCGAACTTCCTCATTAAACTTCAGTTAGAAAAAACTATGAACGAGGCTTTTGTTTAGTACCTTTACAAAACTACAAAGGGACTTGAATGTAGTTTGGACTGCAAAGCGGTTTTAAAAAACATGCATTCAAAGTATCCAAATCTCAACCTTTAAACTAGCAATGAGGCACATACAACATTTGATAACACGTTAACTGTGCACCAGAAATGAGTAAAACGGTGGAAATAATGGTCGGATATTGGTGAACCTGAATGTAGCATTTTTTCAAGTTCAACTTGAAATATTCTAGACTATGCCTTCTTAAGTATGTCTATCGTTTCATAAACTAAGGCTAAAGGAAAGGTTAATAATTTAATTTTACTGGTTGAAATTTAATAAGATCTGCATGGGAAATCGATTCATTTTTATTTTTAAGTTCTCTATTACAAAAATACCGCTCAAGACACAAAGGCCTAAAACGTCTTTGATATTTCTGCAAATGATTGTTATAAAAATCGATAACTTTTTTTAACATCTTTTCCAGCGTTATACTCTCCACACATTCTGTTTTGTATTTAGCGAACAAAAATGTGGGACACTGTATCACATTTATAACGATAAATTGACAAAGCAATGTCGGGCTGCCCATGACAGAGGCTACCCTAATTTTCTTTACAGGTAACGTTCACAACAAAACTTTGCATGACATTCTGTGTGACGACTAGCAATCCACACCGTCGTTTTCATTATTTTTAAGCCATGCATTCGAAGGCCGAGCCTCTTGGCTAGTGTCGTATTCTGATAATCATTGTTTCAGAAAAGCAGTCGCATCTAAATTATTTGACAGGCAAACCCGAGATTCATAAATATGTAAATGAACCAAGTTCACATGCATTAATTGCAATAGTTACTGTTGTTTCGAAGTTCACTGGGTACTGAGTGCGGCAAAGTATGTTGTATATCCGTCATAATTAATACGTATGCGCTGTCCTATTTTAATTCGCACATATTTTTAGTGGAAGCAACCCTGGCACGAATGTAGTCTTAACTGTATGCTTATCAGGCTGATACTTAAACTAAAATGTGTTAATAATGTTTAATTAATGGCTTTTTGATTCATGTTGGAAGTGCAGCAATGACGGCCGATATTATTAAAGGTAAAACAAGATCGCTTCGCAAAAAAAGGCAATGAGGTTTTGAGATGCGCGTCAATTCATTTGTTGCAATATGACAATGAATAAGAGACTTAGTTACTAGCGTTCGTCTCTCCTGAGCTTTGCATTGCCCAGTAGAATTTGGTTTTTGGATGGAACGCTTGCAAGCCTGTAAACTGTCACGTCGCAGGTCTCATCATTGACGCCTTTGGCGAGCTGAGAGACCAACTTCAGAGCGTTGTCGATGACATGGAGGTATGTACGGTCATGATGTTTTTTTGTTTTTTTTCATTCTCCACTGACTTTTCACCTGTTTTGACTGGTGTTTTTAAGAAATGCTTCTTTTAGAAATCGACCGAGGCGGGTTTCATTTTCATGACTGCTGATTTCGCTCAAAAATGGTTCGGTACAGTAGTGTACAATGTTTCATTTGATTTGTTTATTTGCATCATGTACTCAGTAACAAATCTTGAAGGACCCCGGACGTTACCGAAGCTAAAAGCGAGAAATCATCATTTACGAATACAATACATTTACGAATATATGAATAATTTAGGGCCAAAGAAATTCCACAACGGGGAAAAACGTTATGTTTCGGAGAGCCGTTACTAGGTCTCCGTAGGCCCCGCCATATCGCGTATGACTTTTGGCAACTCTCGTCGGCACTTGCTTGGGTCAATGTAACACAAATTGCCCTAAAAAAACGCCTTTCACCCTACAAATTGTATCTGCACACTACAAATCAGCAGGACCCAATGTGACCCCGACTGCCAGACTGACTCAGTTCCGTTGGTAATGGGTGTTTTCACCCATTACTGGCATCGAGGCATCGAGGCATCCTAGTCACAGCGTCACACTGAGCCAACCGGATATAGCTGATAAAGTACTAAAACAGCAGGCGAGCTGGTGACGATTCATCTTTAAAAAACCTCGAGACAGAGGAAAACAGGAAAAAGGGGACACGCAGAGCCTCAAACACAGCTACGATTTATTTGCGAGCCACACGTTAAATAGCGTTCTATCTTCGCCACTTGCCTACACCAACTCCTCCAGATAAAGGGGACCCCAACAATCAATCGCCACACATCCCGCCAGTTCACAAATAGATGTGATTATCCAGCGATCCCAAGTGCAGCGGCAATGCTGACGCCTGCCGACCGCAGCAGTCGCTGAGGCCCCCCTCCCCTTAAACCCCCAAACCAAACTCAAAACCACGCCGAGATGACCCTCACAAGTCCCTAGACCCACAACAAACAATGTGTAGGCACGTGCCCTTTGCCAAAACAACATTCGCCGAAGCTCCTGCAGGCCTCGGGGATCGACAGGTTGAAGACGAGAAAAAGGAGGGACCCGAGCTCGGTGGATGCACGAGGATCGAAGGAACGGGCAGAAGGCGCGAGACATCGCCTTCAATTCCTGCTGACCGACGGACGTCCACGTTCTTTGTCTAGTCAGATTGGTTTGGTTTTAAGTAAATGCCTTAGTAACGTTCCTGCTTGTCTGGGAATTATTACCCGTCGCGCACGCGAGCCCAATAGGAACGTAACAGTGGTGACCCGGTGAAGAACTTGAACGCAACCAACCGAACCAGCCATCATGACGGACAACGATGCGACGAGCTCCACTGGGGGCATTTCGACGGTCACGTTGAAGTTGCCTCCCTTCTGGCCAGCTGATCCCCAGCTCTGGTTTGTGCAGGTTGAGTCACAGTTTGCGACTCGGCGCATCACAGGAGACATGACAATGTACCACCACGTCGTGTCAGGCCTACCACCTGCCATTGCCACAGAGGTGCGGGACTTGCTTATTTCACCGCCAGAAGAGGATGCCTACAACACCCTCAAGGCCCAGCTTATCCGACGGACAAGTGCCTCGGAGCAAAAGCGTCTTCATCAACTCTTGACAGCCGAAGAACTGGGCGACCGGATCCCCACCCAGCTGCTGCGCCGACTGGAGCAGCTCCTCGGAGAAAAAGCGACCACCATTGACCAGTCCCTACTTCGTGAGTTGTTTCTACAGCGGATGCCGTGCAATGTGAGGATGGTCCTCACGTCCGCAGGAGACATTGCTCTGGCTAAGATTGCTGAGCTGGCGGATAAAATCATCGAGGTCTCGGCACCGTCAACCAGCATGTCAGCAATCCAAAGTAGAAGCATTCCGGATGAGATGAGCGAGCTGCGAGCGGAGGTCTGCCGTCTCGCCGACATGATGGCGAAGCTGCAAGCTCCACGCGGCCGCAGCACGTCACGCGGACGCCCACGACGCAAGCCTCGTTCATCGTCCCGGACGAACTCCGGTGAATGTTGGTACCACCAGCGGTTTGGGCCTGCTGCTCGCAAGTGTGAGTCACCCTGCTCCGAAGCGGAAAACGACAAGGCAGAGCATTGACGGTGGCAAGTGCTCCCGCCAACGTAGACAGCCGCCGAACTTTGTTCTTCGTGTCGGACCGCAGCACTGGTGTTCGTTTCTTGGTAGACACGGGAGCAGAAGTCAGTGTTATTCCAGCAACCGCGGAAGAGCGCTGGCGCCCCAGCACGTCACAGCTCTGCGCCGTCAACAACACGGCCATTGCAGCGTACAGTGAGCACTCCTTGACACTTGACTTCGGGCTGCGGCGCACCTTTCGTTGGGCTTTTGTCTGCGCGGATGTTCCCCACTCCATCATCGGGGCGGACTTTCTGACGCACTTTGGACTGCTTGTGGACGTCAAAGGCCGACGCCTCCGCGACGAAACAACTCGTCTGACGGTAAAAGGAATTGCCTCGTCTCTTGCTTCGATCAGTCCCACGTTCGCAGTTCCAACGGATGAGACGCCGTACACCAAGCTACTCGCAGAGTTCCCGGAGCTGACGCGTGTTGGACCCGATGAGCGTCCCATCAAGCACACCGTAACACACCACATCGAGACGGCGGGTGCTCCTATCCACGCGCGTCCACGCCGACTGCCACCAGACAAGCTTTGAATCGCCTGACAAGAGTTCGAGCATATGCTCGAGCTGGGCATTGTCCGCCAGTCAGAGAGCTCTTGGTCCTCACCCCTTCACATGGTTCCGAAGTCCACACCAGGGGACTGGCGCCCATGTGGAGACTACAGAGCCCTCAACCGGAACACAACCGAAGACCGGTACCCGATACCCCACATCCACGACTTTACAGCATCGCTGGATGGCGCTACCATCTTTTCGAAGGTCGACTTAGTACGCGCCTACCATCAAATTCCCGTAGAGCCCTCGGACATCCCCAAGACAGCAGTTACCACGCCCTTTGGGTTGTTCGAGTTTCTCCGGATGCCCTTTGGGTTGAAGAATGCAGCACAAACGTTCCAGCGTTTCATGAACCAGGTGGTGCGTGGGCTGCCGTTTTGCTACGTTTACATCGACGACATACTCGTGGCAAGCACATCTGCCGAGGAACACGTCGCACATCTAAGACTGCTGTTCGCATGCCTCGTCGGGTATGGCCTCGTCGTCAATGTGAGCAAGTGTGCTTTAGGGAAGCTGGAGCTTGATTTCTTTGGACATACGATCAATTCTTCGGGAATTCGCCCACTTTCCATCAAGGTGCAGGCCATCCAGGAGTTCCCGAGGCCGTCTACCAAGAAGCAACTCCGGGAGTTTCTGGGGTTGGTAAACTTTTACCGCCGTTTCCTCCCGGGCTGCGCCACCAAGCTTGCACCTCTATACAGCATGCTTTCGGGCAAGACTAGCTCAGCAACCGAACTCGCATGGGATGCCTGCACCACATCGGCATTTGATCAAGTCCGACAGCTCCTTGCAACCAACACCATGCTCTCTCACCCAAAGGAAGGAGCCCCAATCTCAGTTGTCACCGTCGCTTCAGATATCGCTGTTGGTGCGGTGCTTCAGCAGAACGTGAATGGACACTGGCAGCCGCTTTCCTTCTTCTCGCGGAAGCTGACACCCACAGAACAGCGGTATAATACGTTCGTTCAAGAGCTTCTTAGGGTATATTTGGCACTACGGCACTTCCAGCACATGGTGGAAGGTCTTTGAGACCAGACGGAGGAAGTCATTCTCAGAGAGAACTACGACAGATGTCCAGCATCTCTGAGCTCGCAAATGACATCCGGCACATCCATGGTGCTGAGAACGTTGTAGCGGATGCCCTTTCACGAATAGGTTCCTGCACGGTTGAACATTCAACCGCCATCGACTTCGCCAACCTGACTGCAGCGCAGCGCGAGGACGCAGAACTAAGAGAGCTCCGCACATCTCCCGGCCGGCTTGTGTTCGACGAGATTCCACTTCCCACATGTCCCACCAACATCATTTGTGATACTTCGACAGGATCGCCACGCCCGTACGTTCCGAAACAATTTCGTCGGCAGATTTTCGACGCCTTTCATGGGCTATCCCATCCTGGCATAAAAGCCACACAACACCTTATAACATCCCAGTACATCTGGCCCAGTACCAACAAAGATGTGCGTCAGTGGGCCCGCACCTGCTTACAATGCCAGCGCGCAAAGATCCACCGTCACACGGTAACGCCATTGGGAACCTTCGCCCACTCAGACGCACGGTTCGACAATATTCACATCGATATTGTCGGACCGCTGCCACCATCACAGGGGCAAGCCTACCTGTTGACGTGCGTCGACCGCTTTACACGCTGGCCTGAAGCGATTCCGATGCCCGACGTCACCGCGGAGACCTTTGCGCGTGCGCTCGTAGCGCAATGAATTTCAAGGTTTGGCTCGCCGTCCACGATCACCACGGACCGAGGCCGGCAGCTTGAATCCAACCTTTTTTCCAGCCTCATGGAGCTGCTTGGGTCAAGAAGGATTCGAACGGCAGTATACCACCCCGCAAGCAACGGTATGGTGGAGCGTTTTCACCGTCAGTTGAAGGCTGCTCTCAAGGCTCACCAACGACATGACTGGGTGGACGTGCTGCCTCTCGTGCTCCTCGGCATCCGCACGTCAATCAAGGGTGACATCGGCTGCAGCGTGGCTGAGTTGGTACACAGGACCACCCTTCGGCTCCCAGGTAAATTCTTCGCTTCAACTCCATCCGACACCTGTCAGGATCCCGCAAGCTTCGCCACCAAACTCCGAGAGGCCATGAAGCAGCTTCGCGTCACAGCTCCTCGCTTAAGCCGTGGCCAGTCCACTTTCATCAGCGACGAACTGGAAACTGGAACCCATGTTTTCTTGCGGCATGACGCCGCACGAAAGCCTCTCCAACCACCCTACGACGGCCCGTACAAGGTAGTGCGGCGAGGGTTAAGAACAATGACATTGGACATCCGAGGACGGCAGGAGGTTGTTAGTTTGGATCGTGTGAAACCAGCTCATATGGACAGTGATTCACCAACTACACTTCCAAACGTCACACCCCAACCAGAAACACCGTCTGCAACAATGCCAATCCCACCAGACCAACTACACCTTCCATCTCCTCCCGACCGATTGCACCACGACTCCTCGAATGCAAAACAATCACATACACGAACACGTTCTGGACGACATGTGTACTTCCCAGCGCGTCTAGGCGTCGCGGATGTTAAAACACAGGCGGCTAACCGTCGCTGTTCATCTCCCACAAGATTCCATCAGCAAATCGCGTAATGGTCATACGTTCGCCTCCTCACTGGAGGGGGAGTCTGTGGCAGCACGTGCCTTTTGCCAAAACAACATTCGCCGAAGCTCCTGCAGGCCTCGGGGATCGACAGGTTGAAGACGAGAAAAGGAGGGACCCGAGCTCGGTGGATGCACGAGGATCGAAGGAGCGGGCAGAAGGCGCGAGACATCACCTTCAATTCCTGCTGACCGACGGACGTCCACGTTCTTTGTCTAGTCAGATTGGTTTGGTTTTAAGTAAATGTTTTAGTAACGTTCCTGCTTGTCTGGGAATTATTACCCGTCGCGCACGCGAGCCCAATAGGAACGCAACAAAGGCACCACAAAGCTGCATGCTCCTGGAAAATATCCGAGTCCAATCCACAAAAACCGGTCTCCCCTTCCCCTATCTCTCCCCCTCTTCCCTTTCCCTCTGCCCGCTCTTTCACACACACAAAAAGGGAAAAACAAGAAAGGAGAAAAACGAAAAAGAAAAACCGCCAACGCACCGAAATTTCAATGATATCAAGGAAAGCATGACCAATTATTCATATCTCGCGCTACGAAAGTAAAGCCCTATACATGAGAAAGATTTGCGGCTCTAGCACTCGGCGAAAAATTCGGCAAGATTTCTGATTGCCGCGATTGGCCAGCGCCATGGTCAAACGCGGCACTGGCCAATCCTCGGCCATCAGAAATCTCACCTTCACATACCCTTGAAAATGCAGTGGGACATGCGCATTTTTCGCTTGTTCGAACAAATAAAAAAATTACTTGTACCATGCGAATATGACCATAGGAAAATATGCTCCCATGATGATTTTCTCATCTGTCTAATCTTCGAAGACATGTCTAGTTCAATTTATTAATCTTCAAAAACATTTTAAAAACGTTTGTAGCATATTGATGTTACTATATAATGTCAATAGACCCTAATCAGTCAATGGATCAATGAGCTAGCATAAAGCTTAATCTCCTGGCGTTAGGAGAAAAAAAGGGGCTGCATTTTTACGAACCACTGATAATAGCTCACGAATAAAAACGTCTGAGCAACTGGCATTTGGTTTTATGTTCCCTTCTGCCCGTTCTGTGAATTACAGACTAATACCCTTGTTACACGGGCAGACTTAACTGCACTTAAGCTAAGCCACAGTTAGCGCACAATACTTGCCGACAACATTCTGCGGCTATGCAGTCGAAGCTATGGGCGAACGTGCGCTTGAGCATCTTGAGCACCCATCAAAGCAGTGCACGCGCTCTCTTCACTTCTTTTGAAATAGCTGTCCGAGGGCATAGTGCGGCATCTATGCTGCCACGTAACCGCAGTTAAAGCTGAGTTAACCGCGGTTAAGTGTGCCGTGTAACAGGGGTATAAGACAGAACTGAAGTAATGCTGCACTCCTTTGTTCTTTTTCCACAGTCAAACTGCTTCATCTGTGGAATCGGCAAAGACTACTTTGACAGAGTCCCGCACGGCTTCGACACCCATGTACAAAAGGAGCACAATCTGGCCAACTACATGTAAGCCCATCCCATGTGCGATTCTACGTTCAGTCTTCATCAGATGCCTAAGTCACAAAGTGTAATTGACACTGTAGAATCTCAACACAACGATGTGACTCTGGTTAACTTGATACTTCTAGAGCTTTTCTTCATACTGACAAGGAGTCATTCTATGAAAGCAGAAATATGGTTGCACTGAGATCTTTACACACTGACATGTGCAGTGTGTAAAGTGCAGTGTACTAACAATGGGTGTAGCCTGAATGTAATCATTTTTATTTTTGAGCTCAATAACCCATTTCATGTGGGTTTAATGAATCCTTTCGTACATGTCCTCCCAGCTCAGAGTAATCACAAAGCCATTATTTTTATGTTTGTGGTTCATGTGGTATTTCTGGTTTCGTTCAATGTTAACTAACATTAAATCCCTTATAGAAATGGAAATACATATTCCTTACCTCTTTATATATTGTACAAAAACTCTCTAGCATAAAAGACAAACAAATTAAACCCGTTTAGCAGTTTCTTCGGAAGACTTCAGATAATGATTAGAACCCCTGGTAAAGAGGACCCTCCAAGCTGGTTCTCTTTATCAGGCATTCTAACTCTTATCAGAAGCCTTCTGAAGGAACTGATAAACAGGCTTGGTTCATGCAAAAACAGTGAATTGCAGACGAGCTGGTGATAATCATAATGGAACACGTGAGACTGTGATGTGAAACAAATTAATAAACCTGCAAGTCGAATGAAAAGACAGCAGAAGAACATCCCAACCGAAACTAAGATAATTGATTTTTCTCGCTCGTCATATCACCTAATGCTGATGTCACCTACCTCTTCACGGATTCACTTTTTCTGAACAAAACAAACGAATGACCTCTTACCATAATGACCTTGATACCGGTGGACACATTCGTCTAAATTGTACGACCCCTTCTTATAATGGCAATGAACTTTAGATACTTCCTTTCACAACGAATAACAAAATTCTCTAAGAAACGTTATGGGGGAGAGAGGACAACATAGCAACACACTGGCCAGAGAACCCCTAGGTGATCTATAAACTATTACATCTGGCACCAAGACAGACCTTGTACACTAAAGGGAAAAACCAAATTGACTATAAAATAATTAAACACGAAGTAATTTGAAAATTAACTACTATCCAAAATCAACCTGTCGCCGAGGCCTTAAGTGGCCTCTAGACTACAGATTCAAGCACACACGCGCATACACGCACAAACACACACACACACATAAACACAAAAAAAATTAAAAAAAAATCATTGATCAAAACAAAAAACAAAAATTAATGTAGCTGCGTTTCAGACGTTTTACTATGATGTCTTTTCCTTCGACTTAAAAGTTTCTTCATTTTTCCGTACCAATTTCATGCGTTAGGTTATGGTGGGTTTGATTTGCTTGTGTTATCCAAGAGTTTCTTGTTGCAAAATACTACTGCGATTTCAATTTTCCCTTGGCAACAAAATGTCTAGTAGCAGGCATCTTTCGTGCTTTCTTATTTGCTTTGCTTCTTTCAGCATAATGAAACCGTATCATTCAGTTCGGCTTCACTATACTGGCCAAAACTTGGACAAAGAAAACCAGTTTCAATTTTGGGATTTTATCATAGTTGTTCGAAGTATGTTTCAAGTGAACATCTTTCTGCAGGTTTTTCTTGATGCATCTGATCAACAAACCTGACACGGAGTACACCGGTCAAGTAAGCCTATTATCTTCTTTGAGTTCCCTATGGTCACTGAAAAGGAGAGAAGGGCAGGGAAGAGTTTCAGCGGTCCGGCCTCCAGCGCGAGCTTCCTACCTTCGGCAACGCATCGGCACATGAAAATAAGCTGCAGCTTCCAGATGGAAATGAAGATTTGCAGCCGCATTTTCGGCTAAATTTTAAAGCAGCAGCTGGAAATCCTGTTTACAGCTGGAAATGGATGCTGCACATGCTGTAAATCAGAAATCCCAGCTGGAGCGCCAATTGTTCCAGCTTGGTAGTACATACGTGATCCACCTGGAAGTTTCCCAGCTAGATGCGAAAAAATCTAATTTCCAGCAAGAAATTTGTCCCTTTCCGGGTGGAAACAGCCTGGAATTCGGCAGGTAAAATAGATTTCTAGCTACAGCCGTAGTCCATTTCCGGTTCCATAACACAGCTTGGACTGGAAGCATTTTTACCTGGAGTGTCTCGCGCACCTCGAGCACACCAGGCGTTGACAAAGCACGCCGAGGGGACGTGAAGCGCGTGCTGGAGGCCGGGTGTTCGAAAGGCCCTTCTCACTCTGTCGGTGACTATGGCTACTTTTTTCCTCACACACTTAGGCTTCTGGGGCGTGTTTGGGCGTCACTGCTATTTGTCACTCCAAAATTTCCTGCCTTTGCATTCGTTTATTGTCAGGAACCAGAAAAGTTGAAAGCCAAACCTAGCTAATTTCAACGCGAAATAAATTATATAAAGTGCTCCAAATATCCTCTCAATGTATAGCTTAACGAGCATTTAAATATACCGTGCTGCCCCAACAGATATTTTTTATCGTATTTGTATTTCTCTTAGACGACCTCCTTGCATTCCCATGCAGCAGTTGTGACATTTTAAAAACACACGTTTTTTGTTGTTGTTGTTGTTTTTGCTGTTGTTGTTGTTGTTTTTGCTGTTGTTGTTGTTGTTTTTGCATTTTAATGTCTTTGAGAGAAAACTATTTTATATGACAAGGCATGAAGTTGGGCTAGTTGGTTCATAATGCAAACTTTGAAATAGCGCACAAAAGACAAGGGACAAGAACGAGAAGTGAACGGACACAACCCTGACTGCAACTGAAGTTTATTCCTGCGAGGAACAGAAAGGAAAACATAAAAGATGCAAGATAGATTAAACATAACCCACCCCCTTGAGGCACGCCCCAGCACTTAAACAAATCTGCCGAATTTCTTAATGAAAGTCACTTCGTCGTCCACCCAAGCCACGGAGCGGACACACGCGTCCGCTCCGTAGGTAGAAATAAAAAACGCCTCATCAATTTCTCTAGTCGCTTTGTTGCAGTGACGAGCCAGAATCTTAATCTCCGTGAAAACCGGAGAACACGAACACCTATCGCAGTGAACTGCAAGGCGTCCCGATGATGAAGACCGAAGGGAAAGGGAATGCTCCCTGGCCCTAACATTGACACACCTCCCCGTCTGACCTATTTATACCCTGCCACACGACAAAGGGATCAGATACACGACACCCGTCGCGCACGTAACATACCGAGTTCCGTGGCTTACCACACACCAAGGCCCAGATGACCCAACACGGTTAACTGCGGCGCAAAGTGAAGGAGCTGAGAACACAACAAGCACGTCAAACTTTTCAGCCACCTGCTTGGTCCTATATAAAAATGTGTGTAAGTACGGCAGAACAACCAGCCTGGAAGGCATCCTACTCCTTTCCCTCAAACTCAAAAGACCTCTAAACACTTTAAGAAGTGATTTTGCAACACCCACAACCACAGCCAACGGGAAGCCAGCAGAATGCAACCTGCTGGCCTGAGACAAAAATCTTTTCTCACAGCTATGGTGACAAGATTTCACCAAAGAGGATCGTAGACATGACACAGCAATATCCCTTTTTATAAGTTTTGAATGGGCGGAATCATACCTCAATATCCCGTTCTTTGACCGTGGTTCATACGACCAGCAAATATGAGAGGCCTGAATCTTAAGAGACAGGTCAAAAAATTGAATGGCACCCTCAGAAGGGGTCTCGGGCTTGAACCTCACGCGCGGGGAACATCCCGAAAACTGGTCGGTCATCTTCGTGACCACCTCCCTATTATCACCCAAACCTTGACTAGAAATTAAAACAATAAGATAATCATCCACATACCTTAAAGTCTTTAAAATGCGCTCGTCTTTCTTCTCAGCAATAGCTCTATCACACTTGGCCAAAAAAATGTCGCAAAGAACCGGGGCAACACTGGATCCGATGCAAACTCCGCTCTTTTGCAAGAAAACAGAGTCCTCAAATGCCTGAAAGGGGTGGATTATGCTTTATTCATCTTGCATCTTTTATGTTTTCCTTTCTGTTCCTCGCAGGAATAAACTTCAGTTGCCAGTCAGCGTTGTGTTCGTTCACTTCTCGTTCTTGTCCTTTGTCTTTTTTGCGCTGTTTCCAAGTTCGCACTATTTTCTATGTTCGATACGATGGCCTAATAAATGTTTGAGACTGCGTGAAATTTAGTTCATGACCAAATTTACGGACAATCGGCTGTTCACGATACCTTTGTAACGCAACCATTTGCGATGTGACGAACTGCGTCACACTACCCTGGTTGCCATGGAAACCATCTCCTCATATAGCTATAGTCGCAAGCGGTTGTGACGCCATTAGTCACACTCTTACGACTGAGCCAGGGTTAAATGCTAGGCAGGAACCAAATGATTATTTCAGAATCGATAATCGCCAATCATCATTCGTTTTTCTTTTCGCACAAAGCATTTGGAAATGGTGTTCAAACATCGCCCAGTAAAGCTGCAGGGTTTTATATTTGCGGAAAAAAAAAACAGATAATGAAACCAAACTCAAAAGACCAGTGCATCTGCGTATCAGTATTAGGGTGGCGATGTGGTGTAGTTGGTTTATACAGTAAGAAGTTGGCCAAATGACGACCAAATGACCAAATGACTATAGGAAGTTTTTGAGGCCTATGCAGTGTACGAAATGCGTCAGCCAGACGTTACTGCATTTATACAGCAAAGAGATTGCCTAGATAGGCGTTGATTGACCACCCCGTGATGCGCTCGGTGTTGCTGATTTTGTTTTTTATTAAAGTTCAGTAGAGAGTCAGCACTTGTCCCCGTGTGAACTTCTACTTTGTCCTTGCTTTTGCACTCTGTGTTTGCCCTTTTATATGTTCCTGTGTTTAGGTGGTTATAATAATCTTCCATGTATTCCAGCACACCTGTTAATGAAGGCGTGCCGGAACGCCTGCAAGCACAAAAGCAAAAACAAGAATATAAACAAATGAACGACAATAACTAATAAGATAAGCAGTGTTATGCGCGACGAAGATGACTACATCGTGCAGAAGAGCTTCACTTGTACACGATTTGTGGGTGGGTTAGGGTACCTTAATGTCCTTCTGTTTAGGGCGATACCACCCTTTGTAGTACCCGAAGCCGACAGCACGAACTCACGGGTAAAATACGAAGAAATCGACGAAAACCAAATGTCGCCATGACACAGTCAGCGCCACAAACGCATGCAGGGACACGCTCTTTCGTGCGCTTCTGAACAAAAAAGAAAAATAAACGTGTGCGACAAAATGGCCTGATGTCTCCACCCTAAGCAAAGCGCACATGAAGGCCCTAGGGTTGCTGCTGTGTGAGGCTAGTAGGGATTGAGCGCTAGTCAATTGTGTTCTACGGTATGACGGGCTCAGCTCGGAGCCCTGTGGGCGAACGCTTGGGCCGAGACTGAGGCCACCCTCCCCTTGCAGGAGACGTTCGTGTGGGAGCTGTACCAGAAGCGCTGCTGGGACTTCTTCCCCGTGGGCGACTGCTTCAGGAAGCAGTACGAGGACGAGCTGATGGGCGCCGGTTAACGGGGCACTACAGATCTCCGCGGGAACGCGCTCATTTTCAGTCTTATTGTTCCCATCCCTGTGCTCGGCTCTAGAACCCCGAGAAGTCTTTAGGGTCCCGACAGCCGAACCTCTGTTTTTGTGTTTCTGAGCTTGCAATGCGGTCGTTACCCTTGTTGCGTTGGCAGTGAGTGCTCTCCTGAAATTGGTCAATCCTGTGACACTATCAGCAGCGGACGAGGTAGCTGCATTTTCGCCCTTTAAATCTAACTAACACGAATGACAAGACATATTGCTCCTGTGTTTCGATGAACAAACTCCAAAGGACGACAACACTTCAAGAGTGTAGGTTTGTTGCGGTGCAGCGTTTGCGTGTTTGTTGGCATTTTTTGTATTTATTTGCAATAAACTTTCCTCGGTTCGAACATCAATACTTGCAGGAGTGGCTGTGTCTACTTTATTCGTGCTCAACGTTTAGAATTGCAAGAAAACTATCTTCCGTTTCTAATGGCATGCGAGTGATTCAGTGACTCAAACAGAGAACACCGTCCTGAAGTATGGATACAAGCAGAATTTCTAACGGCTGAAACGCCAGGCCCCTTGCACCGCGGCTTGTGTCGTTTCTGGAACGGGCTTCAGCTGCTTACTGCCCTTTCTCCTCCCGGAGAAACCTTTCCGAGAGAAGAAGCCGCCCGGAAAGGTTTTGCCTTTCCGAGTGACGGAGAATTCTGAAGTGTTTAAAGGGCCCGTTACACACTTGCAACCGACTTCGACCGAGTGAGTTAAAACTTAAAACTTCTTGAAACCTCTTACGACTACTTACGACGGCAGTTGCTATGGCAACCACTGCGTTTTGCTAAGACCAGCTAAGACATGCTATTCACTGTTCACACCGTACGTACCGTAGAATACCGCACATCCGCCCATTCCACATTAAGCGCCCATATCCAAAATTTTAAGATGTGAAAAAATATGCACTGCACATTTATATGTAAAATTGATGACCGGACAAGGGCCTATCCCCCAGTTTTTCGCGTTTATCTCTAAATTTTGAATGGGCGCTTGCCCGGTCTTTTACGGTAGTCGCGCAAGTCAAAAGTAATAGCAGAACACTAAAGAAACCTCGGCTTCAGGCACTAGCAATCGACATAGGCAACCCTGAATGATGCGACGGTGCTCGCAACGAATCCGCGTCACATGAACGAATGACACTTTTGCAAAAAGAGGTCATTTTAACGAATCGACAATATAGCGAATGACGTTTCAGCGATTATTGGTCATCTCAGCAGTTGACATTTTAGCAAACAATGTTTTAGCAAATATGCATGTTTCGCTTGTTTCCTGTTTGTTTTTACCGACGTCAGAAATGCTCGTCAGGCTTTTCCTTTTGGGAGTGTCTACATCCACGCGCGGGGATGTAGCCACGTCGGGAGGAGATAAGGCTCCATCCACGCTACGTCACTTCCGGCGCACTACGATCAACTTCCGGTCTAGCCTCCCATTGTTTTTCCCGGTTTTTCGGGTTTTTCCATCTGCTCGGCGGCCATTGCACCTTGCGTTCCTGCCGTGCGCGGACTACTGTCTACTGTGCTTGCCTGGTCTTCCGCAAGCGGGTCTGACTTTCTCTGAAGCGTTTTTTTTTATTATTTTTTTCTGTTTTCTCGGGCAAGGCGTTTGGCCGTTTGAGTATTAGCACGGTCGCGCTCCTGATGTGCCTCACGTTTTGGTTGCCGGGGATTCGACGGTGAAATACTTGTCCTAGTATTTCCCATCGAATAACCGGGTGGCTGTCGAAGTGCGGGCGTTTAGTGGCATTAGGATCGAGGCTTTTTTTTCCAACGTGTCTGACGCCCTGCTCGATTTTGGCACAAACAACACCAGCGTTTTTGCCAGTGTGTACGTTGACAAGTATCGTCGGCTGGCCGCGCAGATCTTGGAACGCAATCGACGATGCAGATCGCCTTTTCTTCCGTCCTTCCGAGGCGGGAGAACAGGTTCTCTTCGATGGAGTGTCATCGTAGTCAGAGTGCCGAGATCCAGGCGCTGAATGATCGGCACAGAGACGTGAAGTGGCCCCTGCAGGACTTCTGCCGCAAGAAGGGCTTCGTGTTCATCGGTGATCTCATGGACGAGTGGCATCTGTGCATTGTCTACTGTTTTATTTGTCATGGAATAAACTGTTTCTGGAATCTTTTACTCAGTTTTCTCGATTGAATGCTCTCAGTATGTTTGTTATTAATGGGACTTTCCTCACAACATTTGTGTGATTGCGGGCGTGCGCGCAAGTCAAGAACGTACGGAGCGGTGGGCACGTACTTGTCCCCTTCGATACCCATAAGCTCACATTAAAACGCTTCGATCAAAGCCAACCACACACACGACGAAGCCTCTCCGCCTCGCCTCAGCAGCGATGCACACATGGGCGAAGGCCCCGGAGGCCGGACCCGCACCGCCCGCACGCATAGATGGCACGCACGCCGACCACACGTGTGTGTGACTCCTGGATAACATAACTATAAAGATATATATTGGTACTATTTTTGTGATGCATGATATTTGCTATTAGTCTTAGAAAACAGTAAACAATTGATGAATTCTCTAAAAAATTTTAAGGTCACGTGACATATTAACTTTAAAACAACAATGAAATGTAACCTCTTTATTTTTAAATCCTATATTTACTTATAAGAAAGCATAATATGTACATAAAAACAAATTATTTTCTTATATAATAAGCCACGTGACCTTTTGCGTGGATGGAGCCTTATCTCCTCCCGACTTGGCTACGTCCCCGCGCGTGGATGTAGCCTCGGCCTTTTGAAATACCAAAAATCGGGAGTTCGTTGTGGTGCCGTCTCCTGGATTTGTATCCTCCAACGGAAAACAGGCGACACCGCTCAAAACCGGTCCGCCGCAACGCCTGCGCTGGCTCCTTTCCTCCTCGCTTTGGGTCGCCATGGCAACAGCACGGAGTGGTGAAAGGAAGTGGACTCTCAGGTCTCCGTAATTTTTGACGTCAAGGCACCGGCGCCGATCGCGCGGGAACTTCGAATTCGGCATTTGGAAATTGTTTTTTTACTTCACGAATACTGAATTCCCAAATCTCAAATTTTGAGGGTAATGTCCCGGCATCGTTTTCAATCGTTTCGGATAATAAAAAAAAATATGATTTTGATGTGTCAGTGTCCCTTTAACTAGAGAGGTACGGCCACGGTTCAGTGCGCGGCTCGCATGCGCGAGCGGCTCCCTCCTTCAGTGCTTCTTCACTGCAACCGAGGCCATTTTAGGTACTTGTTCGGCGTGTAGATGCATGATTACTTCTTCCGCAAGTTCGTTTCCTTTACTCACGCCGGTAAAGAGTTTTCCAGAAAACAGACGTCGGGTGGACTAAATGCAGTGTACACCGAATCTGAAGATCACTCGAACCCGCCTTGCGATCGTGGGAACTTTTGGGGTGGTGGCCTGAACAGAGTGCCAAGGCCGTACCGCTAGACGTTTAGGGACGTTACGCTACTAATCAGTTTGGAAATTTGTGAGAATGCAGCCAAAGATGTGGTGTTTAGAGCATGTTCAACAATTGTCATTCTGTTCAACGGTTTTTATTCCTGAACACATTGTATGTTGTTCTTGGGTCTTCTTGCTTCGGTAGCAGGAACCCTTGATGAAGAAACCTCCTGCACTGAATGGGATAAAAAAAAAATTATACACCGGTTTGACACTCAAACAGCTATGCATATTTTCTGTGCAAATAAAGATCAGTTCCAGCACACATTTTTTTTTTTTTTTTTTTGCAATGTCGCATTTCGGGTGGGTTCAAACAAACGTGGTACGTTCAAAAACGCCATGAAATAAACCCAATACATCAGTGGTTCTGGAAAGTCTACTCTGTAGCTTTGTGAGCAATGCTATAAACCGCTTAATTTCTTAGTCTTTAAAAGGTGACCGAGGAAGGAATTTAAAATGCTGCTCCACCCACCCGTACAACCTTTTCTGCTGTTCTGTACGATTTGCGATTGCGATTTCTTGAACACTCAAGGTTGTGACTCGTGAGGCACCTTTTGCAGTTACTGGTACGCGGTCGTAAGTTTATTGGAAGGGTACGAAAAACGAAACGAGCGAGTTCTCGGCTGTCACCGAACGACAAGCTCACGACGGGGGCAGCGTACCGGGTCGTTCGGAGTGGGCAAGCTAAAAGCGCGATCACTATGATTAACTGCATTAAAATTATGAAATGTTACTAAAAAAATCACTACAGAACAAAAAAGAACTTGCCTGTTCCGTGAGTAGTTAGCCCTTATCGATGCGGGGACCACGTATGCTTCGACGAAGAAGTTGTAGCTTCTTTCCATGCACCGGATTGTTGTGCCTGACCGGCTACTGTAGAACTGCTCCACCTCTCTGTCACTTATATGTGGCAGTATCGATAGATCATTAGACCAACAGGTGATCGGGAAAGCACTCGCACAAGCCATAGCTCAAAACGCTACGGCGGCTACGCTGCACGCCGACCGGTCGAACCAAGGAGGTTATAATGGGCAGGAGGTGGCGTCCCTATCCCCAATGCATGGAGCGAAGTGTAACGGAAGTAGGCGTGGCCACGAGCCGCAACGAGCATTTCTTGACCAATGGGAAGCCTAGTGAGTGGGCGCCGCCATTAATTTCGGTGCAAACAACCGCGTTGCCATGACATTTCCGTGGCAACGCGATTGTGTGCACCGAAAGTAATGGCGGCACCCACTGTTATTTGAAACAGCGCTTAACGGGAGACTTTTAAACCGGTATTACTATAAACGAACGCCTGGTTGCCCAGCAGAAAGTAAACGACTAGAATTGAGACGCTCTAGACGACGCACCGTAAAGGACTTGGCGGTGCGCAACGCATTTTTTAATAAACAGCAGGAGCAGATCGCACGAGCGCGCATGCAAGCCAGGAGCGCACAGAACAACGGGCTCGCGCTTCCAGTTCTGACTTCGCTTGCACATAATGTGGAGCTAAGTATAAACACTCACGCTGCAAAGCATTTGCATCGTGGACGCCCACGGCGGACGCCGACCGCATCGAAAGCTAGCCTCGTGAAGCAGACGCCGGAGCAGATTAGAAAGCAGACGAACTGCCGTGGCGCTACCCCGCGGCCTCGGAACGGGTGCGCAAGGCAGTCTGGGATTAAACGCCTCTTCCGGCTTCACTCAGACTGACGTCATGCCGGGTCCTGTCTGTTTAAACGGTTTAAACGTCCTTGGGTCGAACCCTGCGTAATGGCGGCGATCACCCAATGTTGCTAGATGTTTTACTATTCCCGCAGAGCCGTATATGTAGAGAGTTTGGTCAATGGGAGGCGCGGGCAGAGCCAGGGCGTGCGGCAGACTCGGAAAGAGGGCTTGGCATGCTCTCTTGACCAACCAGAAGCCGAAAAGAATCCCCTAGCGGTGGTA